AAAGGCATAATCAGCGAATCGAATTTCGTGTAAGGCCTCCAGAAAACAACTACACAAAGTAATGTGGACAAAACTAGCAACGAACACAGCACACAAGTCTGCCCCTTCAGTGTTTTCGTTTGTTCACCCTTCAAAGCCAAGTTTAACTGAAGCAGAACCAGGAAGTTGCCACATAAAAATCCTATATTATTTTTCACAATGCATTTCTTTGAACTAAAATTGCGACCATTTCGTTTTTCTTGCAGTTGGACAACTGCCTACAATATTTATAACAGTTAGCATTACACCAAGAAAACCTATGGTCCGTTTTCACACTTCCATCCTTCATTTACGTCATTTTCTGATAGAAAAGCTCTGCTACCAATAGATGTAACATTAAGAAATCTTGTAGTATTAACTATTTATTTTAACTTGACATAACTGCCTTCAGTGCAACTCTCAGTGGTTTTGAAAAGTCTGTTGATGAAGAGATTTGTTTGGTACTACAATTGGATACAGATGAGAGTTGAACAAAAAAGTGTCATTTGAGCCCAAGTCCTTACATTGGGACTTTTGATAATCATGGCTGATATTGCAGGAACCACAGTTCTGACAAAAACAAAAACAACTGTTTTCGTCAGGGCCCCGACAAAGACAAGTTCGGCAATTTGTCAGACCATTTCTTGTCACTTCGAGCATCCATTTTGCCTTGAATGTCTAGCTCATTTGGAGTTTATACAGAGTATGTTTCATCAAGAAGAGTGCAGTTACCAATAATCCTTAATGCCTCAGGGCGACCAGGAGTGAGCAGGCACAGTCTCCCATCCTCACCAACACTGGCGAGTTTTTGCGGGCCACGAGCTGAAATGGCAGTACACGGATAGCCAGGATGCAAGTGGCTCCATCGCTGTTGTTCCTGAAGCTGCACGGGTGAATACAGTCAGCTGGAATTGCAACTCACAAACAGAACCCATAGTGATGAAGAATGTGAGCTGAAATGAAGTCAAGGAGGATAACATTTAATCGTGCGTCATGCCATGATACAACCTTAATTAAAACCAACAAATAACTGTTTTGATTGTATGGTAGTAATTACAATATAATTGAGAAAAGACTAGAAAAGGCACCAAAGTGTCATCTGATGATTTGGTGCATGCCAGTGCGAGGCTTATTGGTCAGCTGTGTGCTTGTTGAAAGCTCACGTGCTACATGACACTAGCTGGCTAGAAAAGAGAGTTCGGCACTCGATGTCATCGTTTCGAGTGATGCTAACACTACCATGTTTACACGCACATAAATAACCAATAAGTGGATGGGGGGCAACCACTGCCAAAGCTTAATTGATAAAGCAACAGGCACGTAATCAAAAGGTTGCTGGTTTGGTCCATGCCGGAGGCAAGTTGTCTTGTTGCCCACTATAGTTTCTCCGCACTTCTATCGTAACTACAATACAACCAAAAATTAGAATTGTCATCCCCTATACTTTGCTTGGCTTCACTATCTGTTGGTTCTCATTCAGTTTGTATCAACAAATAAACGAGCCCTTAAGGCGTTGAACTGGTATAGCACATTACGGCAAAGAAGAACCAGTCAAGCATACCGACACAAGAAAACAGAGCGCTAATTTCAAATGCTCAGTTGGAAGTTTGCGCTTCATCCTCTTGTGTCAGTGTGCTCGGTCGTTTCTTCTTTACCAAAGACCCCTTCATTTGTTTAATGATACCACGACAAAATTCTTCTGAGCAAGCGTAGTACTTGAATAATATTCTCTGTGGCTAAACGATTCTTTTAGGTAGGACAAAAATAATTCCTGGTATCTTTTAGCTTCATCTTCTTTTCTGTGAGTCACAAGATCAAAGAAGGGATTTGTTATTCTGGAGACAACATTCTCTGTCAAGCGTCTCTGTCAAGATCGACAAGCGTCAAGCGTCTCGACAAGCATCTCTGTCAAGATTGCAATCTTTATGAAGAGAAGTTGTCGAAACATTGACTGCAGCAACATTCCCTGTTAAATTATTTTTTCATGTCTTGTTGACGACTGCAACTTGTAGAAGCCAAGCCAACTATGCATGGTGAGAGGCACACAAGTAAATGACTATCTGTTGTAAACAAAACCTGGGAGTTCATTTTGGTGTGGTTCATTCCAAACTGAGAACTTCATAACCCAAACAAAATCCCCGTAACTGGAGCTTCCAAAGGCCTGCTCAAAGAAAAATTAAAGTATATATTCCTACTTATATATTATATTCCAACTTAAAGTACATATTCCTACTTGACAAAACATCAAAAGTAAGCTATAATGACCATGGCAACTACACTGAGCTAGTGACAAGCCCCCATGCTGAGCACCTTCAAGTGCATCAAAGACTAAAGAAAGTGTGCACTTTCCATCACAAAAGTATGTAACTATCGATGTATTTTGAATACCTGTGCACTTTAGGGCCACTTCTATGCAGGTTTCTTAGTTATTTAGTCCGAATCTTGAGATTACAGTTCACATAAAAAAAAACGTGGTCATAACAAACACGCTTCAGCACAGTGAAAGTAAGTGTATGAGCGAGATGAACGAAAATGAAGTTGCACACAGACCTCACTGCTACTGCAGCGGTAGAGCCGTACCTCTCCAGATGACAGTGCAGCGGCTAAGATGTCTGTACCTGCAAACTAAAGAGTAGTGCATGCATTTGAACCAGAGCACTCTAGAAGACTGGCAAGCATGCCCGTTTAGCCGCACATTAAAGAATCCCAGGTGTTCAATATTTCCAAAGCCCTACACTATCGTAACCATATAACGGTTTTGAGACATTCAACCACAGCTATTATTATTAGAGAGTTTTCAAACAGGAGCCCCCCCCCCCCCCCCCCCAAAAAAAAACAGCGTCAAGGTCACTGAGCATGCGTAAAACCTAAAGCACGTTTGGGTTGTGAACGCTGTTTCTCGAATTTAGCGGGAGCCCCAAAACCTGCCCCAAATGTTTATGGTCAGACAAACGTGACGGCTCTCGGCCAAGACTACAGCGACATAGAATAGCGGGAGTGTCCAAAGCACCACAGACCCTATTCGAAAACTCGTAGCTCCTGCTTGACCCAATGCGTCCATACGCAAAGGGCTTTGGGGCACCAAACTTAACTCTCAATTACTTGTCAATTACTCCCATCTTACTCAACACTCATTTCATGCAACCCACCGAAAGAGTAATGCTGGACACCACTGTTTCGCTGATGAGCCACGTACTCACCATGCCATCACTCACCTTCGTTGCACAAGTTTTCATGCACTACTGAGCAACGACAGCACATGTATGTATGTCTACGATACGTACTATACGCGGGGATAACGACCCAGTCAGCCGCTGTCTTACAGCTGATGCATGCTAACCCGATCTGCTCAGTTCCACCGCCTTCACCTTCTCGATTTTTATCCTCGGCATGTAAACTCTTTTGTCTTGCTTAGTGTTTTGGATGTTCCACAGTTAGCACAGAATGTATGAGCCCTTCGGGTGACCAAACAAAGCAGTCGTCAAACTGAGGCTCTCAAGCACTTCGGCTTTCATTTTTTAGTAGGACTTGTACTCACACAGAGATCACCTGTGTCCGAGACCAGCTCAACCGTGCAAACACGACGCATGCCGGCGTCGGGGGAATCTTCGCTCGGCTTGGCAGAGCATGCCCACAGGGACAGTGTGTTCGGCTGTAGGGTCACAATTCGCAAAATTAGAATAATGCATTCGCGAGAAAAGAAAAGTTATAGCGCAACCATAAACTCGGGAACATCTCCTTTACCTTGTCATCCCAGCTGCCGGAAACCAAACAGTACTCGTGCCTGTTTAGCAAACCATGACCTTCTGGCTTAAAACGAACGCTGTTGACCTTTGTGGCGGCATACTTGACGTTTACCTGCACCATTTGGGCGACTAGCGCAAATATCCTTACGATCGTACAAGCATTAAATCCTCAAAACATGCCGCCAAATGCCGCTCGGGCGAACTCCGATGCGGATGCGGAGCACAGCAGTCGCTCTCGTTGGACGCGCTATATTTCCCTAAGCACAGATACTATAATCAATACACTTGCAGCAGTGGTAAATACTCTCCTATGACTTTATGAACAAATAATTTACACTCAGTAACCTAAATATAATTTCAGCTAGCGTATGCTGCCCTCTTGCGACTATTCTGATTTTTCTAACACTCAAGCGGCATAACAACCTTCTCGAGCGTGCGTGTGCGTCGTCGCGGAGGAGGTCGGCCAGGCCAGCAGGCAAAGCCTCGGCCTGTTACAAGTAAAGATACATTAAACACGGTCGGCGAACCACCTACAACGTCAGGCGATCGACGAAATCGTGCGGCCTCGCAGGTGACTCGGAGCGAGGGCTTACGCCGCTCACTGGAAGTACCACCTGAGCTGATAGGGCCGAAATCCTGCTCCTTTCCGCAATAACGTCACCGTGGCTTCGTGAGGACAGTCAACGCATCAAGCGATGGCCGGGTCGGCGTTGCGCCGATTGATGGCAGAGTACAAGCAGCTGACTTTGAACCCACCCGAAGGCATCATAGCGGGACCGGTGAGCGAGGAGAACTTCTTCGAATGGGAAGCGCTCATCACTGGACCGGAGGGCACCTGTTTCGAAGGCGGTGTCTTTCCGGCCAAGCTCACATTTCCTCCCGATTACCCGCTCAGTCCACCGAAGATGCAGTTTACGTGCGAGATGTATCACCCCAACATCTACGCGGACGGTCGCGTATGCATCTCAATCCTGCATGCACCAGGTGAAGACCCGATGGGCTACGAGTCGAGTGCCGAACGTTGGAGCCCCGTGCAAAGCGTGGAGAAGATTCTGCTCTCTGTGGTCTCCATGCTGGCAGAGCCCAACGACGAGAGTGGTGCCAATGTTGACGCGGCCAAGATGTGGCGCGAGGACAGGCAGCAGTTCAATCGCATTGCCGACCGCCTGGTGCGCAAGTCGCTCGGCATGCTTGCCTCCTGAAAGTGCCCGACCAATAAATTCCTCAACAGCGAAAAACGAAGTACACAAGTATTCTTTTATTATCTGCAAACAAAAAAAATTATGCGCGTATCTTGGTAAGCATGTTGTGCTTTACTTCCTTTTCTTGAGCTCCTCGAATCGGCGCGTCAAGTCATCGAAGTCGAGGTCGTCTTCCTTGGAAGGTGGCTTCGGCAAGCTGCTAGAAGGTACCGACGGTAAGTCGGGCAATCCGCTCACTGCACTGTATGGTGGCAGACCTTCACCGAAACCAATAGTGTGAGGGTTTATAGCTGGGAACGGAGCAGCTGATGGTGGGGCCTTAGGAATAGGCGGAGGCCCAGGAAAGTTCATGGGCTGGGGCGCAAATGGCGGAGGTTGAAAGCCCGGTCCCATCGGAGCTTTGAGTGGCGGCGCGTTGTAGTCCGGCCCCATTTGTCCCGCTGGTCGGCGGTTGCGGGTAGTCGACTCCCTGCGGTGCACTGGCAGGCATGAACTGGGGGTAGGGCTGAGAGATGAAACCGGGTGGTCTAGCGCCAGCGCCGAGATCGATCAGTGGAGGCTGCGATGCTTCGTCGCTTGGTTCTTCCATAACAGACTTGTCCGGCTCGTAGGGCACGTCGTGGCTCTTCGCTATCTCGATCAGGTACTGCTCCACGAGAAGCCGCGGCGGCGCCTGAACGCTCAACTTCTGCATAAGCTTGGGACTCACCGTTGACAGTCCGTTATCGCGAGCCGCCTGCGCGTACGGTTTGCCGTACTTGATCGCAAGCTGATCGGCGACCGCTTTCAGTTCGGCAACGTCAGCCTGCAGTCGCGGTGCCACCCAGATGAGACTGGAGACAGCTTCCGAGAGACCCTCATCAAGCGTTTTCATTTGTTGGAGGAGGCCAAAACGTGCTAATAAGAGATCACAGTAGACTTCAACGAGTTCCATGGCTTCGACGAGGTAGTCTTCACGAATTATATGCTCAACACGGATCCTCGCTCTCTCAGTTTTCCCGTTTGCCAGGTGCTCTGCGATCTCCTTACGAGCTTTCTGCGCCAGCTCTGTTTTCTTACGTTCAAGCAACTTCAAGCGGTTCATCGTCAGTCGCAAGTTGGTCTTCAACTTGGCGTAATTGGGACCTGAGGAAAACATGTCTGCGCTGGAGCAACGAACCGCTTGGCAACAGAATGCAGGCTTCTTTGAAGTCGTCTGAAGCTGTTCCTACCCTTCAGACATGAGAAGGATAGCATCCACCAGTCTCAGGTACGCAGACAGAGACGCGTTATTTTAGACGTACGCGTTCGATGCAGTAAGGCTGCGGCGGTGAAAGCGTCACACCAGCGAACACCTACCACTTCCCCGCCCTAGTAGTAGCAGCAGCAGCAATACGGCTGTGGGATGACTCATAATTGGCATTCGTATTTTCGGCTTTTGAGAGAATACGTGCTTGCGGCTCTGCTATTATGAAAAGTCTTGTTGGAAGAGACGAAAGAAGTATCTTCCTCCGTGTTGGAAGATATTTTTGTTTACCCTTTTTTGTATAGGTGTTCTGTGATTTGACCCGCTTGTAGCTACGGTGACATGATGTATTTAGCTGTTTTCAGCACAATAGCTTCAGCAGCACTGTAGTTTCAGTCGCTCACATTGCAGGACAGCAGACGGACCTTGTGTACCGTCGCGTGGTAGTACGTGCGCATGTGAATGTTTTAGCGGAAATCTTCGGTGAAATGGGCAAGAAGAAGTGGAGTGAGACGGGCAATCCCAACCGTGACATTTGCGAATTCTTAAACGAGCTGGCGGACTACGAAAAAAACATCACCCGAAATGTTTACAAAAGCAACGCGTACCGCAAAGCAGCCGTGACGCTTGAAAAGCTAGACAAAAGAGTGACAAGTGCAGAAGAAGCAAAGGCCCTTCCCGGCATCGGCGCAAAGATTTCTCAAAAGATTGAAGAGTTCCTACGAACAGGAAAAGTTTCGAAACTGGAGAAAGTGCGCAGCGATGGAAGCACAAGTGTTATTCAAGAGCTAACACGGGTATCGGGAATAGGACCCGCACACGCGAAATCTCTTTATGACCGAGGCATCCGCAGCATCGACGACTTGCGAAAGAACCAGGATTGCCTTACCGAACACCAGAAGGTAGGGTTGCGCCACTTGGAAGACATCGAGCAACGCATACCTCGAGAAGAAGTTGGTCTATTGGAGGCGAAAATAATCGATGCACTGCACCAGTTTGATGAAGCCTACGAGGCAGTCGCATGTGGCAGCTATCGAAGAGGCCTGCCTACGAGCGGCGACATCGACTTGCTAGTGTGCCACAACAGCTATCGATCTACGGACAGGAGGCCGCCTAAACTTCTGGTACGCCTAGTGGAACATCTTCGTGAAGCGGGCATCATTACTGACATCATGTCTTTGGGAGAAACAAAGTTCGCGGGTGTGTGCCAGCTCGATTCGTCCAAGCCTCACCGGCGCATTGACATTCGCGTACTTCCTCAGGACCAGTTCTTCTGCGGTTTGCTGTACTTCACAGGCAGCGACTTGTTTAACCAAAGTATGCGTGCACACGCGGTTCAACAGAATATGAAGCTCAGTGAATATGCATTACGTCCCATTGGTTGCACAGGGGTTCCAGGGGAGCCTTTGCCTGTAACTAGTGAACGTGACGTATTTGATTGGTTGGGCCTACCCTACTGGGAGCCACACAAGCGCAATGGGCCCCTTGGGCAATGAACAGAGCGTGTGTGGAATGGCACATGGCGAGTTTATTCACACATAATATGTCTTGCTAGGCTTGCAAGACCAGTTCGAGCCACTGGCGCAGAGCCTCGCCCAGGACTGCTGGCATTGAGGCAAGGTCCCGGAGAAGAATGTAGAAGGGGAATGGGAAGCGCTCCATGTAGCTGCGAAGCTTGACCTGTCCTGAAGGCCCGAACTCCGGTTGCCGTATTTCAAGGATGGAGTCCTAGAGAGCCAAAAAAGACGTTAACAACAAGAGAAAGTATTTAACTAACCAATGTTATTTGCATCCTGGTATGGCATGTGTGCAATGGAAAAAAAAATAACAGCTGATGTCACTAATATATAATAGTTGTCTCATTTTGCTCATTTTACTGTAAACAACTGCTAGTACACCCCCACTGTCCAATAAATCTCAGGTCCACTCTTCACAATCTTTCTATCTCTTCCCAACAGACCCTAACGAAATTATCAGCATTATTCATTATCTTAAAGTAATCTCTCCTGGACTGGACGGAATTCACTCGTCCAACATTAAGGTAATTGACAACCATATTGCCACCCCTCTATCCCGTATTATCAATCTAATATTCAAGACAGGTTCATTCCCATCACAACTAAAACGCCAAAATAATACCAGTGTTGAAAAAGGTGAGAGAACTTCCATATCTAATTATCACCCCATAGCTATCATTTCATCTTTTTGTAAAATAATAGAGAAGTGTACTGAGAAACTAATCACTGATTACTTGTCTAAGTTTTCAATTTTAACTCCTAGTCAGTTTGGTTTTCGACCTGCTTTCTTGACTAATCTAGCATTGTTAACTTTCACTGATAAGATTAAAAAGCTATTGATTCTGGTGAATTAGCTGGAGCATTGTTCATCAACCTAACCAAAGCTCTGTACTCACTTAATCACAGCATCCTGGAAACCAAACTCACGGCCATTGGTATTGTTGTACCTGCCCTAACACTAAGAGTTACCTCTGTAATAGACAGCAGGCTGTTTGTGTTCGCTCTACTTTATCAGATTTCTTTACTACTAATCAGGGTGTTCCTCAAGAGTCCTCTTTTATTTTTAATTTAAAAGAATGACCTTCCCCTTTCAGTTACTAACTCTCAACCTTTCCTCTATACACTACAATACTACCACTGAAAAATCAATTGACTCTTTTTAACGCTAAAATTGCAAAAAGATTTAAATAACATCTTAGGCTGGTGTCTCATGAACTCCCTCAGTATTAACTTTAGGAAAACTAAGTTTATGATATTCCACTCAGCTAACAAAGTTCTTCCTTTCCAGATTTCTATTAAACTAAATGGCTCACTCATTAACCCTGACACTGAATGCTTTTTCTTAGGAATCATTGTCGACAGCAGCTTAAAATATTCTAATGTTATTCATTCACACAAAAAAACTTGCATTTGGTGTCAGGATTCTAATCAGAGCACGTAACTACTTTAACACTTCAACTCTAATCAAGTTATATTATGCCTTTATTCACAGCCATATTAATTATTGCATCACCACTTGGGGGAAAACATACCTCACCCACTTATCTCCCATTCAGCACATTCAAAACCAAGCGATCAGACTAATGACTTTTAGTTCATATCATTCTAGTGCATCATCATTACTTCGTAACTTCAAGATACTTTCTACTGTTAGTTTATTTAAGTACCGCCTCATTATCATGCTGAAGTCATTGCACCATCTTGTCCCATAAAGCGTCTTTTATCCTAATGCTTTGTCTAACTTTAACCGTACTAGATTCGCTTTAAATGGAAATTTTTTACTACCTACTATCCGCACTAATTTTGGTCGCCACACTGCATATTTCTCAGCATTACCATTATAGAATTCATTGCCATCTCACATCAAACAATGCTCAACGATTTGCTTATTTAAGAAATAATTGTATTCATATTTGATAAACTACTAGATGTTTTCATCCTGCTATATTGTTTATTTCACTCTTCCTTTTAGTTGTTTCTTAGTATTGGTTTTATCAATTTACTCATCTCTCTGTTTTCACTGTTACTGCTAATTGAGTAAATTTTGTAATCCCATTTTGAACAAGAGGTACCCCTGCAGCCTTGTGCTTTTGGACCTCCTCCAGTATATATACTTTGTATGCTGTTCCCTTTTCTGTACTAATAACTGAAAACTAAATTTGAAATAAACTTGAAAAACAAAAGTTAAATTCTATAACTCATTGCCAAAAATGAGCAAAATTTACATTTATTTCTCTGCTTACACAATCGATACAAGTGCACTCTCTATGTAAAAAGAAAGGAAAACAAGAAAAGAAATCTTGAAACGTCATTGGAAAACAGGACACACGCTTATCTAATGACGCTCTCAGATTCCTTCATTTGTGTTCCTCTGAATAATAAGCCAGTTCAGAGTCAACGCATTTCATATGCACTTGTGCTTTATCTGAATGCGAGTACTGCACAACTTTCAATACGAATGCATACCAAATTGTTTATTTTTATCTTCCTCAGTTTTCTAACCTAAGGAAATAAAAATGAACCATTAAGGCTGTAAAGTGAACAAAGGAATATGAACTAAATTAAACTTTATTAACAATATTCAAACAATGTTAGGCAGCTGATGCAGTGGTACAGTGGTTACAGTGCTTGGCTGCTGATCCAAAACTTGCGGGTTCAATCCGAACCGAGGCAGTTGCACTTCGATAGAAATGAAATGTTAAAAGCTCCTGTACTTGGATTTAGACTCCTATTAAAGAACCCCAGAGGACTACATTTCTTAAGCCCTTCATTACGATGTGCCTCATAATCACATTATGGTATTGGCACGTAAAACCACAGGTATTAAAGCGGTTCTAGTATACTAGTGGTAGCTCAAGTGATATAATTGATAATCAGTATGTTCTTGCTCCGTTCACTCAATGTTTGACCCGCAGGTTGCGCGATTGAATCCCGGCTGCGGTGGCCGCAATTCGGATGGAGGCGAAAATGCTGTAGGCTTGTGTGCTTAGATTTCGGTGCACGTTAAAAAACCCAGGTCCCTTCATGATGGGCCCTTCATGATGCGCTCGCAGCCGTTTTGCTAGCACCGCATATACCAAATTTAGTGTTACGTGACGTCTATGGATGATGAAATGTATGACTGGTACAAACATGATAATCCTGACAGGCGTGTCATGTAGGAACATGACAACATACCACGCTCATAGCGTGCTCATGGCCGTTTTGCTAGCTCCACATATACTAAATTTGGTATCACGTGACATGAATGGATTACGAACGTAAACGACACATCCAAACATGATAATCATGACGCGGAAGTCATGTACAGCATCATTTACCTCCACCCTGTAACATTGTGCTGATTTCAAAGTGACATATCAACATTTCCCATTCATGCTTTGCATATCATCGATATCTGCCAATTTTTTTTTTTTACATTTACATCGCACTTACTTCCGAGTTGAGCATTACATTTGAAGGGGAATGCACTAATATGGTCACAACGCAAACATTTCTCGGTGTAATGCTTGAAGAGCAGCTATCCTGGAATATACATATTGATAGCCAAGCAGTGGACTTGGCAAAATTTGTGAGATGTTCATACAGAGAGGCTCCTTTCATGCCTGTGAGACTGATGAAAAGAAGGTATTATGCTCCATTTTGCTTGAACTTATGCAACGAAAAGTTTGTATGGGGGATGACAATATAAGCTAACTATAATACATTAGTAGTATTACAAAACGTTTATTACACTGCTTTGAGAAATACAGGGGCAACCCGCATGGATTTAGGAACACTACCATTAGTTGAAAAGCATGATATGCTAAAAGATGATCAAATATTTTATTTCAGGTTACTTCAATTAGTACACCGTGATTAATTGATTTGTGGGGTTTACCATCCCAAAACCACCATACGATAATAGTATACGCCGATACGCCACTATATAGTGGAGGGCTCCGGTAATATTGATTACCTAGCGTTCTTTCAAATTAGTACACCATGAAAAATCGTTACCTACTGATAGCAAAAATGGGTCAATGTACTGCTTTAAAGCTCAAAAGTGGCTCATGCCAATAAAGCTTACTAATTATGGTAAGCAATAAAAAAAATATCATACCGCCCCACCGCAGCGGTCTAGTGGCTAAGGTACTTGGCTGCTGACCCGCAGGTCGCGAGATCGAATTCCAACTTGCGACGGCTGCATTTCCAATGGAGGCAGAAATGTTGTAGGCCCGTGTGCTCAGATTTGGGTGCACGTTAAAGAACCCCAGATGGTCGAAATTTCCGGAGCCCTCTACTACGGCATCTCTCATAACCATATATGGTGTTTTGGGACTTTAAACCCACATATCAATCAATCATCACTCAATGTTTTCTTATTATGTACTCCATGTACACAGATTAAATGTGCACATTTACGGTAATAGTCATGCTGGACCTTTAGCATAACAAAAAATAGTAGGTTTGTGCGATTATTCGAATATTCGAATGGATAGTAGAGTATTTGATTCGAATTCAAGTTATGGAAAATTTCAAATTATTCGCAATGAACGGATAGATGTATATTAATCTGCATGCAACCCACTAAAAAGGTGGTTTCACTGCAGTGTATTGGTGCTGCGCCGTGAAAGCAGCTATCCAGGGCAAATTCGCACTGCTGTGAAAGTTAAAGGGGCCCTCCAACACTTTTTGGGCATGGTCAGAAAACGCTGCCGATCGGTAGTCGAGGCTATATTTTATGGTGCAGAACATGGCCTGCAAGTCCGAATAAATTATTATAGTCAGCTCCTCAACAAATGATGCCGCAAGATTAAAAATCACTCGTCACGGTCGTTGTATCAGCCATGGGCTGATTTGAGCATGGCACGCTCGGTCGTTACTAGGGCCAACGTTGGAGGCCGCCACTTGTCCACGTGTGCGTGCGCAATGGCACCGGAAAGCTGCGTATTCAAAAAAAAAAAAAAGAAAATGCTTAAGGAATTACTTTCTTTGCCCAGCCATCCCTCTCTGCTTAGCTTCCAGTGCTTTCGTCGGGACGAGAGAAGAGTAAATGCAATTGCAGCATGCGACAAATCTTTGTTCCTCTGCTCGTACCGGACAGACCCTAAAAATCTTTGCGGCAGTGAATTTGTAAGGCTCCTTCAGTGAATCGATTTCATGGCTACTAGAAAAAGTGTTGCAGTGCCCCTTTAAATGAACATATTACCCTCATATTGCTTCATAATTCCTTCAAGTTAAAAAAAGGGTTCGTACAGGTTTCCAAAGCAGCATGCTAAGTTGATATTTCTCACCTTAAAATTTTCAAAAATGACCAATTTCATTGCACTTACCATAAATATATGGATATCACGATTATAAAAAAAAGAGCATGGTCTTAATTACTTCTCGCACCCTCTCCCACACTCCATAGGGAGAAAGCTCGATGACATGTCAGAAAGTTACGTGCTGATGGGCTTCAACGCGCATGTGTAGTCAGGCCATAAAGGGGTCGTGCCACAATATTTGTGGCTTACGTGCTCTTAGCTGCAAGCCTTAACTACAGCTCCAATAAGCACAATACACGCCCCGAAATTCAATTATTCTTGCTATATATTTGTCGCCTTTTCGATATGGACAATTTTTAGTTCCTGTTTGTGAGGACCGAGCTGGGCAGGTACGTAGAAGTGTAGCTGACTTAGTCACGCGATCACAGAGCTTTGCATGCGTCATGCTGAGTATGGTCAGCTCTCGCACACGTGTGCCACACCAAGCACGTGCACAACAAACTTGCCGCTATCTGCAGTTGCGATGCTTTGCTAGTATGTATAGGGCAGAAGTCCGGAGGTCACTCACCTGACTACAGATCTGGTGTGACTTTCACTAGAACTTTCGTTGCCCTTCCTATAGAGCTACGTCAGTGTTGGATGCGCTCGCAATGATCCTCTTTAGGAGAATGAGCATTTAGGTACACTTGCGAAGTGACTTAAACCCACATGGTGCTTGCTATAGCCTTGAAATTTGATGGCACCACCGCTTTGAGAGTGTCAGCTTGTGCACAGTAGACACTCGCAGCACGTTGCCCAACAACCAAGAACTGTGACAGTTGTTAATTTACACTCATCCAGTGGATACACGTGTGTTCTTTTCTAGCACCCTTCTCGGTTTGTTTAAGCAGCACACTTCCAGTGTCAAGCTGTGGCAGTCGTTCACCAGCACTCGTCTTGTGTGCTTTGCTTTCGTGCATCCTTCATGCTTGAGCGGCACGTTGCATACATCGGGTTGCTTGCCCTTCGTGTGACATTCTAATTTCTTGCTATCACACTCACTGCTTCACCCTCGGCACAAAGTACCTTTTTTTCACAAGCACTTTTGCAAAATAGTATCATGTGCACCACACTGCATTACTGCTTCAGAAATGAGGAGTTTGACAGGTTGACACACTGATGTACCACATTTAGGAGGTCGCGATGTCAATATGAGAGTGCACTGCTCAGGAAATTCAAGGATTTTCAAGGATGGGGAAAAATTCTAAGACTTTCAGGGGCCTTAAAGATGAATTTTTTTAAATTTAAGGGTTTTCAAGGACCTGTACGAACCCTGTGAAAAGCTTGTTATGCTGGCTTATATGCTCATAGTATAGTAAATTTTAAAATTTTACACAAGTTACAGGTTATCACTTGCAGTCAACCGAAAGTCAAATTTTGCGACTACTTGAAGTTGTTTAGACTTTCTTTGAACAAAAGAAAATGGCATGTGCGCGAAGGCCTTACTTAATTCTAAAAAAAATATTTTGGAGGTTAGGTCTGGGCAGCATCGAAGATACATGTGTCTGAGATCCTACCTTCTCACACACACACACACACACACACACACACACACACACACACACACACACACACCCACACACACACACAGTGTGTGTCTATATATATATATATATATATATATATATATATATATATATATATATATAATATTATTCAAATTTGATTCAAAATTATTCAACCAAAATCACTATTTGCTAATTCACTAACATTTTCGCACAAGTTAGAAAATAGTCGCTTATAATATATAAATAGTTCATTTTTATGTGCACTAATATATATATATATATATATATATATATATATATATAGTATATATATATATATTATATATATACAATATATTATATATAGTGCACATAAAAAATGAAACTGCGCAATCTGCAGGCCTTGATGCTACACTGCAGCTGTTATTAATGGTGTAACAATAAACAGTTGTTTCCTGTGGATTAGACTCTAACTGAGATGCTTAAAGCTCAAATCAGCAGTCGAACATTGTGTGCTATCAATGATCTTTGCAAATGCTTTTTGCATGTAATATTTACTATTATATTTATATTCACGGTAATGTGATTACATAATCTTGTACTTATTTTGCTGTTCAACTATATTTCTGTCCCTCCCCTATAAAATGTACAAACGTACCCTGAGGGTTCCAGAAATAAATAAATAATTATAGCTGCTTCTAAATAACATAATGCAATTGTGCTCAGCAGAATCAGGGTGGGTAGCCCATGTGCCAAGGCACTTGGGCTACACATGTAATGGTACACATGAGCTCATAAAGTAAGATTTGAAGGTGCAAATCAAAAGGAGCTAGGTTATAGATGTTGTAAAACAGTACCAAAAACATATTTACCTTGCCACCCAGGCTGTCCAATACAACAAACACCATCAGAAGTCCCTGTGAATGTGCTCTGCACACTGCATTTGCCACATCCCCTTCGCTGCAGATGCCTCGGCCATCTGATATAATGAGCAGCAATCGAGCAGTGTCAGGGCCTGGGGGCAAGAGCTCTGTTGCCGCCTTCAGAAGAGGGGCCACTCGTGTACGTGTCTGCTGGAAGTTCAACAAGCCAGCCACCTTGGCACCCGACTCCCGTGTCCATGGCTGGCCCAACAAATGCAGTATTCGCACCTGCTCGCCGAAGCTCACAACGCCCAGTTCGCCTGCCTCCAGAAAACTGAGTGCCTGGGCCAGCAGCGCCAGTGATTGCAAAGCAAGAGGCCCACTGGGACCCATGCTAAGTGAGTCATCGATGGCTAGCATCACGCGATACTGTCTCTGCGAAGGCTGCACTCTTCGTAGCCAGATCTTATCTTTGCGTAGCTGGCTTGCCAAATACGCAATCACACGTCGCATGCTGAGCCGCTTTCCAGACTTATAGTCCCCTCGAAGCCGTGATGCCCTGGTTGGCTCTAACACAAGCCGCAGCTGTTCACAGAGTTCCTGCACCAGCGAAGCAACATCGCGCTCTGCCTTCTCCCAGGCTGCCCACGTCTCCAACCCCGGTTGAACGGTGGCCACTTCCCATTCGGTGGGCAAGTGAGCCTCCTCATCCACTTCCACTCCTGCCACAAGATCCACGTTGGTGTGAATACTTGGTTCAGGGCCACGTTCCACAAAGGCAGTCTCTACAACAGTGCCTGGTTTTTCTTTTGTTTCTGCTTCCTCCATAGCAGCTGCTTTTCTGTGTGCGGCTGGGGGTTTTTCTGCATAATCATTGTCTTCTTCCATAGCTTCTTCTTGGTCTGACTCCATAAGCTGGTCTGGCATTCTTTCCTCCTCTGTACTCTCCATTGCACTCTGTGCTTGCTCTGGGGTGGCCGTGTCAAGTGCGACTTCATCGTGCGCCTCCTCACTGGTGACATGTTGGAAGAGCTCAGCTTTCTCCTTGTCCTTCGGCTGCGTGCTCTGATGTTCAGTGGTTCGCAACTTTCGAGGTTTCCTACCTTCAGGATCTGCAGTGGTGCGCTTCTCTGATGTTTTGAAAGGAACCGACTCATCTTCAGGCTGGCTCTCAGTGCTCGGACCAGATCCGGACAGACCTCTAGTTTCCCCACCTGTGTGAAAACAGTGTGACAGCTAAAGTTCAACCAAATAGCCTTGTTTCTGTTTGTTAAATAACATAATAGCCCAGGTCTATCAAAACGAGCCAAGAGTAACGAAAGAACGGTCAAAAAAAGGTAACGCTCGCAAAACCCCATTAACGAAGGCCATGACAACCAAAGAAAAACATGAAACCTAGAACATATCAGAATTATTTGCTACTGCAAAGGAAAATGTACTGCGTGACATTAGACAGTACACAAACATTCAGAAAAGAAATCTTGATGTACCGATCTCAAATCTAGGTGGCATGCTTTGTAGCACTTTTTCTTTTCACAAGTGTTATGTTCCTTAAAAAACAAATCTTTGTAATGTGAGAAGCAGTACTGCAACTCAATAAACTGCGATTACAAACACAGTCTACTAAAGCCAATGCAACCTAGAGCATACAATTGCACCATTTGAACAAGAACTAAAGTGTACTGTTAAGTGAATCAAATTTATTGCTAATAATTATGCCATAATGCAAGATGGCATTAATATTTCAAGTAATAGCAATTTACTGCCATTAAGTTTGCTCGTACAAACAGGTCTTGTTAGTATAAGTTTAGCAGGCTAATTTTGCCAGGATAAATAATTTTTTTTTTTTTGAGTTCTCAGGACCACAAAACCACCTTTGGTTTCGCAAAAAAATATTTTACTTTCTTGAAAAAAAATTCAGAAGTGTCCACCGAGTTGCAACCGCTCAGTTGGAATTTTGATGAGGTCCTACAAAAAAAACTGTTGTAGGTGTAGGTGTAAAAATTTTAGACCACATACTAAGCATGGTTTTCTTTCCTAAACCGTCATTACTTTGCAGTTGGTGCTGTTCTTTCAAGCGAAATCCGCATACAGCTCAATATTGCTCAAATTTTCTATTTTTTTTTCCTTTGTGCGTATTGTCACGTGCGTCCCGCGAAAAAGACGAAGGCGACAGCGCATACGCGCATCTGCACGCTTTTATGCAGAACGCAACAACGAGAAAGATGAGGAACTCTCTCTCGCGCGGTTAACAAAAAGACCGACCCGCTGCTGTTTTCTCAGACGAGCAGGAGACATCACACGAGCAGGAGACAATACACGACACTCAGACACTCAGACATCACACGAGGAGACACTCAGACATCACACGAGCAGGAGACAATAGTAACCATTATCAATATTTTTAGGTCGTGGATGTATTATGTGGATGTCAAGAAATGACACATTGACAAAAAAATAAAAATAAACAGGAACAGATAGTTTCGAAGAGTAAATTATAACCATGTTTTTCTACGCATTTCACAAAAACTTGTACGTGGATCCCAGCCACTGAGCATGCCTCAATCACATTTTCGTGAAATTCTAAAGAAGCGGTTACAGCTCAGTGGACACTTCTGAATTTTTTTCAAGAAGGTAATTTTTTTTCCGCGACATCGAAAGTGGTTTTGTGGTCTTGGGAGCTCGAAAAACGAAATATATTTTTTGTGTCGAAATAAAGGGGGTCAACAAACATGTATTGATGTTCTTATCTGAACACAGCCACCACTATCTTTCTGGAAAGAGAAAGAGCACTCATTTTTATTTTTGCTATCATTGACCTCGAATATGATCTGATATACAGTACTCGAGAATTCAGATGCGACATAAAATTTTTAGTATAAAAACTGGCATGCTCAATTGCTTAAGATAACCATGTCATGCAATGACGAACCTGGTCTTTAAGTATAGTGATGGCTCAGAGCTACGCGTTAAAGCCGAATGCGTCCCAAACTGAAGACAATGGAAAGGAAAGCATACGCGTTATTTGGCCTTTAATTGTCCCACTTCAATTCGTGACTACTACACTCACGCACTACATGAGTCGCAACGAACGACACACTGCTGCTGCCCAAGGGCATTACAAATGGTACTCCTAATACACCAAATTACAAATGGTACTCCTAATACAGCAAGCAAACCTGAAAAGTGAAGGTGTATTATCTCACCAAGATCTAATGTGCCTTCTTGCTCCTCAGCATCTTCATGCGATGAACCCTGCTCTGCTTTGCCAGCATTTGCCCCTGTGCCAGCATTATCAGCTTCAGTTGATGCATCACCTAGTATAAAAGAGGGAGGAAGCATTGTAGCCGAAGAGCTCTGGCTGCTGACAGCATTCGAAGATGCTTAGAAGCAATCAATCGATACAGTTTCTAAGACAATGTGTGCAGTTACTACAAGCTGCTTTAATAATGAAATCTTTTGAAATGTTTCACACATTTGCTGGAGAAGTACCAGTCAAACCCCTGTTCTAATGCTCTAGCCTCATGCCACTCTTTCAACACACATAATATTGACACAAATGGCACACAGTGCTGAGGAGTTCTCAAACGTTACTAAGTACAGCATCAAACACTGCGCAAATTACAGTAGACTGTATCAGCGCTGTGCCTCTGCAAGTGGTCCTGTTTCTACTGCAACACTTCTGATCGTTAGTTCGTGTTAGGTGAATTGTTTTAATTTTACTTCTGTCCAACAATTCATATGTGACATGCCACGAATGCCTGCTCTTCATTATCAAACACAGTAGAAGCATAAACTTTTCAGATTAAGAATAATTATTTGAAGCTACATGACACTTGCAATCTAGTGATCTCCCATTCTGTAGTAGGATCAGATATGGGATTGTTGTTGTTGTTGCTTTTGCAGTAGCAACACCAACAATAGTCTCTAGTGCTGAAAAAGTTCACAGAAAAGACAGGAAATGAAAGCACTCAAATCAACTGTACAGTATACAGTAGTTTCATTGCATAAGGAGCTCTGCCAAAGCAGGAGACACTTTTCTGCAAACGCTAGTAGTGCCCTTCTGAGGCCGTACACTAGAAAACTATATTTGTAGTGCAGAGTAACTTTACCGCAAAACTGGAATAGAGTCAAACCTTAAAATAAATGTCTTCAATACAAATATGTAACGAATATCACATAGAATGAAAGTATCTTCGTGCCAATTTTATTTCTATATACCTGTCAAACTGTGAGCATTAAAATTTCTAAAATCCCATGAATATAACGCTGATAAGAAATTGGGAGGGCATAGCAAGCATATTTTTTTAAACATTGCCTGTATCACATGTAGTACATGCATATTGTGAGGAACCTGTTTATTCAGCCAGGCTCGAGCTAAATCACGCTGGTGATGATATTTTTAGATGAAGAAGATGTACAGGTGATGATGATATTAAAGAGAATAAAGAGTCATTCGCTTATCGCGCTCACACTAATTCCCCCGCGCGGTGAAAGTGGCCGCCTGGTCGCTTGACAGTATTATGAAATGCGTCGCGCGTAAGGCTTTAAACGAGATGCGTGCACTATCTCTGTTCCTCAGCAACGATGATCAGGACTAGCGCTAAGAGGAGAAACGCGGTAATTGACAGGAGATGTCTGTTCGACCACCGTGTACGGCCCAATGAAGCGACTGATGAACTTGTCGCATAGGCCGGGGACGCATAGTGGAGTCCATAGAAGAACTTCATCACCAGGGGAAGAACTCACAACACGGTGAGACGAGTCGTAGGGAAATTATCGAGTGTCTCGAGAGAGGCCGGTGTTAACACGGGCCTGGTGACGGCAGTGTGCGAGACGAGATAGGAATTCTTCAGAGAAAGGAGCCGTTGAGGGTGCAGGGGCCGAAAGGAAAGAGACATCCAGAGCGAAACTCATCGAGCGACCATGGACGAGAAAAAATGGAGAAAAGCTGGTAGTGCGTTGAGCAGCCGCATTATAGGCGAATGCCACGAAGGGTAGAATTGCATCCCAGTTCGTGTGGTTGGGGTGAATGTACATGGCGATCATGTCCGATAGGCTCCGATGAAACCATTCAGTCAATCCGTTGGTCTGCGGGTGGTAATCCGTTGGTCTGCGGGTGGTAGCTAGAAGTGGTCTTGTGAACAGTGTTCGAGGCACGCAAAACTTGCTCGAGAATGGAAGATAGGAAGACTTTGCCACGATCACTGAGGAGAATGCGTGGAGCTCCATGACGCAAAAAGATGTGGCGAAGAAAGAAATCCGCGATCTCAGTGGCAGTCGTCCCAGATGGTATAGAAGCTGTTTCTGCGTAGCGGGTAAGGTGGTCGACGGCCGTGACAATCCAGCGATTCCCACTGGATGATATAGGAAGAGGGCCATACAAGTCGATTCCAACGACTTCAAAAGGCGAGGCGGGACAAGGAAGAGGTTGCATTAAGCCAGCCGGAGCAGTTGTCGGTCGTTTTCGCCATTGGCAATGGACACAGGAGGCGATGTACTTAGCGACGGTTGAAGAGAGGCCAGGCCAAAAACAACGACTTCGTATTTTGTCATAAGTCTTGTGATAGCCTAGATGAGCGGCGGTTGGATCATAATGAAAGGCTTCCAGAACTTCACGTTGCAGAGAACGTTTTATGACGGGTACCCACTTGTTGCCATCGATGTGGTAAATGTAGCGACATAAAGCATCACCGACAAGCTTAAATTGTTTAAGTTGTCGACGGAGTCTGGCGTTTGGAGGAGTAGTAGAGCTGGTCAAGCGGTCAACAATGGTACAGCAGTATGGGTCGACACGTTGTTGTGAAACAAGGACAAATAGGGTGGCAGGTGATCTTTGAGCTGCGATTGGAGAGGTGCTGTCGTTTTGTAGTATCGATGGTGAGTGGCTTCCGCTGGGCAAAGGACAGCGCGATAGAGCATCAGCATCTTGATGCTTCTTCCCAGATCTGTAGGCGACATCGAAATCATACTCCTGCAAGCGAAGCGCCCAGCGACCAAGGCGACCCGATAAGTTTTTCAGCGATGAAAGCCAGCATAGGGCGTTATGGTCGGTCACGACGGTAAAATGACGGCCGTGAAGATATGGTCGGAATCTTCGCACATCCCAAACAACAGCAAGTCCCTCCTGCTCGGTGATAGTGTAGTTCTTTTCTGGAGCGGTAAGAGCATGACTTGCTTAAGCAACGACGCGTTCGTGTGAGTTTTTGTCACGCTGCAAGAGTACCGCACCAAGACCATGACTACTTGCGTCGGTGTGAAGGATGGTGGGTGCGGTGGAATCGAAGTGGCACAGCACCGGATCCGACGTGAGGGCTTGCTTCAATGCCGTGAAAGCGCTTTCGCAGTCTTTGGACCAAATGAAGGGGACGTTCTTTGCGAGGAGTTGATGGAGCGGAGACGCAAGTTCCGCGAAACCACGTATGAAGCGCCGGAAGTAAGAAGATAACCCAAGAAAGCTGTGCAGGTCCTTTTGTCGTAATGGACGAGGAAAATCGAGGACAGCGGCAAGCTTCTTGGGGTCGAGCCGAATTCCTTCTTTGCTGACAAGGTGGCTGAGAACCTTGATTGCCTTGCTAGCAAAGGTACATTTCTTGGTGTTAAGCTGTAGACCGGCTTTTGCAAGGCATGTGAGGACTTCGTCAAGACGTTGTAGATGCTGCGAGAACGTGGATGAAAACACTACTATGTCATCGTGCTAGCACAGACATGTTTTCCATTTCAAACCAAGCAATACGCCGTTTATCATGCGTTCGAAAGTGGCGGGCGCATTACAGAGTCCAAAAGGCATCACATTGAACTCGTACAACCCATCTGGCGTTGAAAAGGCGGTCTTTTCTTTATCAGACTCCGATATTGGTATCTGCCAGTAGCCTGACCTAAGGTCGAGGCTAGAAAAATACTCTGCGCCCTGTGATGAATCCAGTGCATCGTCGATCCGAGGGAGGGGATAAACATCCTTGCGCGTTATTTTGTTTAGCGCACGGTAATTGATGCAGAAACGCACTGTCCCATCTTTCTTTTGAACGAGAACAACTGGGGATGACCAGGGACTCGAGGAAGGACGTATGATGTTGCGTCGTAGCATGTCTGAGACGTTTTCCTCGATGATCTTGCGTTCTGCCTGAGACACGCGATATGGACGCCGATGCACAATACGAGAGCCGTCAGTCTGGATGCTGTGAGTAGCGGTGGTAGTCATGCTGAGGGCGGGCGAGTTCACGTCAAATAGGAAACGGTGTCTATTTAACAGGGCGAGCAAATCTTCAGTTTGATCAGGTGTTAAGCCATTGCTTATTGTTGCGGACACAGGTGTGGCAGAGGCATTGAATGGCAGTGATTGTGACTTCGGAACATCGTTGTGGTTGTTGTTCGGAAGAGTAACAATCGCAACAGGCTCACTGTCGACCGCGCAAGATACTGTTGAGCCACGGGAGAGCAGTACACACTCGGGCGTTTGATTTACTGGCGGTTAGGTACGTAGACCCATCGAAGAAGCGAATAAGCCCTGGTGTGATCACAATGCCCCTACGTAGGGTATGACCGTATGAGAGAATTAGTACGTCGCCATCCACAATGTCGGTGCAATTAACACTTATAATTTCTTCGATGTATGGCCGAAGAACAAAATCTGACTTGGTGACAAGGCGGATGCGTCCATCGCGTTCAAGCGGAGAAGAGTCAGTGGCATTTAGATGCAGGAGGCGCTGATGACATGATATGAAAGCGGACGCAGAAGACAAGAAATCCCACCCAAGAATGAGAGCGTGGGTGCACTCACGAAATACCGCGAAAACAATGTGATGACGAATGCCTTCTATGCAGACACGAACAGTACACTGTGCAAGTGGACGAATGAGAGCGTTGGTCGCCGCACGTAGAGGTGGGCCGCCATAATGTGTGGTGACTTTTCGAAGGCGGGAACAAAAATCAGCACGAATAATCGAAAAGGCAGCGCCAGTGTCTACAAGAGCCTCAACGCGTACACCTTCTACAAACACTACTATCAAATTCGATGGCCGCTCTGGAGGAATTGTTAGCTGTCCAAGGGATGTAGTTTCCCCTCCTAAAACTGCATTGGGGAGTTTTCTGCATGGGCGTTCGTGGAATGGGAGGCGGGCCATAGAGGCGACACTGAACGGCGACCTGCGGCGAGACGTACGGGAATTCCCAGGCATGTCCGTATGGTAAGTAGGTGATGGTGAACAGTAATAGGACGATCGGGAGGGTGGTCGTAGGTAGTTCATGGTCAGACGGAAGCTTCGATGTTCTTCGGGAGAGTAGCCGCGTTGCTCGTCTTGTTGGCACCTTCGACAAAACCGAGCGATATGTCCTCGATAGCCGCAGTAGTAACAGATTGGTCGAGGTGGGCGCTGAGGTGCGTAGTAAGGTGGTGCACGCACTGGCGGTGATAACGAAGTCACAGGCGTATGGTCTGCTGTTGTAGGCACAGAAACGGTGGGTGCGGCAGAGAGCGCGGCAACTTCGGCATAAGTGCGCGTCTGGCGCACGCAGAGACGGTTCGAACACGTCGCACGCGATGCGGAGGCGATCTCTTGTTTAATCAGGTCTCGCAAGCTATCTTTTTCAGAAGGGAAAGTAACTTCCGCAGCACAAGAAGAGCAGCGCCCGTGCAGCTCTTCACGAACGATGTCGCGAATAAGCGCACGCAATTCGAGGGGTGCAGGCAAACGAACGTTGGTGGCATCGTAGCAAAGGCGAAGAGACTGAAGCTCGTCAAGTCGCTGACAGATGGTTATCACGTCCTGGGTGGTGGCAGGATTTTGCGTGGCGAGGGCGTTAAAGGCGACGGTGTTAATGCTTTAATAATGTGGCGTATTTAGTCTTTCTGAGACATACCGGTGTTAACGCGCTTGCACAGTGCAAGGACATCCTCAATAAAAGAGGTCTAAGATTCACCCGGCAGCTGCGTGCGATCAGCGAGTTTCTTCTTTGCTGCCTCAGTGCGAACTGCAGGGGCACCAAATATCTGACGAATTTGCTGCTCGAAAGTGTCCCAGTCGGGAAGATCCGGGTGACGGTTCCAGAACCAAGTTTTCGCAAAATCGGACAAGTAAAATGGGACGCTGTGCAACTTCTGTAGATTGTCCCATCTGTTCAAATCGCTGACGAGGTCGTAGTTATTGATCCAGTCTTCGACATCATCGCTTCGGAGACCGGAAAACACAGGTGGATCACGCAGGCGAATGTTGTTGGGCGGAGCGGGTGGCGGTGGCTGCAGTAGGACAGCGACGTTGGATGGGCCAGGGTTTTCTTGGGCCGCCATGGCAGGGGGTTGTATGCGACGACCCGAGCGGAGCTCCAGCGAGAACGGGCGAGAGGACTTGAGGGAACAAAAGCACAGTCCACCACTTGTGAGGAACCGGTTTATTCAGCCAGGCTCGAGCTAAATCACGCTGGTGATGATATTTTTAGATGAAGAAGATGTACAGGTGATGATGATATCAAAGAGAATAAAGAGTCATTCGCTTGTTCGCGCTCACAATATGCACTTTACTAACAATTTATATTCAGACTCTGCACTACAAAGCAAAAGCAAACATGGAAGACTGAAATGCAACACACAGTGACTTCTTCGCTAGCCTTGTGGTTCCAGCTTAGCCTGATTTAGATTTCATGTATAAAATTTTTTGAAGCAAGCAATCTTGTATCACTTCAGCATTACTTATCAGTCGCCCTTAGTTCACAATAGGTTTATTGACAGTATAAAGCCTCACTACCCCCATTGCGATGAGAGACAATGCACATTATCCCACATGCTCTGGTAATGCACGGCGCTGCACAATGGCAAGCCTCTCAGCACAGAGGACGCCTGGAAGACTGCAATCACCAGCTCTGATCGGGAAGTCCAAATCCGGGCTGTCCAGAGGGCCCGCAGTTTGGGGGAGAAGCATGCTCATCCTGACCAATGTGGGTGCGGCCCGCAGCTTGCCCACTCTCTTGAGGAGCATCGACTCCTCAGGACAATTCGTGAATGAAGTTCGTTGACTGACTGACTTAAGCATCAGGTGATATGAAACAGAAGCAATTATTGCCGCCATATTACTGAAGTGATGTGGACAAGAAAGAGGACCAGGATTTATCCTTATCACTTCAGTGCTTCAGTCCCAATAATCGCTTCTATCTAACCAGTACAAAAATCTTTTATCTAACAGAACACTTCAAAGCCTGAGTAGTGAATGTTCTTCATAACTACTTTTCCTTTTTTTTAATACTGACATAACAATTGTAAAGAAATAGGCTAGTGCGAATATTTGAGCACTTCGAATATTTGAACGAATGGTAAAGTTTTTGAACTTGCTACCGTTTGAATATAAATTAGTGGAAACTTCTAAGTATTTGCAATGAACAAGTGTATATTAATCTACATGTGAACCCCCTGTAAAGGTGCGTTTCACTGCAGTAAACGAGTGCCATACCGTGAATACAGCTTTTCAAAAAAAGTCTGCACTGCTGCGAAGCCCCACTTCAAAGTCAAATGAACACAATTTTTCACATCGATTCTTCCTTTTTTGATTGCTCGCATAAAAGCTTGTTATGCTGGCTTATATGCTCTAAGTATAGTAACTTTTAAATGTAACATATTTTACAGGTTATCACTTGCATTCTACCAAAAGTCAAATCATGGTGCTATTCAAACCTGCTTCCACTTCCTTTGAACCAAAATGAATGACATTTGCAAATGCCTTGTTTTTATATTTTTTAAATGTTGAGCAGGTTAGGTGGGTCATGACAAATATGCAATTTTTTTTTATAATGTGCGAGACATACAGTCAGTGAGGAAAAGGGCACAACATGTCTGTATGGGTCTGAAGAAGGCCTACAGTATTGTTAAATAAATAAATAAATAAATGTCTCATCAAACAATCTTTATTCCACACTGCCGCCATTCCCACTGTCCATGATGATGATGATGATGATGGCGCCAACTGTGGGACCATGTGTCGGCCTTATGATTGCCGCATCCACCACACAGTCCTTACAATATTATTCAAATTTTATAAAAAATTTTTGAATTAGATCACTATTAGCTTTGGACCTAGAATTTACTATTTGCACAAGCTTACGAAGTACCATGTTTATTCACATAATTTGCACACTTCTGTTTTTCTTGCAATTTTGGAGCTACAGAAAGAGGGTACACAAACTACACTAAGATTCTGCGAATGTATCTGAAATAATGTGCAATGTATATAGTCCTAAAGTGTGCAGTATGTGCATAAAAAAATTAAAAATAAACTAAAGGAAATGAAGTGTGCTTGCTTACTCAAGCACACCGGTCTAGGCAGCCGAGTAGGTCTGATTGAGAATCATCGTCATGGCTGATGTCATTGAGGTCCCAAAGCGAGGACTTGTTTTCAGTTCCGTTCTAATGCCTTATTTTCTTGCTCTTCTCATATGATGCTGGGATAAACCAGGTCCCATGACAGACACAATGATGCCGAAAGAAAGCTTTTGCACATAATTGAAAAGGCCCTATTCAACAACACAAAGCTGTATTAGGAAGCACGCACTCTTCTGCTTTCTCCCGCGCCGAACGTCACATGTTGAAGAACTTCACGCTGAAGTGCTTGCCGGTGGTACAGTACCCGATTTTTTTTTTTTTCGGCCAATTTTATAATAGCGAGCTTGAATTTCATCATACATATAATTATAGTCGCCTGTCAGAAGGGAACACTGATTTTTGGGCTAGTTGGCTTTCTATTACTGAACACGTCGCATGGGAAGAGTAAAAACACGACAAACGGACAGCGAAAACAAGGGACTTTGCACTTGCAGTCTGTTTTAACTATGACTGTGCTAGCCTGTTTGTCAAGCGGAGAGCCTGTCCAATGCATCCAAAGGTCCAAAATATTAGGGGTGCGCAAATCATGCGTGGGTGCAAATTATGCAAGTAAATACGATAACTTGAATTTGCTAACTTCACAAAAAAATCTGTGTGGTTTGTAGGTACAACTTGTGATTGCAGCTGAAAAAGATTCCACTGTAATACTGAACTACTCGAACTGCTAGAGGAACGACATTGACTGTTCCGGACAAATCGTGGTAAGTTGAAACCTAGTGGAAAACTTCTGCAACTACAACAACCACACTGCACCACAATGCACGACACATAGGGCTCACGCAGAAGCAGCAAGAGCATTGAATGACAGAAAGTTGAGTTGTTTGGTAAAGGTTCATGGTGAAAGAAAGTAAGATGTGCAGACACAGACAAAAATAAGATGAGTGTTTGTGTAATACATTTATCTTCTCTTGAATCTGCATTGGCATAACTTATTTTCTTCAGTATAGAAGAGCACTGACCTGCTGCACGGTCGTCCTTCATGTCGAGAGGAGGAGTGGCTTGCTCTTCGGGCGGTCCTTCTTCCGGACCACCGGGCTCCTCCTCTAGGGGAGCCTCAGCAGCAGCCTCTTCGGCATCTGAGGCAGTGCCTTCTTCTTCGTTGGGGCACTCTGGAGAGAGCGATTCTTCGTCATCATTGGCAATGTCTTCTGCATCAGAACCCAAGTCCATGTTCTCGGGAATCTCAATGTCCTCAGGAATCTCCAGTTGAGCTTGGTTCCTGAACATATTCCAAACCAAGAGATCCTGTAAGCGAGCCTTGCACCAATGTTCAATGTCAGCTGTTGAGCAGCGACACATGACGTACCCACAGTCTTTACCAAAGCAATGCTACATCATGCTTTTTCATTAGGTAACCACAAGTACTGAATGCTAAGTTCTACCCTAAGCTCCATTTCCAGATTTTATGATAGTGAAATATGCCTAAAAAATTTTAAAAGCCAAAGATTCAATAAATAAATTAAAAATTAATAGAGGTTTGATGGAAACTGTAACCCAATTTAAGTACCCAGGAAAATGAGGGCAGACTGCTTATCCATTTCATGTAACCTCTACCCATGACCATTACACATGTAAATCTGGCAAACAAGCAAAGCTCTCGGCAATAGTATCTAGCTGCCACCATTGCATTGTGCTGCACTTGTTTCAAACTGTTTAATTAGGACACGCCAGATGGAAAGTCACTGGGAATGCATTGAAAAATGGCTTTTAAAATGACCTTGAAAGAAACTGGCTGGGGGCTCAGAGTTATGAAACAAGGAGCACATTGCAAATGTTAAGAATAAAGAAAATATGATTGCAGCAAGACTAGTAAGCTAAAACCAAGCAAACATTGCTGGTCATATTTTAAAACAAAGTGTATATTCTATGGAGTTGCTGCGTTAACTTTGCCATTATCTTTTTGCACAGTTTGACTTTTCAGTAATCAAGCCATAGTACAGTAAAGTTCAGTTGGTGCAAATCTTGCAGAATCACCAAAAATATTAGTATAATCTAAAATTCATATTACCAGAAAAAAATAAAATATGAGCATGCAAAAAAAATGGCATACATTTTTTTTCGGTGATGCAACGATGTCCTGATCTGTTCTGAAAACTAATGAAAAATGCCAGAGTACTGTGCCAAAAGTGACTTAGGGAGCACTCTGCAGCAACAGATGAAGGCCTGATAATTTTAGAACCACTATCTTTTGCTGTAATTACTAGATCTGTGTGAATCGAATTCATATATTGAAGTTTGAGTGTGAATCGAATCAAATATTTTTCAACTATTTCTCGAATATTTTTCAAACAGTTTGAAGCGAATAAGCGGGAAAAACAAGCTGGGGAGGATTTCCAAGCATATTCTTGTGAGATATAGCAACATGAATGTGTTTCTTTTTGCTAGGTTAATGAAGCACTGGTGGGGAGATGTTTTGTAGTTGTCTTACCAAAAATGAGGCGATGCAGACCCACATTGTATTAGCGCATGATTTAGAGGATATCGTAACTCCAGCTGTATGGATGTCACGCTATGCTCACAAGACCTTCTTGAGGTTTCTGAATGGTCAACGGATATAGAAGCGCCTGGCAGTGACCACTTCGATTCTGGTAGGACATAGACTTGTGAGGATTACAAGGACTCAACACTACCCAAATGTACTAACTGGCAACATAACAGCTGCAATAGGCAAAAACCAAACTTAAAAATGTTTACAACTACATTGACCGACTCTTACAACATTAGCACCACGCAAGTCACAGTGCCAAATGAGTATACGGCAGTTGACGGGAATACGAACGCTTAAGAGCAAGTCAGAAAATGAGCAGAACAGGCTTACCGTAGCAGTGAGAAACTCGAGGGCTACAAGATGGCACAAAAACTCACGCAACATCACACCGTAGCTTACAGAAATTAGGTAGCAGACGATGGACAACAATACTGCTCATCGTTCAGTCCATTCACTGCTTTTCCTAGAATATGGGCGATCGTACCATTCTTCAGCGGCCCTTTCTGAGCTCTTGACATAACCCAGAACACTCCACAAACAAATGTTGCTACGAATTCTGTCGGCTAATAACCAGACCAGGAATCGCAACTGCATGCCCACAATTGGCAAGTTCCACAGCACTTGCCACTCAGACAGTGTGAGCGTATCTCATGTTGAAACACCCTCAGCTTGATTGCAATTTAGCTTAGAAGAACTTGGGTGTGCCCTTGAGTTATTTTGTACAAAAATGGCTGCAAGACCAGATGGGGTTACGTATATGCTGCTGAAGAGCCTTGGACCAGCAGGTAGAATGACACCGCTAGAGATATTTAATGATATCTGGATATCAGAGATTCTCCCAGATTCATGGAAATTAGGTAGAGTAATTCTAGTCCTAGAACCAGAAAAGACCCCTTTGTGTCTGGAATCATTTCGCCCAGTCGGTCTCACAAGCTGTGTTAGCAAGTTGATGGAAATAATGGTATACAGTGGACTTCAATGGTGGTGTGAACATACAAAAGTGTTGTCATACTATATGACAGGTTTTCGTCAAAGGCGATATTAGATATTGTCACATGTGTTGAGCACGAACACATGTGTGGAAACATCACAATGGCGGTATTTCTCGACATTCAGAAAGCATTCGACTCAGACACATTTATGTCATGGCAGGGATGTTAGAACTTGGACTATATGGTCGATCACTGCTATAGACTATAAATTTTATGATTGACAGGAAAATATACATGGAAACCACTAAAGGGCAAAGTAATTAGGTGATTGATTGCCTGCCTGCCTGCCTGCCTGCCTGCCTGCCTGCCTGCCTGCCTGCCTTCCCTGCCCTGCCCTGCCCTGCCCGCCCGCCCACCCTCCCTCTGTTCGCCCGCCCGTCCATCTGACCGTCCGTCCGTCTGTCTAGCCACCTACGACTTTTAGCTCTCCTGGTCGTTTCGATAATGATATCGATACCAAACTTGGTATGGCATAACATGACTGTACGAAGAACATATTTGACTAGTCATTATATTAAAATCATGACATGTATGACACAAATGTCATGATTTACATTTCATGGTCCTGCAGTTCCTGCAGTTGTTTCGTTCACATGGCATGTTGCAAAACTAGTATGGTATGACATGATTGCATGGCAAACACAAGCGACATACCCTTACATGAAAACCATGACATGCGTGTCCTGTAACAACATGACTACATGCCACGCTCATGATGTGCTCGCGGACGTTTCGCTTGCGTGACATATATCAAATTTGGTGTTACGGTACGTGAATGAATGACGAAGGTATGTGATTAGTGGAAGCATGATAATCATGAGATGCGTGTCATGTAACAACATGACTACATGCTATGCTCATGATGCGCTGCCGGCCGTTTCGCTAGCTTCACAACCAAACTCGGTATTACGCAATGCGAATGGACGACATAGGTAAATGACACATCCAAACATGAAAAAAAGACATGCGTGTCATGTAACAACATGACTACATGCCACACTCATGATGCGCTTACGGCCATTTTGCTAGCTTCACATATGCCAAATTTGGTATTACATGACGTCAATGAATGACGAAGGTATGTGACTGGTGCAAACATGATAATCATGAGATGCGTGTCATGTGAGAAAATGACTACATGCCACAATCAAGGCGCCAATACATTTCGACGTGACGTGGTGCGCGTGCTCGCCAAAGTTTATTTTGTTGCGTCACGCCGGCGTTGCCACGCCAGGCGCCGGTCCTGCCATATACTCGCAGGCGCACGCCGTGCTGTGTTGCTTTGACACATGCGCGTTGCAGTGCGTCCGGCGTCCCTTTGCCACAAAAAGAGGGATACGCAGTGTTGTCTAGGTAATGCATCGGCGCAAAATGCTGCATGTCGCACTTCATGCCGCTTGCCGTCGGGCCGCGCAGACGGACGCTGGTCGCGCCTGGAGTCAGACTACAGAGTGTTTGCGTTTTGCTAACGCAGCATCGCTGTGCCCAGTGTGCGTACGCGTCAACGCTACATTGGAGTATATTGGGCCTTTTATGATGCGCTGGCGGCCGTTTTGCTAGCGTCACATATACGAAATTTGATGTTACGTGACTGTCAATGATGACGAAATATATGACTGGTGCAAACATGATAATCCTGACACGCGTATCTTGTAAGAACATGACAACATACCAAGCTGATAGTGTGCTCGCGACCATTTCGCTAGCTCCACATATACAAAATTTGGTATCACGTGACGTGAATAGATGACCAAGGTAAAGACACATCCAAACATGATAATCATGACATGGAAGTCATGTACGGCATCATTTACCTCCACCTCGTAACGTTGTGCTGATTTTAAAGTGACGTATCAACCTTTCTCATTCGTGCTTCGCATATCATCGATTCTCACTGTACGTGGAATCTGCCAATTTTTTGGCACCGATTCTCCAGGAGTTGTCACAAACTACAGAAGTACATCTTCAGAGATTACTGGCATGGAGGTTAAAGGTGTGCATGGGAGTCCTACAGGCAACGTCGAGCTCTCTCGTAATCACCGAGGCTCATCATCCCGCCATTCTCTGTATGCGAACAGTCGAAACTTGTCGCCATGTCTTCGGTATTTCAACTCAGCATGAGACGCATCCATTGAACTTGACAGTAATAAATGTAATAATAAAAGTAATAAATGTAAGCTACACAATATTGTTCAGGAACTCAAAGAAATAATACCGAGGTTTGAGATGAACAGAGTTATATTAATTTCTCTTCTTCAATGCTGCCAAGACCAAAAGTACAGTTGTCGGTTGAGGGAATATTATCTAAAAGGGACGTTCATGACAAATACGTAGCAGCTGGCACTATTCAGATTTATTCCCTATATCCACAGTATATTCACAAATATACAGACGGACTCTTGTCATGCAAATTCCCCTTCTTCAGCTTTTGTCATCCCACACTTGGCAATAGAGCAGACATTTAAATTATGTCCAGTGACGTCCTCTACTGTTGCGGAACTGTTTGCAATTCTATTTGCGCTACGCTTTATAACATCGGAAAAAGAGGCACTTTTTGTGCCTCTTTTTAGCGACTCTCAGGCCGCTCTAGCGTTGCTGCAAAGCGATAGAAACCTGTTTTTAAATGTTTCGCTCTTATATGAGACCTTAATAGAATGCACAAAAGCAAGAGAAATGAACCACGTGATTGTCTTTCAATGGATACCAGGTCACTGCAGCATTATAGGAAACATTGGAGCGGACTCTGCAGCAAATAGGGCCCACAATAACAAAGAGACAATTGCCCTTCCAATTCCACGCACTGAAATCTATGTACTTCTCAGACAGATAACCTGTAGCGTCACCGAAGACAAATGGTTCGACGAAAAATCTAAAGGTTCAGACTTATATCTAATAGACCCTTGCATAAAACTAAGCATTTCATTAGAGTTGAGAGAAAATAGGAAATTTGAAACATTGGTCCACCGCCTACAGCTTGGTACAGCATTGACGCGACATTTTCTACACATCATATGGTGGTTTTGCGACGTTAAACACCACATATCAATTAATCATTTTCTGCACAGTATAAAACGTGCACCAAGAACAGAGTGTTCATACGGCCACCCTGACAAAGATGTATGTCACCTGCTTCTTAAGTGCCCGAAATATGAGACACAAAGAAAGGTACTATGAACAAGTTTGCAACTTTTAGATAGGAGGCCTTTCACAGTGACACAAATACTAGGTCCATGGCCAAGTGCAGGTCTTCAGAAAAGAGTGCTTGTTGCCTTCAAGAAGTTCCTTGAAGAATCAAATATTTGTGTAAATATTACCTACCGTATGTGATGTCACCTTCATGATAAAGAAAATGTGTAATATTTAGATAAGAGTGTTTCATATGAGCAATAATTTGACTCAGTGAGAACTGACCTTGTGAGCGGAAACTGTGTACACATGAATCTAAAAGGTATATCTGAACTATCATGTGATGTGAACTGACCTTATGTGTGGAACATATGAACCTATTAGCTGTATGTGACTGACCTGTGATGTTTAGCTATTGTGTACTTTCACATTGTATGTTGTACAGTCTCACATTTTGTGCCCTCATTGTTAATATTAAGGCATATCTTGTCTCCTGAGAGAAAAAATGTAGCCGGTGCCACCATAATGCCACCAACCTCTCCTATTTCATCATTTTAATAATAATATAAAAAAGCACATGATTAGGTGCAACCGAAGTGTTGCCGACAACACTTTAAACTTGAAAGGCAAAGATGCCATTTTCCCAGCCTTTGGTTTTTCGACTCTTTAGAAGACCGAGTGATGTGGTGGACGAAAAAGTGCTCCCTTTGAGTTAGAAGTTCCAATACTGCCTCACAGACATAATCACACAAGAAAATTTGAAATTTCGGATGCTAAAAATGCTTGGTATTCCTGCTCAAATTTTAGGTCCACAATCGTGTTATCCCCCCCTCTACCTCTGCCACATCTATCATCTCCATGCTGGAACCAGCGTTTTTTTTTAGTCAATACATTTAAAACAATAAGAAAGCCTAAAAAGCAGCTTTTCTGCAATACAATACTGTAATAAGGTGAAGCATATTTAAACTTTGAAGGGTCACTTTTGATTGGTCATTGACAGTCTAAAAAGTTGGCCCGTAACAAAGCTTAAAAGAGAGGTTTGTGGCAATACGAGACTGTAATGAGGTGAAGCATAGCACAAATCCGCAGGGGTCACTTTTTATTGGATGCTGACTGCATTTGGGGATTTTCAATAGCTTTAATAGTAAAAATTTCAGTGTGAATAAAATGAATTGGCAAACACAATTAAAATATATTCAGAATTGTGAATATTCACACACCTCTACTTAATATTTTCTTATCGCGGATGTGTTGGGGATGCTTTTCAGGAGATTTACGGCCATGCCAGCACTATGGGCAAGTTAAAAAGGCGTGGGTGTCCCCAACAATTGTGCATGTTAACGTCGTGAGGTCTAGCTTCTTTGCCAAGGGAGTTTGCTTTCTAATTTTGGTTCTCATTGACCATTCACCTGATGCCCGAGGACACAGCTTGCATCGATGCGTAAATAATAATAATAATAATAATAATAATAATAATAATAATAATAATAATAAAGACGGGAGTGCGACATCAACATTATCTGTAATTTAAACACAAAGTCACACAAAGGTGCATTACAGCCTCCAAGATTAGGGTGCACACTCTTGGAGGCTATGACGTGTCACTGACGGTAAATTCTCACGAACTGGAGGTGCAACAAGCCAACACTTGGGTTCCTGCGCCCGTGCTTGCTGGTCGCATGTTCTGCGACAGAACGGGCAGCTCCTGTTCATACCTACACGGTAACACACTTTCGTATCAATTGCCTTGAGGTGAAAATTAACCATACTCGATTACATTGCAGGTCTGTATCACCGCAAAATGTGCATGAGCTGTGATATCACTGAGGCTTTGTTCTACAGCAGAGTCTCAGTAGGTGGAAATCTTTTAAATGGAGCTTCTGCTTAAATGGAACCGCCTCTAACATGATTGCTTTCGTACTTAGATTTGCCCCCTGTTTATCTCTCAGTAAACGGAGAATCCATTACACGGAACGCATTTTCCTGGTCTCTTCCAGTTTCCTTTAACACTAGCCTACTGCACTAAAATATACAAGACATAGCACTAAACTTGCAAGATGGTTATAAACAACAAGGCAAGTTATGCTTGAATTTTCAAAGACCATACAAGAGAAGAAAATGCATTTGTACACAGTGAAGCAATCAACATGATGCACACCTCGAGATGCGCGGAATCTGGGTCTGGTGGTGGTTCCTCAGCGTTATCGCATTGACCATTGTCCTCAGAACCAGCGGATGGTGGCTGCTCATTCTGTGGAGCAGCAGACTCATCCTTGGCACCAAGTTCAGGCGTCTGTTTGCAGGCCTCGCCTGTGGCACCTTTCTCTTCGTTCTCATCACCTGCCTCCTCAGGCTCATCTTCCTCTTCTTTGTCCCACAGCTGTTGGGGATCAACAAAAAGAAGAAAAGCAGAGCACGTGTCACGTTTACAGGGACACAACACGTGAAAATGGTATTAAAATGACCTTGTATGGCATACAACCCATATCTTACATAACAGCAGCAACACATGCAATTACTTATAGAAAGTGTTCTTCTGACCTGCTAACCCTAGGTCACCTTTGCTCAGGTCTTCTTTGCCAAGTGCCTCAGACTGACTGAAAACCTGACCCCCGCTACAATTTTGATGCTGCCACACTGTACTGCATCACTCTGCTTTTCAAATACGAGAAAACGAACTCTTACAGCATTGAAAAAAAGCTAAGATTAGATTTATTTCATAACTTGAGTGCTTGGCAGCTGAGCTAGATACATCTGGGATGACATTCCTAGTCATAACTGCAGCATGCCCCAGAATATAGCACACTTTCAATGCTGGAAGCCATTTGCTCATTTTTTTTCTATGACCGAAAAAAAATGTAACCCACTAAAAATGAATACTAAATGCCTTGTCAAAACAACAGTGTGCTGAAATCGTCCTGCTTAATTACCTTGTGTAAGGGCGTAAAAGAATTGCAGTCATAAGCATACAACACTTATAATAAGTTTGATAATCAAGATGCATCGATGTAGTAATACCTGTCTGTAGATTTCTGGGTTACTATTAAAGAATTGTTATTATAAGCCAGGCCAGAAAACCCTGTAGTAAGATTGTGACAGTACCCTAGAACTGCCTGATGACTGAAAGCCCATAATTTGTAGACTTGCGGCCTACAGCAGTGACCATTACGCCCTTTGGGATGCTTTACTATCACTCTACTTAAAAACCTACCATGTGATGTACACTTGTCAAAGTATTTTATCAGCTACAAAATACTAAGGGTCTCAGAAACAAAATTTGCACTTAGTGCAACACGAAAAAAAAAAAAACTAAACTTTTCTTGTGTCATATTATCGATCCAAATCTGACTGAAAGTTCTTTACTACAAGACCCATTTGAAAAAATAATGTTGACAATATTTTAATCATTTACTACTTGAAATCCCAGTTTATGGCAAAAGTGTGGCCCCATAGCATTTACAAGACAATAAATCATTCAAATTGCAATAAATTTAAGAATGTTGCAACTGAGATAAACATGTTATTGCTTAGCTATACCAGGAACGCATCGGAAACATCTTCATAGCCATGACCAACTCATCCACGAACAATAATTCTTTTAAAGCTGCATCAGTTACACCACGATTCCAGAGTTATCAAAAGCTTCAAATTTTGCCTACGATTAAAGCTCTGATCAGAAAAAAAAAATATTTTTTTACATTCATATGTTCACCATAGTTCCTTTAATGATTTATTGATGTTGCATAGACTCCTGACACTAAGAAGTGGTAGGTCAGGTTTTCTCTGTCTTTATACTGACATAGAAATATGCACAAATAAAATATTGTGTTTATAGCCATATTTATTACCTGTCTATTAATTCTTCAGACTGCCATGAAGGTGTTGACATTGTCTTTTCCATCTATTCTCCCAGAAACCGCTCACTTACTCGAGTTGAACTTCTTTATTGGAGACATGCACCAGGCAAGAATAGTTGTCTTTTATATGAGGTGTCTCTTACAAGCAGGATACCACGTACGCATTACCATATGAACCCCAATTTTAAGTTGGGCACACTAGTGTCTCTTATAAGTGTTTGACTGCGTATGACGGCCATTGACAGCACCACACTTGAGAATAAAGTGAAACGACCTCTTGGTCAAGGTTCTGGTCAGCTTGAACATCCCCCATCTGGTCCTCAAGCTCCTCTTCATCATCCTTATCATCATCATCATCACTTTTTTCGTTGTCATTTTCTTGTTCCTCAGGGTCCTGGGCAGCAGCATCGAAGTCCTCGGACATCTCTACTCCATTTTCCTCTTCCTGTGTTCAGAACAGACCGCATAAAGTTTTGTTATGCAAGCAAATTCTGCAGTAATCGCAATATCAGTGGCAAAAAGATTGCAAATAAGAAGAAATTGACACAGCCTTCAAACCAAATGAATAGATATCCGTAAACCATCTCAGTAAGACGGATACTTGCTGAAAATGTAACGATCTGCCCTTTCAAGAGTATTTATACATACCCTAACATCCTGAGCAAGCACACCTACCCAAGCAAGCGCCCCCTCCATTTTTTGGGAGAGTCGAAATATCCCCCTTTCCACCATCTTCAATGTTTCATTGACTGTCCTTATTTGTCCAACAAGTACGAATGAAAACAATGACTGCATGCATATTCAGTTATACATTTAATTAGAAGCTTAGATGTGCATTCTTTATTGTCCGCAACTCTTCTTCGGCCATCATGAATTTTGATCTGCAACCAAGCAGGCAGATTCCTCTTCAAATCCTTGTCGGATTTTCCTTTGCTGTAGAAGAGGCACTTGCTTGAGATTTTACAATAATTTTTTAAAGTCTTGCCCCTCTACCTTCTAGTTTCATTCCTCAAAGAAAAAAAAAAGCAAATGCACAAAAGTCATATCGCATCATGTTTATAGCACAGATGATTAGCTTATGCCAGGGTCAGGTTACCTATTCGCAACTCCATGTGAGTGTTCGCCACATGGCGGCTGCGTCTGGAAACAGGTGGTGCTAACAGAGTCAACCTTGAAAGGAGATATGTTACCACCTTGCGCACGTTGAGAAGCGGCCGCATAGTTCCTTTATTTGCACTAAGACGCACGCGCCAGCCCGAAAAACAAGAATGGAATGTCCAAAGACCACTGCAGTGTGCCGCAACACTTGACAACGTGTTAGAAAGATGAAGGTTAGCGTATCGTTTATCACATCCCGAAAGATGCAAACAACGTGTGACGGGGAATGGCACAAATCAGAAACTTACGCAGTGGAAAGAAGATGACACACAGTACGGAGGTTTGTTCCAATCAATTCGCTCGTGACAACTTAATTCTCCTCGATTAGTACACCATTGCTGCAAATAGTACCCATTCTCAAATTAAGCTGCTGTAATCCTTCCCAGCAAACATTTTTGATTTCGCATGTACAAGCACCCAAATGTGCTTAAGAAGGATGTGCGTGCGTCTGTGTATGTATGTTTGTGCATATATATATATCATGTCCATGCATTTGTAGCGTGCATAGTGTGCGTGTATATATCTGCTTTGAATATCAACTACAGCCAAGAACAAGCTGAGTGTTCGGAAGCTCACGAGCTTACTTATTAAAACGTGATAACATAGATCGGCAAACGAAAATAAAGGGTCACTCCCTATTGCAATCGAAACTACGATTTGCCTTATCTCAAGATACACTGGCTCAAGCATAGGTCTGTTCTGTAATCAAGTGACTGGCATGCATATTCAGCTTTTTACGGGACAATGAAACTCAATGGAATATATGCAATCAGCTGCACAAGCAGTAGCATAGTTACGAAAACTCATAAGGCTTTGCCTGTAGCAGTGTACCAACACAGGGCAAAAGTGCTAGCACCTTTCGGAGGGGCCCGGTGCACACGAGAAATTGCCTTTTTCAGCCTCAGACTCGCTGACAGGTTCTTCAAACTTGAAGTAAATCTGATATGGTTTGCTGAAGAGGTCCGATTTTGCACGCACAGTGCAACTATTTCAGCTGTTTCGCCAGTGAAATTCTTTATGCCGATGGAAATGAGGCAGTCCACGGCCAGCACCCTTTCGCCTTCAACGAAGGAACACCATCCGATGCCACAATTAAGAAACTTCAGCACAGCGCCAAGCGAAAGGGTCGCGTTGACCCTGTTAGGCATAGCCATCTTTGTTTTTCCTACTAGTGTTGCCAGCACACGGAGTTGTTTTCTAGAGTTGCGAATAATTACCCAGGGTCAACCATGATGAAAACTTAGCTCGATCACTATACAGCACACAGATTGTTACTGTTCAAGTAGAAAAAATAAAAAGTGGTGCAACAAACTGAATTACACCAAAAGGGAGACTGAGAGAGAAAATGAAGAGTGATGTAAAAGGGCAATAAATAAAGCAGGGGCCTCAAACACGTGGCCTGCGGCCTGCGAACCTATATTGTTTGTGTCCCACTGTCTGCACATGACTGTCTTCATGTGACACTTTTTTTTTTTTTTGCAAGTATGTTCGTGAGCTTAACAGGCACGACTGGCCTAAAGCCCTGTTTTCAGGAAGCACCTCAAGTGGTCATCATGTGTTGAAACATAACTGTGAAGGAAAAACTATTTCAAAATCGGCGTCCAGTTCATTCGACACTGCAACGATCGGTATCCACATTGTGTTGGAATCCTGTGCGTCAAATATACTTCAGAACTGAGCTGAATATGACATATGGGAAATGCTCTCCTACAAAAAGTAACATTAGCTGACAGCTTATAGAAACACCCCTCCTCAACCCACTTTTGTCTAACCGTTGTTTCCCTGTCCTGGCCTTTGCAGGACTTAATTGCGCGACTGTGGCTCGCTGTCCGAGTCAAGTTCGAGACCCGTGATATAGGTGCTCTCGGCTCAAGACATGCGTTACATGCCGACTGGGCTCACAGACAGCCTTGAAAGCATAATCATGAAAGACAGCACAAACTGAGTGAATGCAGAGATGTAGCATCCACTTTTCCGATTACACTTATCTCTTACATTTTCATACAAGCACACTCAAACTATTTAGTGTACTTTCTTTTTGAGAAGGTAAACTGTCCACGTTAGAAAAAATGCACATTATAAGATGTATCAGGAAAACGATGCTGTGCGGATCAGGAGGAATTACGAAGAGACTCCACCTTTGGACACTTCTCAGTGTCCTCTTTTTGCTGCTCATTGCGTAAGCCTTCAAGCTGGTCTTCAGACTCGATTCGGTCGCTGACGTCCTTGGCGCCTTCACCCTCTCCCAGCCCACCATCCTCGATTTCCTCGAACTCTGGTGCCCCTTCTCGCGCAATCTCTTCACGCCACTCCTCGGGAATGCACAGGCCCTGGTGACACCATGTTTAAAGCAAACACAGAAAAAATGAGCTTCAAGGGCAACCAAGACCTGTTTTGTTACTAATAGGCCACTGACTCGCAAAGAATAGTCTGTGCTGACAGCCTTACAAACCACAGATCACCATTTTCTAATTTGTAAAAGCATATACAGTTGCATTAGTTTTCACTGGCATTATTATGCCTGTGTTGATTAGTTAACTTTAGTTTATAATGAAAAAATAATACAGTTGAAGCTTTACAACAATCCTGCACTGGCCGCAAAGATCCCGTCATTGTGTCTAATAAACAGAAGTGCAATGCCTATAATGGACAGCAAATGTCCTTTTGGGAACTTTGACAGCCCACTGGTATTTTCCTGTAAGGTGTAGCAACAACAATGAATTACGTACATGTACTCTGCACTACTGCACACATACAACTATGTGATCCGTGTTTTACGTACAATTGGGACTTTGGCACAACTGCAGGCCCAGCCAAGCCCTGCTAGTTCTGCCAATGCCATACTGTTTGGACATAGGGGGGTCAGCACATTGATTCATACTCTACTACTGCAGCTTTCAGTATATTCTCATATCACACTTGAGGACAACAAGCATTGACATTGTGCCGATAGGCTCTCCACAATGGCTTGTCATCAGCCACTCTGTCGATTAGGCTTCTGGGTCTAATCAATATCAGTTCGTACATAATCTGTATGGAGTTGTAGCAACAATTTTGCAAAGACATATACAATTTCTTTATAGTATTTTATAAAACATTACATCCATCTTGCTTGCTATATTGAGGTTTGACGGAAAAGTATGCTTCCAGAGCTCATCTTTGTTTCATAAACTAGTTTTATTTTTCATACATTGTTTAATTTAGCAACGTAAAAAAATCTGCACTCCAGCCAGAAGTGCAAAACAGTGACAGTGCAGTGTTGTCACTTGCAGTATGCAATGTTCAGCCCATTAAATATAATGCTTTATCCTAAATCAGAAGAATTAATTTATGGCCATACCAGAAATACTTGCATTAAACCTTGAATAAGGCAGCACATAATTAAGAGAAAAATGCAGCCTTATCAAGGACTAGTTGTTATCAAGGCACAACATATGAATTAATTTATGGCCATACCAGAAATAATTGCATTACACAAACCTTTAATAAAGCAGCACGTAATCAAGAGGAAAATGGAGCCTTATCAAGGACTTGTCGTCAAGGCACAACATGTCTGTTCCTGCCAATTTTTAATCTAGCATTACCATGCACTCATTGCATAAACAATGCAATTTAAAGGGCATGCAGCAGGTTATATCATTTGTATGCTTAACAAATTGCTTGTTGCAGTTTCCATCATTGTGCACATGCCGAGCAGCAAGTCAAAAAAAGTAAGTGCAGAGAAGTAGGACCCACTTACCTTTTGGGCTAGACTAGTAAAGACGGATGTGAGCACATACAGCAACTTGAGTTCAGTTCGATGGTATGCAAGCTGCAGAGTCACCAGGTATTGGGCCACTCCCAAATATTGCCGCAGTAGAGGAACCACCCTGGAACTAAGTTTACATAGGAAACATTACAAGCAGGCCTGTGCAAATAGTCTAGTGCTACAAATATATGAACAAATATTACATTATTCAAATTATTCAGCAGCAATTGAAAATTTCCATACATTTAAAGCATTCAAAACGAACAAATAGGTGTATTAATTAGGTCATCGAAAAGATGACTTAATTCGAAAAGATGAAGGTTTCACTGTAGTGATAATTCCCCTCCTCCACCAGCACACCCAACACACACAAAGTAATTCAGTCGAGCCCACATATAACGGCCCTACTTAAAACAAACGTTCGCTTAAAACGAACAATATTGGCGTGACCGTGAAAATGTACATTGTTTCAACGGCACAAAATCGCACTTACAACGAACGTCTTCGAGCGCCACTCATCAATTACAGCGAATGGAGTCTGTGCTCTGCCGACTTCCCGGGAAACCACTTTCGACCACCGATCAGGCATCGGCGAGGTGCCCATAGATTCTTATTGTTAAATGCCGACCCTACCTCCACGCCGTAGTAGTTGCCGCTCTCCCCAACCGCTTTTTGTTGCGCACCCCTCAGTCCTTAGTCCCCCCGCTACTCTGAGCACCCTGCATTGCCAAACGAAGCCCGTGCTTTTACACTGCCACCGATCTTTCGAAGACCGGTAGGCCATCTCCCCTGTTTCTGATCGCTGGCACTGTTGTTACTGTCGCCGGCCTGGAGTGACCAGACCACTTGCCGACATCGTCGGCCACCGACTGTATCTGATCGTCTTGTCTTATGGTATCGTTCTAGTGCACGCGCGTTTCCTACCCCATCGCCTCTGATAATTAATGATTCGTTTCGTGTTTAGGATCTGTTCTCACTCACTTCGCACTCTGCTCAGCATGCCCCCCCCAACGTGCGGAAGTGTAAAAAAAAAGTTAATTTGCGCGGAACAAAACGCGAAATATCGAAACGGTGAGGCCCTGCAAACCCATGGCGCAAGAAAACGATTCTTTTACCACAGCCGCCATCGCATTGAACACCGCCGTGCGCACCTATCCACGCAGCCGTGCTTTGTCCTCTGCATGCGCAGGCACTCTTTTAAGCTTTTTTACGCACGAGTTGCGCGTTTTGCGGACCTTTCAAACAAGCTACCCAACCTGCCTCTTTCCCGCGTGTTTTCGTTTTCAAGGTCGCCTTCCCTCCGTATCCTCCCCTCTCTTCACTCTATCGCAACTCTTTGCCCTTCTCTCGCAAATCTGCTCTCCACTCTTGATAACAACTCTTTCGCCCATCTCCACCGCTCTGCAACGCCAGCCACGCTGGCTCGAATTAAGAAGTTTTGTTTTCCGACTACAAACGGGCCCAGAGCTGTACCACGCGATCTGGCGTGTGTTGCGTGTGCACGTCTTGCTCGCTCTCGGTCTGCGTGTGTGGTCAGGTTGGCGGACAGGAGGCCTTGCACGCTTTTTCCTGCCACTCAACAAAACGTGGAAAGTGTGGCCGCTTGGCTTGGGTGTAATCAGCACGTTAGGTGCCGCGTTGCGGAGCGCTTGCTCGTAGCTGTTGACCACCTGGCAGCCAGCTTGCCACTTCGAGCGTCCCGGTGTTCAGCTGTGGAGATAGTGAATATTTCGCGGGCGGCGGTAATGGCTACATGCGCGAGAAACTTTTCGCGAGGTCGACTTTGTCGACGTTGGGCTCGATGCCGAGCCTGAAGCTTCCGAACAGGACCTCTGCGGCGGCGATTTGTGGCAGCGCATTGTCGACTCAGACATGAGAGAGCGGGTGGGACATCTGTTACGATGGTTTTATTACGGCCGATGATGATGCTGACACCACGGAACCGTGCACAGATTAGGAATGTGAATGCATTGTGAATGAAGTACACGTCAAGAGCGATTTGAAGGAATCGGTTGCGAGAACGACGAAACTTTAAAGCCAGTACATCATGCACCTTATGCCACGGGCCTCGGCGAAGAGCATGCGCCCGTTTAAAATAAACTCGAGACCGCCCTTATCGCTTCTGCTCTTTGAAACATTTGCATCACGAACTTTTTGGGCAAAAAATTTTGTGTTTTCATTCACAACTTTTTTAAAAGCTGTGTTTCATTTACTACAAACTTCAGGATACAGCGACCGAATGTGGGCTCGGTGACTGTGCCACGACGCAGTCTAATCCACTTCTGTTCGTGATGCAGGATTTCGTACGCGCTATCAGCTGCGTGCTCGTACCCGTTCTTCTGGGCCCGGTATCATGCATCGATGCGAACAACCCTTTCCCGTCAAGGTCCGTCAATGCAGATGACTGGCGCCTACTTCCAGCATTGGCCACCACTGCCCTATCGACGCTGCAGTCCGGAAACTGGACGCTCGAAAGAGCTCTCACAGCTCCACCGTCATCGACTTCAACAAGCGCACGGCGTATAAATCCACCCCACCAGCCGGCCGCGCTCTGTGGGCTCGGTGGCTGTGCCACGACGCAGTCTAATCCACTTCTGTTCGTGATGCAGGATTTCGTACGCGCTATCAGCTGCGTGCTCGTACCCGTTCTTCTGGGCCCGGTATCATGCATCGATGCGAGCAACCCTTTCCCGTCAAGGTCCGTCAATGCAGATGACTGGCGCCTACTTCCAGCATTGGCCACCACTGCCCTATCGACGCTGCAGTCCGGAAACTGGACGCTCGAAAGAGCTCTCACAGCTCCACCGTCATCGACTTCAACAAGCGCACAGCGTATAAATCCACCCCACCAGCCGGCCGCGCTCTGTGGGCTCGGTGGCTGTGCCACGACGCAGTCTAATCCACTTCTGTTCGTGATGCAGGTCAGTAATCATCACTGTATTTTTGCTAAAAAAACAAGCAACTGATGCCTTGTTCAGCTACCGAGCCCCCAGTGCTGTGTTTGCATTATTTCTGATTGTATGAACATTGTGTTTTCTCTGCTGTTGCTGTTGGGTGGAGATATTGAAACTAACCCTGGTCCGACCACCCTAGAGCAAATAATGACTGAACTAAAAAGCTTGTCTTCCGGTCAATCCCAGCTCATTAGCGATGTACAAATCCTAAAAAGCCAGCTCTCTACCACTGATAAAGCCATTTCTGAACTTGGCAAGAGAATCGACAGTCTAGAATCCCACTACAGTAGTGTCGATACACTCCGATTTGATCTTGACGCCATGGCCACCGCCACCTCCCAGACAGCTACCCAGGTCTCTGTACTGGAGGCTCGATTGGACGATGCGGAGAATCGTTCCAGACGAAACAACTTGTTGTTTTACGGCCTAGCGGACGACAAGCCATCCGAAACGTATGCGCAGTCTGAGGAGCGTATTACTGGGTTTTGTAGGGACCACCTAAAAATAACTGTCGAATCCAAGGATGTCGAGCGTGCCCACCGTCTTGGCCGCCACTCGCAAGGCCGGTGTCGGCCTATTATAGTGCAGTTTACATCCTTCAAAACCAAGGAAGCCGTCCTTGCTAAGGGCCCCCAGCTTAAACATACAGATTTTAGCATCGGGGAGGATTTCTCGCATCGGGTCCGGAACACACGGAAGCACCTACTGGCTTTTGCTAAAGTAAAATCAGGTCCCTTCCTTTTACGGTATAAGACCCTTTTTATGGGCTCCAAACGATACGTATTTAACGAGGCAACTGAAAATGTAGAAGAAAGCTCGTAGCAGTTGCCTTCACGCCCCAGATCTTCTAATTGTCTCGTCTTTGGTCACAAAGTCAATCTTTCTTTTTCGGTCATTTTCACCAACATACGTAGCTATCTTTTCAAACGCGACCACGTGTCCGACCTTGTATCTTCATCTAACAGCAGCCTACTTATACTAACTGAAACGTGGTTGACCTCTGACGTCACCGACAGTGAAATTTTGACCGACTTGCCTCACTTTAATCTTTTTCGAAAAGATCGTCCCGGCACCCGGGGCGGCGGCGTCCTGATTGCTACTAACGAACAACTTTCGTGCTCCCTTATAAACATTGATTCCGACCTAGAAATATTGTGGTTGCTTTTCCGTTCCGTACCACAGTCCGTACTATTAGGTGTTTGTTATAGGCCTCCCAAAAGTAGCCTGGATTTCGCGCGCCAGCTTAATGGTATTTTAGCCGAACTTACGACCAAATACCCAAATGCTCACGTCCTCCTCCTGGGGGACTTCAATTTTCCCAACATTGATTGGTGTAATCTAACTTCATCTGCACCCAATGCAAAGGAGGCCAACGATTTCCTTGATGTTTGCCTCAACTTTAATCTCACTCAGTTGATAACACAACCTACACGTGTTACTCGAGATACTGCTAACATTCTTGACCTAATCTTAACAACTGATCCTGAGAGCCTTTCTTCTATAACATATCTTGATGAAATAAGTGACCATAAGGTCATTCACGCTAATTTTACCTTCGTTCCTCAAATGCGCCAAGCCTGCACTAAAACTATTAGGTTATATGACAAGGGTAACTACGCGGCCATCACTCGAGAACTTGAAGTTTTTCTTCCGACGTTCCGTGATGGTTTCTGGGAGCGACCCATTAACGATAACTGGTTAATCTTCAAAAACAAGTTAAACCAGCTAGCTGACCAATTTATCCCTAAAATAAGCTTTCGTCCCACCCGCCAAAAAACCTTGGTTTACTAAAACATTAAAAAGGCTTGAAAATAAGAAGAAACGCCTCTTTCGGGCTGCGAAGAATGAAAACACTGATTCTGCATGGGAAAAATACAAGGTTGCCGAGAAAGCATATTCAAGTGAAGTGCGCAACGCCAAGTACTCATTTTTTCATACGGAACTTCCGAAAATTCTTGCTGATTCACCGAAGCGTTTCTGGCAAATAATAAACTCTCCTAACACGCCCCCCATCACCCTTACTAATGATACTGATCAAGAATTAAGTTGTTCAGAATGTGCCAATATATTCAATGCCACCTTTTCGTCTGTGTTTACGAAGGAATCTGACCCCGTTGAAACAGAATTAGTCTCTGTTAATCTGCCTGAAATGCCACCCTTTAACATAGGTTTCAATGGTCATCATCATCATCAGCCTGACTACGTCCACTGCAGGACAAAGGCCTCTCCCATGTTCCGCCAGTTAACCCGGTCCTGTGCTTGCTGCTGCCAATTTATACCCGCAAACTTCTTAATCTCATCTGCCCACCTAACCTTCTGTCTCCCCCTAACCCGCTTCCCTTCTCTGGGAATCCAGTCAGTTACCCTTAATGACCAGCGGTTATCCTGTCTACGCGCTACATGCCCTGCCCATTTCCATTTCTTCATCTTGATTTCAGCTATGATATCCTTAACCCCCGTTTGTTCCCTAATCCACTCTGCTCTCTTCTTGTCTCTTAAGGTTACACCTACCATTTTTCTTTCCATTGCTTGCTGCGTCGTCCTCAATTTAAGCTGAACCCTCTTTGTAAGTCTCCAGGTTTCTGCTCCGTAGCTAAGTACCGGCAAGATACAGCTGTTATATACCTTCCTCTTGAGGGATAGTGGCAATCTACCTGTCATAATTTGAGAGTGCTTGCCGAATGTGCTCCACCCCATTCTTATTCTTCTAGTTACTTCAATCTCGTGGTTCGGCTCTGCGGTTATTACCTGCCCTAAGTAGACATAGTCTTTTACAACTTCAAGTGCACTATTACCTATCTCGAAGCGCTGCTCCTTGCCGAGGTTGTTGTACATTACTTTCGTTTTCTGCAGATTAATTTTAAGACCCACCTTTCTGCTCTCCTTGTCTAACTCCGTAATCATGAGTTGCAATTCGTCCCCCGAGTTACTCAGCAATGCGATGTCATCGGCGAAGCGCAGGTTACTAAGGTATTCTCCATTGACTCTTATCCCTAACTGCTCCCATTCTAGGCTTCTGAAAACCTCCTGTAAGCACGCGGTAAATAGCATTGGGGAAATTGTGTCCCCCTGCCTTACACCCTTCTTGATTGGTATTCTGTTGCTTTCTTTATGAAGCACTATGGTAGCAGTTGATCCCCTGTAGATTTCTTCCAGAATGTTTATATATACTTCATCTACGCCATGATTCCGCAGGGTTTGCATGACGGCTGATATTTCTACTGAATCAAACGCCTTCTCGTAATCTATGAAGGCTATGTATAGTGGTTGGTTATACTCTGAGCATTTCTCTATTACCTGATTGATAGTATGAATGTGGTCAATTGTTGAGTAGCCTGTTCGAAATCCTGCTTGTTCCTTTGGTTGATTGAATTCTAATGTTTTCTTTACTCTGTTAGCAATTACCTTTGTAAGTAGCTTGTATACTACAGAGAGCAAGCTGATCGGCCTGTAATTCTTCAAGTCCTTGTCATCTCCTTTCTTATGTATTAAGATGATGTTAGCGTTCTTCCAAGACTCTGGTACTCTTCCCGTCAGGAGACACCTCGTAAACAGGGTGGCTAGTTTTTCTAACACAATCTGTCCTCCATCTTTCAGCAAATCTGATGTTACCTGATCCTCACAAGCAGCTTTGCCCCTTTGCATGCCCTCCAAAGCTTTTCTGACTTCTTCTATCATTACTGGTGGGGTGTAATCTGGGTTACTGCTAGTTCTTATAGTATTAAGGTCGTGGTTGTCTCGGCTACTGTACAGATCTCTGTAAAACTCCTCCGCTATTTTAACTATCCTGTCCATATTGGTAGTTATTTTGCCTTCTTTGTCCCTTAGTGCATACATCCGACTTTTGCCTATCCCAAGTTTCCTCTTCACTGCTTTGACGCTTCCTCCGTTTTTCAGAGCGTGTTCAATTCTCTCAATGTTATACCTTCTTACATCGCATACCTTATGTCTATTAATCAACTTCGAAAGCTCTGCCAGTTCTATTTTGTCTGTTGTACTTGACACTTTCATGATTTGACGCTTCTTAATTAGGTTCTTCGTTTCTTGGGAAAGCTTGCCAGTGTCCTGTCTAACTACCCGGCCTCCAACTTCCACTGCACACTCCGTAATGATACTCGTCAGATTATCATTCATTGTATCTACGCTAAGGTTGGTTTCCTCACTAAGAGCCGAGTACCTGTTCTGCAGCGACACTCTGAATTCCTGTACTTTCCCTCTCAGTGCTAGCTGATTGATTGGCTTCTTGCGTATCAGTTTCTGTCGTTCCTTCTTCAAGTCTAGGCGAATTCGAGACCGTACCATTCTATGGTCACTGCATCGCACCTTGCCAATCACTTCCACATCCTTAACGATTCCAGGGTGTGCACTCATTATAAGGTCTATTTCGTTCTTATTTTCGCCATTAGGGCTCCTCCATGTCCACTTACGGTTTTCTCGTTTTCGGTAGAAGGTATTCAATATCCGTAAATTATTGCGTTCTGCGAATTCTACTAGTAGCTCTCCTCTGGCGTTTCTAGTACCGATGCCATAATCTACTGCCTGGTCTCCAGCCTGCTTCTTCCCTACCTTTGCATTAAAGTCGCCCATCACTATAGTATACTGTGTTTTACCTTACTCATTGCCAATTCCACGTCTTCATAGAAGCTTTCAACTGAAGCGTCATCATGGCTGGATGTAGGCGCGTAAGCCTGTACTACCTTCATTTTGTATCTTTTATTCAGTTTAATTACGATACCTGCCACCCTTTCATTAATGCTATAGTATTCCTCTATGTTGCCAGCTATGTTTCTGTGAATTAGGAGCCCCACTCCCAGTTCTCTTATGTCTGCCAAGCCCCTGTAGCAAAGGACGTGCCCATTCTGTAGCACCGTATAGGCCTCATCTGTCCTCCTAACCTCACTGAGCCCTATTATATCCCATTTAACACCCTCTAGCTCCTCGAATAGTACAGCGAGACTTCCCTCACTAGATAAGGTTCTAGCGTTAAACGTTGCCAAGTTCAGGTTCCAATGGCGGCCTGTCCGGATCCAGAGATTCTTAGCACCCTCTGCTGCGTTGCAGATCTGACCGCCGCCGTGGTCAGTTGCTTCGCAGCTGCTGGGGACTGAGGGCCGTGAGTTATTTGACGTAAGCATGTGGGAGGTAGTGGCCAGATACTGCACCAGGGTGGCCAATCCTTCTCTGGTGAGGGAGTGCGTTCTCGGTGGTGTTTGCCGGTGAGGCCGCACCCCAGGCCTCCTAATGCAGTTCCATCAACACGCGGATTTTTTTTTGTTTTTTTTTTTTTTATCCGGTTGGGAACTGCGCGGTACCGGGATTTGAACCACGGACCTCTTGCATGCGAGGCGGATGCTCTAACCACTACGCCATCGCTGCTCATAATGGTATCCTGTCTTTAATAGAAAAAATGAAACTGTCATCCTCGGCGGGTACCGACGAAATTACATCCAAGCTGTTAAAGAACACAAAGCACATATCAGCCGAGTTTTTGTTTTTGCTGTTTTCCCAGTCACTTTCCTCAGGTATTCTGCCTCTCGACTGGAAGTGTGGGAAGGTCATTCCGGTTCACAAGACAGGTAAAAGAGACTGCCCGTTAAATTATCGTCCCATATCATTAACCAGCGTGTGTTGCAAACTCATGGAACATGTCATATACACTCATGTCATGCATTTTCTTGATTCTAACAATTTCTTTCATTCCTCTCAACACGGATTTCGAAAAGGCCGCTCATGCGAAACCCAACTAGCCCTTTTCCTTCACGACCAGCATGCTAACCTCGATGGTAACCTCCAAACTGATGCTATTTTTCTTGACTTCACTAAAGCTTCCGACAAAGTTCCACACCAGCGCCTACTAAAAAAACTTTCTCAAATAAATCTACCTGCTGAACTTCTTAATTGGATTGCTCAATTTCTGACTAACGTCGCTCTCAGTTTGTTTTCGTTAACAACGTCAAATCTAACTCGCTTCCTGTTAGGTCTGGAGTGCCACAGGGATCTGTCCTTGGCCCGCTTTTGTTCCTAATCTACATAAACGACTTACCTAACAATTTATCCTGCAACCTTCGTATGTTTGCAGATGATTGTGTCATCTACCGCAAAATAACCAACACTTTTGATCAAGCAGCACTACAGAATGACCTTAATGAAGTATTAAACTGGTGTGACCATTGGCTTATGACCCTTAATCCTAACAAATGCAAATTAGTTTCCTTCCACCGCCGCAAAAACCCACTCCAATTTTCCTATGAAATTGCTAACATGCCAGTCGAAACAGCCGTATCCTATAAGTATCTTGGTGTAACATTAACCCCTGATCTTTCCTGGCAAACGCATATCACTAACATAATTTCATCAGCCAACCGATCATTAGGATTTCTAAAACGTCACCTACGTCACTCACCGTATCACGTTCGTCTTGTGGCCTATCAGTCGCTAATTTGGTCCAAACTAGAATACGCATCACCCATCTGGAGCCCTCACCAAGTTTATCTGATCAACGCTATCGAAGCAGTTCAAAATCGTGCCGCTCGCTTCATTCATTCTTCTTATTCTTACGATGTCAGTGTTTCATCCCTTAAAAATGAATCCGGCCTATTAAGTCTTTCCCTTCGCCGCAGAATTGCTACGTTGTCACTGTACTACAACTGTACTACAAGTTGTATCACAGCTCACTCCACCAACCACCTTCCATCGCTCCCGCCGCACGCATTTCTTCCCGCACTGGCCATCCACTTCAAGTCTTCCGACCCCGATCTGGCACCTCAACATTTTCTGCATCATTTCTCTGCCGCGCCGCCAAAGAATGGAATGACCTTCCCCACAATGTTGTTTCAATCACTTTGTCCATCACATTTTATTCAAAGTGTGTCAATGCATCTGCAATGTTAACCTGTGGCTTTTGTATCTTTGTTGTACAACCCACCCCTTATGTAACACCCCCCCTGTGGGGTCTTTAAGGAAATAAAGTGAAAGTGAAAGTGAATGCCACGTCAGGCTCAGCTTCGTTATAAGCGGGCTCGACTGTATAAGCATATCCCAGTTTGCCACTTGCTTTTTTTTTTTTCTTATCATACCAATAAAATTTTTGTGGCACTTGAATATTCTTATAAATGGTTTGGCCATCAATGAAACTGGAAAAGACCTTCAAGGAATGTCAACTTTCCACTTGCCTTGCTTGGTTGGCTTCAACGCTAGTGCCATGCTTTGCAAGCTGTTGCACCAGGCAATGTGCACAGAGCTCCACCTTCTCCAAGTCAAGCTTGACAAATGCCTGTTGCAGGATTTCTCTCAGGTGCTGCAGTGACTGCTCCGGCTTGGACTTCCCTGGTTCACCAAGCATTGCGTGCAAAGACTGCACTGCTAGGAGCAACCTCCTAACAAGCTTATCTGTGGCTGAGCTCTTGTGTGGTTTAGGTTCTGGGAGCTCTATTTGTTGCCACTTTCTGGAGAGCGCTCCTAAAGTCTCGGCAAGTTCATGCAAGTTTCTGGCTAGTGGTAGTTGGAGAGTGCGGCCAATCTCTTGAGCGTCTTGGCTAAGTGCTGCTAGGTGACTCACCACATCTCCAAGCAACTCTATGCTAGGGTGGCCAAGCACACCTGCGCAACAACACACAATATGCTTTCCTTCATGATAAGAAAAAAAAAACTGCTTAAATGGCCTACAAAAATTTTTCAGGGTGTAGGAAGCATATGGCATTGAATGCCCTTCCCCTGCACAATATCAATATATCTAGTGCCCTCTAATTGAGCTGACATACTGTTGGAAATAATATTCAGTATTGTGACCGTTTGGGCACGTTAGGCTGCTGGTATAGTAAATCGTAGTGCAGAAATACACAAGAGGCAACTGACGACCTAATGAGCACAGCTCAAGATTGGCACAAGCAAAGAATGTCCCTAGAGCAAAGCCCCTTTTTGACAAAATGTTGGCTACAGCAACATTTCTTGTTTAACTTTTTATCAGCTTTTAATATAGCTCAAACAAACTTTGCATGCCCTTCAGTATTTCATTTAATGGAAGTTGAAGGCAGCCGATGCTTCTTGCATGCAAGCTGTGACAGGGCTTAAAGTCTCCCTTCATTCGAAGGGGGAGGGCTCATAGGTAGGTGACCAATACAGAGAGGCCACGCTAAAACACGCATAAATTATATATACTAGTATATATAGTGTGTACAAGTCACTTTCGTCTCAGCTGATACATGCCACGGGCGTTTTACACGCGCAGCATTGTTATGCCAACTTCCTCTGGAGTTGAAGAAATTCTCATGAATGCTATACAAGGGGATATGTTATTCCGAGTGCATTTAGGGCATTTGTGTATTTAATTTGCCTGTAGAACCAAGAACTAACCTTTGGAAAATATTTCTCAAAATATCTTTGGATGTAAAGAACTAAAAATGTGTAATTTCAAAGCAATAACTCCAGCTTCAACGCAGAACAGTTCCTTACAGCATTGAGAATCTCAGGCGCAAGGCTGTATTCTATATTCACGCCTACATACAAAGCAGGCAAAGTGCATGAATCTTTGGCATTATGCAGCCTCTTAATACACAACTAAATGAATGACAATTTACAGGTAACAAAAAGATACCAAAGCGAACCTTCACTATTTTACGAGCAGATAGCTTTATGCGCATGTGCCTCATAAAACGGTACACTGCACTCAGAAGATCAGTCGAACAGGGTGGTGACTTGTCATGATCAGGGTCTCAAGGAAATGCATCCAAAAGTACAATGATACCTGTTTTTCCTGTTTTACTCGCACTACATCAACCAAAAAAAATTGCTATTAATTAAAACATTATTCTAGCAACCAGAGCATTACGGTCTTCTTACACAAGGCAATACAAAAACAAAAAAAAATCGTCAGCACTTGTCAAATTGGTGCTTACTGCTACAGTCTGCTTTCAGAAAGTGGGGAGGCTGGAACCTCATGGACCCTGCCTGACTTCAAGCCCCGGGCTGCAAGTTGCACAGTCAAGGGCAGCTGATTAACACCACATAAAACTTCAGCTGCAATTTTTCCCCATCACTTCATGCTTCAGAAACAGCAATTAATGAACCCATGCAGCAGCCATAACGAGTGTGTGGTTGTCCTGCAGCAGTCTTGGTGAATCTGGGTACCATCTCTGAAATCCATTTCGTATACAGTTGGCGCATTTTGTCTCACCTCTGAAGGCAGGGTGTGACAGCTGCTGTCCACATCTTTGAAGCAAGGCTAGTTGCGGTTCAAGCCTTGCCACGGCTTCTTTAATTGGGCTTTCAGCTGATTCAGCAGGCTCTGGCCAGGCTTTCAACAGTACCAATATTTGTTCCATCTGGTAGCTGCTCTGGAATATCGCTGAGGCCAGCTTCTCCTGCCAACCAAAGTTCAAATGTCTTCATAAAGAAATAGTATATGAAAAATTGTTTCATTCTGCATCAACAACAGCTAAGCAAACAAGGAGACCTACCAGAAAATGATTTAAACACCTATATTGTGAATTCTCTTGTAAATAATTTGATAGGGGTATATGCAATACTTCATTCTCTATGACTACAACATGGTCCTCTATAGATTATGTGTATTCTTACATATACACAGATATACTGTAAATTATGCAGTACAAGTATGTAACATATTGTTGATTTTATTTGTCTCATTTAAATCTTCCGTAGCACTGAATGATACCTGTCTACATTGCTTGTTTCACATGCTGTCACATACAACAGCCCCATAAGCGTAAACATTGGTGTTGCGGTCTTATCATGGCTTATAAACAACGCAGGTGAAGGAGTGTTTTAACAACAGAATCTCAGTGCTACGTGGCAATCTGATGTGGAATCGGAAATATTCTTATCGCCCGAAGCTTCATTGTCGGACCGCGATAAGAGGTGGTTGCGCAACAGTATTTGGTTTACATTCATTTGTGTCGTGCCATAAGCTTTGGGAGTCATGTCAGCCATCGTGCTGCATTTGCTCCAGCTCGCAGTATTGCTTTGTTGGCACTCAGTCGAAGCGTGTCCGACCCGATTTGCCGTGGCCGCACAGTGTGGTGCCCGTATGGCACCCCACGAAGTGCATCAGCACCTGGGACTGTTGAGTGTTTCCGAGTTCCTGTTAACTCAGGAAAAAGAAACCGACCCCTATGTGGGCAACAAAAGGGGTGGGATTAGAAACGTCATTGTGACGACCCCATAATTACCTCACGGCACTGTAGGCCTGCGCATGAATGGGTCCCTTCCAGGACTCAGCGTGGCGGGGTGAACCCTCGCATCGGTTCGGCTGCAGCCCAGCCACATGCTGTTCGCGTGCTTACAAGGTGCCTCCATTTCAAGGTGGGGAGTTAGCGCTGCGACACCGTGAGATCGCCAACAACCTTTTGCCATGGTCCGGCTTACTTCTGGTGGCTTTCGGAAGCGGGCGGGCTTGCGACATGTGCAAGCGTGGCCGATATCGCAGTAATTGGGCACACAGTCGGCGATTTGGTGAGTACTGTCGCACTGACATGTTTTCGATTGCTTTCGCGTTAATCCTTGCAAATAAGCTCACAAGTGGAGCCACATGCGGTCAGCGAGCGGTTACCTTACAGCACACATGGGACAGGCGGATTATTGCCTCATCGTCAAGAAGTTGACGTGTTACAGGAAAGCCGACGGCCACAAACCCCAGTACGTGTAACTCTTCAAGTGTCGATAATTGTGCGCCGCTGAGCTTGCCCAGGTCTCTATGACTTTTTTTTCTAGTTTTATTTTATTTACATTTTGGTGGTTGCGGTTGTTTGCGGAGAGGGCATAAGCCCTCACATGGTGTCCTTGTGGCGGACTTTTGGTTAACCAAGTGTACTGTCCTATCAGAGAACAAACGGGTGAAGATTCGCCGAGAGTTGTGTAAGGGCAGAGCACCAAGGAAATAAGAAGAGGCCCCGGAGGTGTTAAGCATTGTCGGCTGTGAGGGTGGCCGAGAGAGGGCGTTACATGACGGCGTCATCATCATCATTGGGACTGGAGTGGTGGGGGTTGCGTGTGTGGGGAAGGGAGAGTTCGGCCTGGTTGGGAAGAGTGCCAAGACGTAGCGGTGGATGGTGTGCGATTTAGGGTTAGCGCGTAACAAGTGGGGGCTCGTCCGGGATGGCTTCAGGCCCTTCAGGCCCGACAGCAGCAGCGGATGACATGCCTAGGCTCCAAGGTGTCGTTGAAGAGCTGTTGCTGGGCACCGACGGCTCCGCCATGGAGCGCGAACGAATCGCGGCGGTCGTGCGCGATCGAGTGATGGCGACGCCGCTGCCTACGGCTCCGCACGTGGGAGCATGGACTGTGATCGCTAACACTGGCGCGGTCCCTCGGGCAACCGACGACTCTGTGCCTCGGCTCGCCGCTGCGCACCTCCCCCGCTACTCCGGTGCTAGAGACTTGCAGTCGCCGGAGGAGTTTCTTGAACGTTTGGAAAACTTCTGCCTCGTGACGGGGGTCGCCGCCGATAAGCGACTGACACACGTGGTACCGGCTGCCCTCGAGGGTGGCGCGAAGTTGTGGTGGCGGTTCGTGCGCGGGTTCGACTCGTGGGAGCAATTCACTGCCGCCTTCCGCTCCGAGTTTTCGTCGATTGACGCGAAGAGACGCCTGAAGGCGGAGCTCGAACAGCGCATGCAGCACCCAGAAGAAAATTTGAAAGAGTTTATATATGTGATCGCTACGTTTTACGACCGCATCGGGGAATAGGTCTCCGAAGCCGAGAAGGTGCAGCGCGTACTGAGGCAGATGCACCCTCAGTTGCAAGATTTGGCGGAGGGGCATGCCTATAACAACCTCGCCGAGTTGGTGAAGGCAGCCGACGGCCTAATGGAGCGGGCTTGGCGTCGCCTCCAGTACAGACCACCGCCACTTCCGAGCAACCAAGTAGCCAGAGATCTGGCGTTCCGCCCTAGCCAGGCCCCCGACCATCGCTCACTGCCGCAGCCGAACACTATGGCGACGGCGTCGTTCGCTTCGTTTGCTGCTGCCCCACCGGCACCGCCGACTTATCACTGGCCACTGCATCCAGCTGCGTTGAACCCGTCGTACTGCCGGGACCGACAGTACTCGTGCGACACAGCGCCTCCGTTCTCACCCTACGGGCCGGGACCGATGCCGCGGCAGGAGCCCGCGAGTGGAGCAATGCGTGTGCAGTGCCATCGCTGTGGTGGATTCGGCCACATATCTCGTAACTGTGCCCCGGGTCGACGAATGGGGCCACCCGTTTGCTTCCGGTGCCAGCGATCGGGTCACCTGCAAGCACAGTGCCCGGGAAACTAGTGGTGGTAGGTGCTGCCCCGGCAGGCACCTACGGCAGTGCGCACCAAGTAGCGACCACAGCCGGTGGCAAAGAGCCCCTTATGGACGTCCGTATCGGGTCGTCGACGTTCAAGACCCTGCTAGATACAGGCTCAAGTGTAAGCTTCTTCAGACCGCACGCGGCGGCGGCGGCTCAAGCTTCTGGAGCCAAACCCAAGGCAGACGTACGCGTGCTGCGTTTGGCATCAGGCTGGTCGCAGTCAACCATGTCTCTGAAGTGCCAGATCGAGTGGGCTGCCGGTTGCCGCAGACAGCAGTTTTTGTGCGTTCCTGACCTGTGCCGTGACGTTGTCCTTGGTAGGGATTTCCTGACGGTGAGTGGCATCTCTCTGCACGTGTCACTTGGTGGGTGGACTGTCGGCACAGAACCGCAAAGAATTGTGCCCTTTGTCAAGGCCGTTAAGGAACAGCCAGAGGCAGTGGATGATTTTGGAGACAGTCTGCGCTGCATTTTTGCTGAGGGCGGTGCCAGTTTGTGTGCCAGTGTGCCAGAGGCGACTGCAGCCTGCAATGTGATCATTCCCGGCCACTCGTCAGACCTAGACCCACGCATGAAACACATTTTAGAAGAGTTTAGCAAGATCTTCACCACAACTCCGGGCTGCACAACCCTGGCAGAGCATCGCATAGACACGGGAGACAACCCACCTGTTCGATGCAAACTGCGACCAGTGAATGCCAAGAAGCAGGCCATCATGGACAACTGTATTCAAGACCTGCTGGCACAGAACCTCATCTGCCCTAGCCAAAGTCAGCATGCCAGTGCTCCAGTCCTGGTTGAGAAGAAGTCTGGTGTCGACTGCATGGCTGAGGATTACTGCCAGCTGAATGCACGCACTAAGGTGCCAGTCTATCCCATGCCGAGGACTGATTGGTCGCTGGCCCAGCTGGGACGAGCCAGGTGGTTCTCAAGTTTTGATCTTTCACAGGGTTTTTTTTCAAATCCCTGTTCAAGAGCAGGATATTCCAAAGACAGCGTTTATTTGCCATCGGGAAACCTTCGAGTTCATGAGAATGCCCTTTGGAGTTGCCGGAGGTCCTGCCACGTTTCAGACCCTGATGGACCGACTACTGGAGGGAATTAATCACCAGTTTGCCATGGCGTTTCTCGATGATGTCCTGGTGTATTCGGAGACCCTAGAGGATCATCTTGAGCATGTTCGAGAGGTGTTGAAGCGGATTAGTTCGGCACAGCTGACCATTAACCCAGAGAAGGTGCACGTGTGCTGTCAATACCTGAAGTTCCTTGGCCATGAAATATCGCCCGGGCAGTGTAGGCCGGACAGGGAAAAAGTGCGAGCGGTGCTGGACTATCCTCAACCAACAACACTCAAACAGCTGCAGGCCTTCCTGGGACTAGCAGGCTATTACAGAGGGTTCATACCTCAGTTTTCTATCACTGCACGTCCACTCACAGAACTCCTTAAGAAAAACCAACGTTGACAGTGGGAGCTGCAGCAAGAGGAAGCCTTTAGAGCACTTAAGCAGTCCCTGGCCGACGATGTTGTTGTAAACTTGACGGACCTCAACAGACCATTCGTGGTGTAAACAGACACCAGTGGAGTCGGCATTGCAGCGGTGCTTCTGCAGGCAGCCGAGAGTGATGCTGAACTGCGTTCAATAAGCTTCATTAGCAGGGTCCTCACTGAGGCAGAGCAGCGCTATACAGTGCAAGAATGGGAGTGTCTGGCTGTGGTGTGGGCAGTGGACAAGTTCCGACCATACCTTGAGTTCACCGAGTTTGAGATACACTGTGATCACTCCTCACTGTCCTGGATGTTCACCACAGACCAGGCCTCACCACGTGTAAAGCGTTGGGTTTTGCGGCTGCAAGGTTTCAACTGCAGGATCAAGCAGAGGTGGGGTCTTGCAAATGTGCCAGCCGACACCTTGAGCAGAGCTCCCCTTCAGCACCAGGAAGTTCCAAGCCCGAGTCTACACGAGACGCTGTTCCCTATGGCTGTTCCAGAGCCCAGCCCACAAATCAGCTTTGAGGCAGCTGCTGTAGCATCTGAAGTGGACGACACTACTGTCTTGAATGATGCAGGGCTCCTCGCCCAGGAACAAAAGCAGGACCCCATACTGTCAAAACTACGAACTGTGATGAAGGGAGGGAAGCTTCCACCTACTGACAGTGATCAACCTTTGATCAAAGACCTGGCGGAGACGACCGAGATGGAAGAGAGTGGGTTGCTTGTACAGCACCGAGGGAACAGGAAAGTACCTTGGCTACCAAACCATCTCTGCAACTTGGTCCTGCGACTGTCCCATGACCACCCGATTAGCGGCCACTCCGGCTTTTTTAAGACCCTCAAACGCATTTCTCAGAATTTCGTGTGGCTGGGTATGCGCTCGGACATTTCCAAGTATGTGCGATGCTGCCAGGTTTGTCAGCGCACCAAAGCCCACCGGCAGAAGTCAGAAGGGCTGATGAGCAGTCAATGGGCCACTGCCCCCATGGAACAGCTCAGCGTGGACATAATTGGGCCCTTGCCTGTGACGCCTCGACGCCACAAGTACCTTCTCGTGGTGATTGACAAGTTCACCAAGTTCATTGAACTTTTCCCATTACGGGCAGCAAACAGCAAGAGTGTGGTGGCCTGCATGATCCAGGTTTTTTTCAGACATGGCACACCTGTCTCCATTTCAAGTGATAATGGAAAGCCGTTTGTAAGCAGGTTGTGGAAGGGCCTCCTTGAGCATTGGGGCATACAAGACCGACACACTGTTCCATACCGCCCTGCCGGGCAAACGGTGGAGCGCCACAATGGCACTATCAAGCAGTGCCTTAGGGCTTATTGTTCCAACCACAAAGACTGGGACCAGCACATCCCTGAAATTGCCCTGGCCATGCGCACGGCTGAAAGCGTTGTCACGGGCTACACGCCTGCCTTCCTCTGTTATGGCCGGGAGCTGAGAACCCCATGGACACAGGCTGAGGCCAAAGACGGCGCGGAGCCCCCTGCGACAGCATACAGTGCATTTGCTACTGAGGTCTCCAAGTGTCTGCAGGAGGTGCTTGACTTCTCCAGGACACACCAAAACCACATGCGGCGCGCCCAGAAGACTCGCTACGACCAGCACAGACGACCACTGACAATACAGGAGGGTGATCTTGTTCTGCTCGAAAGCCACTCCCTCAGCGATGCCACCAAGGGCTTCTCCTCGAAGCTTGCACCCCGGCGTTCCAGTCCCTTTCGGGCAGTGAGACGTGTAGGACAGAATGACTTTGTTCTAGTGGACCCCAAAACGGGTTGTCGCCACGGTGTGAGACACGCAGATCAGCTGACACTCTACCATGACGCTGCAGGCGATGTGTAGTGGTGGCTTCACATTTTGAGGGGGGGAGACCTGTGAGGGTGGCCGAGAGAGGGCGTTACGTGATGGCATCATCATCATCATCAGGACTTGGCCGAGAGAGAGCACTACGTGACGACGTCATCATCATCATCATTGGGACTGGAGTGGTGGGGGTTGCATGTGTGGGGAAGGGAGAGTTCGGCCTGGTTGGGAAGAGTGCCAAGACGTAGCGGTGGGTGGTGTGCGATTTAGGGTTAGCGCGTAACACGACTCTGCCGAATCCCGTAGGGTCGCCCTGCAGAAGACGGTACATTGCCAAAGTGTTTTCTGTTTTCTGTAACTTTTTTGTTCGTTCTCATGTAAATTCTGTATGGTCTGTAAATACAAGTTTTTCTCAGCCTCACTAAAACTTCTCCAATGTTTTTACTTCATATTCAAGCCACCAGCAAGTCAATCGCCGCTATTTGCATAACAACAGTACTTGTATTCTCCCACTTTGCTATATCACCTAGAGTGGTGTATCTAGGGTGCCGAGTGGGGAGAGTTGATTTCTACAACATTGAAAGAACCAGAATTTTACTTTAATATAATAAAAAAAGCAAACCGTTTTCCAAACTGTGATACAAGCACAGACCGTTTCTTTCCATCAAGAGAATTCGTGGGCGCTACTGTAAGACTCACGCAAATGAACCAATAAAAGACGGCGCAGCTGGCTTCCGAGAGTCCAAATCTGCACTTGAGGCACTTTCCAGAGTGCCTCAAGCTCCACCGTAATCATAAACAAAGATCGGCATGAGCGCTGAAACGCCTCGTGCCTTCTTGTTTTGCTTTTATCACTTTCAATCTACCGTTGCGTTAGACGTTTATCTTCAGGAGCTTGTAGTCGCTATTGACGATCGCATCGCAACGACCATGGTTTTCACGTGGCGGTTGCAGCAAACGGCACTTCCATTTTTAAACCGCGAGCACTCGCCGCGCACACATGCCTTCAAAACTAAGTCGCTTGTTGATATATTTATGATTGCTTCAGGTGCAGTCTTGTCAACAGCATTTGCAGAAACAAGCGCCGCTTTACTGGGTGAGCGTTCAAAGTGCGTGTACTTTACGCGGTTTTAACAGTTACGTCGTTGCCATTCGAGACCGTGTCAAGAGTGACCGCTGTTTTCTTGGGCCAGCACATTACTCTCGGCCACTGCATGACGGTTTGGTACCGAACATTCGAATTTGAACCTACTAGCCACAGGTAGAATTCGGCCCCTCAATTTCACGAATTTGAATCATACAGATTCTAGTGTGCGATAGTGCTGACAGTTTCGCAAAAAGCCTGGATCGAACTCGGTTTAATTTTTGTTGATGCTGGCCAGATCACGCACATAAACTTTGATTTCCAGGAGATTTTGCAGCCAACCGTACAATCATGAAAAATGGCAGAAATCCGGGAGTCTCCCTGAAAGTCCGGAAGACCTGGCAGGTATGCTATCACCCAGCTTTGTTCTTTCTTTTCCCAGTATTTGCAATGAATACATGTCTTATTAGATGTATTAGCTACAATTATTTCTCACAACATGCTCTTCATTTTTTCATTTCCTGGTAGCAAGCCCTGCTATAACAGTTTTTAGTTTGCGACAGCTCGTTCTGTGGTTGTACTTACCTGTGTTTCATGTTCATATAAATGAAATGAATAAATTAATGCCACAGCTCAATCTTTTGACATTCTCCCATTACTTATTAAATTGGAATGTAATGAAACAAGAAATACACAAACTTGTACATATGGTTAATATGCAGCCTAATGTCCCGAACTGATACCAAATCCAATGGCTCCAAGATACAGTAATGGCATGTACAAGTTTTTGCAGAACAGAGGCTTCTACAAGCTGTTGGCTCACTTTATTCACCCATCTTTACAATCCATGAGCTAGAATATGCAGGTCTCTTTTTACCATGATGCAATGCAGCATCATTAAGTCCTCCATATGTAGGGAGGAATATATCAACTCACTCCTCAAACCTGTTTGTTTCCCTGTTCTATGTCATGTGCACCAAGGAACAGACATTCCATAGGTGGAATCTTGTCTTGCTCGACTCTCCAGATTATTCACATGCAGTTCTAAGAGTAATGCGAATCAGCACTCAAGGTGGTTTTCACTGTCTAACTTCACCAAAGTAAACTACACTTTCTGCACCAACATCTTTCAGTAAAACACAGAACTTCCTGACACATTACAGCGAGACCATGCTTGTCCAAGCCCTCACCTTCCACTGGTCGAGGAAAGCCTGTTGTGGAAGTGGTCCTTTTGAAGATTCCTCAAGAGAAGTTGCTAGATGCCTACAAAAATATAGAAAAAGCAGAATAAAATATAAGAAAAATGTGGTCACCACTGCTCTTTAATCTACTTACTGTAGCTTTTCCAGTTTGTGAACTGCGTCGCAGGAACGACTGCGATCTTCCACAGCCAGGGTGGCCAAGTGACCCGCGAATCCACAGCACCTTTCCATCAACTGTGGGTCAAATTCCTGGTGACAAAAATTCACAAGATATCTCCACTCCTGCTGAGTGTACTGACAAGTAGGCTTGTGTGAATAATATATTATAGGTTCGCAGTGAATTTGAAGTGAAGAGTGATTTCATAAAATAATTTGGCACCGAATTCGAATAGTATATATATCACATAATTTAAAGAAAAATGATTCGCTTGTGAAAATATTCGAACAAATAGTAGACTACAGTAGACTCTCAGTAAACAGAAATTGAAGGGACCGGAAAAATATGTTCTATTTAACAGGAGTTCCGTTCACTCAGAGGTGAACATGGGTGCACAATACAAGCCCGAATCCAAGCATTGCAAAAGAAATAGTTCCGTTTGAGCAGTAGTTTCGTTTAACAGATTTCCGTTTACTGAGAGTCTACTGTATTCGAACTGGCTTCGACTCGAACTTAAATTATTGAAAATTTCAAAGTATTCGCAACGAACGAATAGGTGTATATTAATCAGCATGTAACTGCTTGTAAAGATGATATCACTGCAGTGTAGGTGTGCTAAGTCATGAAAGCACCTATTTAGAAGAGATCCGCAAAAGCTCCCTTCGAAATTAAAGGGGCCCTGCAACACTTTTTGAGCATGGTCAGAAAACGCTCTACTGATTGGTAGTCAAGGCTACCGAGAACATGCGAGACAAATATTGCAGCTCAGCACGGCGGTCTGCAATTCACAATAAATTCTAGAAGTCAGCTAAAAATTGCTCCTTTCTCTCGACAGATGACGCCACAAGCTCAAAAATGACTCGTTACAGCCATTGCATCAGCCATTGAGTGATTTGAGCATGGCACGCTCGGTCGTTACTGGGGCCGCCGTGGGAGGCCACCACTTGTCCGTGCGTACGTGTGCGATGGCACTGAAAATTTGCATATTCGAAGAAATAAAAAATGAGAGAGTGAATGTGCTCAAGGTCACGAGGCATACTTGACGTATCTTCTTTCCCCGTACCATTCCTCCCTGCTTGGCTTCTAGCACTTTCATTGGGATGAAAAGAGAGAATGAAATTGCAGTGTGCAACAGATCTTTGCAACTCCGCTCGTACTGGACTGATTCTAAAAATTTTTTGCGACGGTGAATTCCTAAGGCAATAAGCTTCATTAGTGAATCCATTCCATGGCTACTAAAAAAAGTGTTGCGGGGGCCCTACATAGAGGCCCCATTCCCACTTTTAAAAATATTGGGTAGGTTAGTTAGGTCATGATAAATATGCCCATTTTTCCTTATATGTAATATATACTATTCGAATTCGATTTAAAATTATTCGACTAAAATCACTATTCACTTCGAACTCCCTTTGAACCTAAAATTCACTATTTGCACAAGCCTAAAAAAGGAGCATATTTAATATGATCCAAATAACCTGCATAATATTTTATTAAATTGAAACAAGGCATGTGCAAATGTAGTATTCTTCTTGGTTCAAAGGGAAGTGGCAGCAACTTTGAATAGTAGCAGGATTTGACTTTCCGTAGAATGCAAGTGATAACATGTAAAATATGATGATGCTTGATGTTTTGTGGCGCAAGGGCCATTTCACGGCCAAAGAGCGCCAGTTCATCTAACTAAAAATATGGACAATGATTGTGATAAGCGGCTGTATAAGGGCCATAAAATTCCTCGCGGTAAGGCGGGTAAGAACATGCAAGTAATAAAATCATGACCATGCCGTGAAAGGTGTGTGTGGAGTGAATAGATGACAAAAGTTGGTGATAATAAAAGACGATGGTGGATATGTATGGCATTAGCACAAGTGCCTCACTCGTTCATACCTTTGTGCCCAAGGGCCGTGAGGCAAGTGCTTTCTTGTGTAGCCACCACAGCAAAAAACTCTCTGGAGAGGTCGTGCTACGGAATGTCCGGGTATATGATATGAAAACTATGAATTTCTTTTAAAAGCGCTAACAATGATTTATGACTAAAAAGCGGTTCCCTACCGACGAACATTGCAGGGTGTAAAGATCTATGTTGTCGGTAGGGTAATGGAAAGTGCTGTTTTCTTACAGTTTCTAACAGTTTGCACTCGATAAAAATGTGAAGAACCGTTAGTGCTTCTCCACATCTGTCACACAATGGTGGATCGCCACCGGACAAAAGGTATGTGTGTGTCGTGTATGTGTGTCCTATCCTGAGTCTCGTTAGTATTACCTCTGTATGACGCGATTTCGATACGGGCAGCCAATGACCAAGGTGTGGCTTAATAATGTGTAGTTTGTTTTGTGTGTGTGTATCCCACTTGCTCTGCCAGTAGTCCCTGAGGTTTCGTTGGAGAGACGGCTTAAGATCAAGGGCCGGGATTGATATGGGTGTAGGGGCAGTGCTTTTGTGGACGGATGCAGCGAGCTGATTCGCCCTCACGTTGCCTTGAATCTCACGGTGCCCTGGCACCCAGCACACTACAACATGTTGTTTGAGTGTGTAGTGTGTGCACAAAATGGAGTAAAGTGAGACAAGGACTGGGTTTTTGTGTTTCTTAAGAGTGTGCAGAGCCGTTACCACACTGAGGGAGTCCGTATAAATTACTGCTTTTTGTATTTGTAATTGCTTGATGTGTTTAGCCGCCACAAGTATCGCATAAGCTTCCGCTGTGAAGATACTTGTGCCTGGATGTAGAGGGCCAGCATCCGAAAAGGATGGGCCGACAGCAGCGTAGGACACAGAGGAGTTAGACTTGGAGGCATCTGTAAAGAACTCAGGACGTGTGTATTTGTGTTGAAGTTCCAGGAAGTATGTTCGGATATGGGCAATAGGTGCATGTTTTGTAACTTCTAGAAAAGACACATCGCAGTCTATAGTCTGCCATTGCCACGGTGGCGGGTATGCTACAGGAGCCATTAAACTGTGCTCAAGTGAGACTCCAGTTTCCTCAGCTAGACTCTTCAGACGAACTGAGAAGGGCTGCCTCATCGAAGGCCTGTTTTGAAACAGAATTGAGCTCGACAAATCATTAATAGTAGAGTATGAAGGGTGCTTCTTGTCTGCTTTCACCTTAAGGAAATAAACAAAGGACATGTAAGTTCTCTGCAGATGAAGCCTGTGTACCCTGTTTGAATACTTTCTGGCAGATTACTGGAAGCGAACGTGAGTATTAGGTGTTTCGTTGGTGTTACCTTGTTGTCTCGTCTAATGATGATCCTTTGAACATTGGTCACATTCTGACTCTTCCACCCCTCCAGAAGTTCCTCTTCGGTCAAGCCGAGCAAATCAGCATCAGATACTACTCCACGGGTTGTGTTCATAGATCTGTGTGGCGTTACAGTGATGGGAGTGTCACCAAAAGTTGAAAGATTCTGTAGCTTTTCAAACTGTTCTTTTTCTCGAACTTCAAGGAGGAGGTCTCCGCTGGCCATTTTGGTAACTTTGTACCCGGCTCCAAGAGTTTCTGTTAGACATCTGGCTACTACAAAGGGGGATACTGTTCTGGCTTGCTTGTTGCTTATCTCACTATGTATAACATGAAAATGGGGGAAGTTTTCACTTGATCGGTTGAAAAAGCTTACGTCTTCGGTGCGTACGCACTTTAAGGGGGGACGCGGCCCTTGAAGACCGAAAAATCGCGAAAAAGTCGGTTTTTGAAAAACCACATTTTTGGGTATGTCTCATAAACTACCTATTCTGTAATTATCAGCACCTAATTCAACCGCAAAGTGCAAAAAAAATACTATTTTCGAGGCCGCCGCGGCGTCCAAAACAGGCACAAATCCCGAAATCAAACCAAACTTCGCGCGCGCGCCATTCCCGGACCATGCGGTCGTCCCGCGCCATCTTGGTGTTGTTTTGACCGTGAGTTCTTTCTCTCTCGTTCGCCGCCTTGCAAAATGGCGTCGGCAGCACAGTTGAGACGCTATTGGCGTTTTCCCGCGATGCGATGCGGAGCGCTGATTGGCTAGAGCAGCGCATTCATATCTCGCGGGAGAAAGCGTGCCCGCCATTGGCTGCTGTGCAGCAGCGGGGGCGGTTGCTCCTCTCGATGGCGCGTCCAGCGCGCTCGCTTCGTTGTTGCTCTCTGCTCCGTCCGCCTCGACAGACATCTGCTTACGAGCCGCTCTTCGCCTTGTGCTATCTTTTCGATCATTTTCTCTCGTTTTTTTTTTCTTTTTGCACTAGTTCTGTGCCTTTCGTCTTTGTTGTTGCGGGCGATGCCGGCAACGAAGCCGAAGTCAGTGCGGAAGTCCGGTGCGCGGAGGCGCGCAATGCGGCTTGTACGATCATCGAAATTCCGCTATTCTGCTGCGGGTGCCGACTGCGTAGACGCTTGCAGCGACGGAACTGTGTTGTCGGCTGTCGCCAGTCGAGAATCCGACACATCGAGTGTGGCTGGAGCCGCAAATGCACCGAGTGTTTCCGAGATCGCCGGGCTCGACACGTGCTCCGAATCGATGCCATCCAGTGTGACACCGAGTGCTTCTGATATCGCCGGACCCAGCACTTCGTCTGAATCGGTGCCGCCATCGAGCGTGAGTGGACCGTCGCTTCATCTGCGGACGCGTTTCCTAACGAATGAAGAAATCGATGCGAATGCGAAACGTCGTGACGCCGTTCACTCTGAACTCGAGTCTACACCGGCGATGCAGAAGAAATTTCAACTGATGCAGTTGGCTCTTGCACCTGCAGTGACAAGTGAGGGCGAACATTTTTCGCTCGTTCAAATGAACATCTTTAACGTCGTGCTCAGCCGCACAGTGTGCAAAGAATGTTTGAAAGGTGCTATGACTGTCCGAGAGAGCACCAAGCTTGGGCTTGCAACAAAACTTGAAGTCGTGTGCGCCTCTTGTGGCACCGTCGATAAATTATGGACATCACCCCGCAAAAAGGACACGCAGGCCTTCGGTGTAAATGTCCGCGCCATAATGGCTATAAAGCAAATAGGCAAGGGGCAAACAGCTCTTAATGACTTTTGGGCTGCCATGAACGTCTCTTACAGAGGTCTTCACCACAAGACGTTTCAAAAGCACTTCAAAGAGACGTTCAGGAAGCCAGAGGCCACCGGTTTGGAGAAGTTTTATGCTGATTCTGCCATAGCAGTGATCAAAACATAAAAGAAATGGACCCCAGCTTCTGCAAGGACATCACCGTAGTGTACGATGGCACATGGCATAAGCGGGGTCACACATCACACATCGGAGTGGGATCGGTAATTGACTTCTTTACAGGTCTCATCTTGGATGCTGTAGTTCTTTCAAACCACTGCCTTGGATGCCAAACAGGGCCCAAACCTGGAGATGCAGCATACGAAAGCTGGCAGAAGCACCACATTTGCCAGAAAAACACAGACGCAAAATCGGGAAGCATGGAAGTGGAGGCAGGCTAGACTCTCTTTGGGCGGTCTGTATCCAAGCATGGCCTGCGGTACACCACTCTTGTGTCCGACGGAGACAGCCGTACCTTCGCTGCCCTCACAGAAGAGAATGTGTACGGGCTAGTGCCAATTGTAAAAGAAGAATGTCTGAACCATGTTCAGAAAAGGATTGGAAGTGCTCTTCGAAACATTGTGCAGAAAAGTGATAAGCCACTGAGTGGGAAGGGGAAGCTGACTAAAGCCCTCATTGAAAAGCTGACAGGATATTATGGTTGGGCCCTGAGAAACAATTCAACTGACCTAACAGCCATGCAGCGTGCAGTGATGGCAACATATCACCACGTCATATCGACTGACGAGGACCCTCACCATGAACTTTGCCCAGAGGGGGCTCAATCGTAGTGCCGCCATAGAGCTGCAGAGGCAAAGCGTGAGCCACAGCCAAAACATAAACACAGCCTACCGGACTATGTCGCTGCAGCTATGCTGCCCATCTACGAAAGACTGTCACAAAACTCGCTTCTTCAGCGCTGCCTGGGAGCGAAGACGCAAAATGCATCAGAATCATTCCACTCCATTCTGTGGTCTCTGATGCCGAAGGAACAACACTCATCCTTGATTGCGGTAGAAACAGCACTGCATGAAGCAGTGCTGCGCTACAATGCCGGCTGCTGCAAAGCAACCCAAGTGATATCGGACTCCATTGGACTTCAACCAGGTCATCTGGCCATCCAGCGAGCTCGTGAAAAAGACGCTTTACGCCTAAAAAGGAATTCTAAAAGACACCAAGAGAAGATGGAGGCCAGGCAAAAAAAGAAAAGAGTGCGCCAGTACACTTCTAGCTACTGTGCTGTAGCTTTTTTAAGAAAACACGTGTTTTGAACTTTCTCAAACTTTCTCGATTTTTGATGAATCTGGTCATTACTGGTTACATCAAATTCAATGTTGCGTGAAAATTTTTTGGGGAGGAAATTAAAAAAAAACGGCTTTGTAGCGCCCTGGGATAGCTATCAAGGAATGACCACAATAAATTTCAGCTTTCTACTATGTCCTGGGATTTCTCACGACTCTTCCTCAGGCACCCATGTGAAGCACCCAGTTAAACCTAAATAACTCTGGAACTAAGAAACACAGCTTCGTGAAACTTAGCAGTTGTGCTAGTTTTATTGTAGTGAACAACCCCTGAAAGTTTCATCCAGATATCTTAAAAAATAAAAAAGTTCGGTCTCCAGGGTAGCCTCCCCCCTTAAGGCGGTACGATCACTTAGTAAGGGAAACGCTCTATGCATTCCAGTTTAATTTTCTTCAGAAGCGTTGGCGGCCACCCACCACGGAGCCCAACAAGGGGACGCTACAAGTTTGTGGATGCTAAAACCTGCAGACGCCAGCCGTAAAACGCTACTATAACCCAATGTGCCTAGACCAAGGTAGGCTATTTGCACAGGGTTAACCCTAGCCGCCAGGAAGTTTGGAAGTAAACAGAAGAGAGTAGAAGGCAGGAAAGATAAATAGTAAGAGATAAAGACGAAGATGTAGGGAGAGAGAGATAGGAAAAGGCGACTGCCGATTTCCCCTGGGTGGGTTAGCCCAGGGGTGCCGTCTACGTGAAGCCGGGGCCAAAGGGGTGTGTTGCCTCTACCGGGGGGCCTTAACGGTCCAATCACCCAGCGTCTGCTCAACCCCCCAGGATCCCCTTATCCCCGGACACGGCAAAGCCACGCACGGCTAGGCGTGGGAGGGAGTAGAAACTCCCCCGTTAGCTCGGGTCCGTGGTGTCGCTACACACCAAACGCCTACTTGCGCAGGCGCCCCTGCTTGATTGATTGATTGATTTGTGGGGTTTAACGTCCCAAAACCACCATTTGATTATGAGAGACGCCGCTGTAGTGGAGGACTCCGGAAATTTTGACCACCTGGGGTTCTTTAACGTGCACCCAAATCTGAGTACACGGGCCTACAACATTTCCGCCTCCATCGGAAATGCAGCCGCCGCAGCCGGGAATCGAACCCGCGACCTGCGGGTCAGCAGCCGAGTACCTTAGCCACTAGACCACCGCGGCGAGGCCAGGCGCCCCTGCGGGGAACATGTAAAATAGGCTATGTTTTAACATTCAGTATAGTTGGAGCTTGTGAGCCGTTTTGTCAAGCTTTTAAACTTACAAAATCATGAATCAATGAGAGGGTAATATGTTCATTTAAACTTGAAGAGGTGCTTTATGGCAGAGCAAATTTCTCCTCGATAGGTGTATTTGCAGTATACCTAGCACCCTCCCACTCCAGTGTAACAACCTATACATGCAGACTAATATAATACACTTAATGGTTCATTTTGAACAGTACTTCAATATTTTCAATAATTTAAATTCGAACCAAAGCACTCGAATATTCACACAAGCGTACTCACCAGCATACAATGCAAAACACTAAGCACATTTTCTAGGGTTTCGACACTTGAAGGGATCGTGAAACCTCCTTTGAAAATTTTCAACTACGTGCATATCCAGAATCCTGGCTGTCCATCAATAATATACCTTGACTCATTTCATTGCAAGAGTTTATTTAATAGCTATGCAAGTACAATTTCGATTTCCCGCTAACACTCCCTTCAACCGTACAGCTGAAGTCACTAGAAGCCAGCCAATGAAAAGTCTCTGTCATTGACAAAACATGGCGATGCAGCGATGTTTGCTGAGCCATAGTTGATCAAGGTTCATAGCATTATACAATTTAGATTGCAGAGTCCTAAGCCGTCATGAACGTTGTTGTGAACAATGTTCATGACCAAATCCTCAGCTCATGAACAAATCCTCAGCTCGCACCATCATCCCGATGGACCCACCGCAGGAGACGACCGTTTGGCCCAGCCACCACACATCAAAAAAGAGCCGCTCATATCTCATGTGCTACCACCCAACTTCGCCGCCAGACGTCACTGCTAGTGCTACCACGCTAACCATAATGATAATGATGGTTAACCCTGCGCCACCTACCGCACGATGGTTGTTAACATTAAATGCAGCCTGTCTATGAGACACACGCATGCAAATAGGCGCAAGTAATCGTAGTAGTAGTAGAAAACATTATTATGTACATAATCCAGACAGGCTTGAACTCCAGTGCCCCGAGGAATATACAGGGTGAAGAGCGAAGTCTGTCCGGCAGGGTGGTGCCCCTATTCCAGGGCCCCACTGGCGCGAGCCATCCGTTCAGCTCTGTGGATAAGCCGCAGCTGATCCACTAGGGCTGGGCTAGACAGCAGCGCCTCCCATTCCTCCCACGTGCCAGTGGTGTCGTGTTCTTCGCCGTGCTCTGCACACTCCCACGTGATGTGAAAGAGTGTTGGGGTGGCTCCACACCACGGGCATATATCTGTACTCCAAGGGGTAGATCAGGTGAAGAGTGTTTAGGTTTATGTAAGTGTCAGTCTGTATTCTTCTTAGCGCTGTTGCCTCCGCAGCGCTGAGCTTGCTATAAGGACGTGGATACAGCTGCCTATTTTCCCTGTAGTACTTTAATATCGTTGGGAAACAAGGTTCCAGGGGTGTAGGGTCATCACTTGCATTGCCTTGAGAGGCTCGGTGATTTGTGAAGCCTCGAGACGCCTCGTTTGCGCGCAGGTTCCCTGTCACGCCCTCGTGCCCCGGTGCCCAAGTCACAGCCTGTACTTATTTTACTGTGGGGTCCCATCCTGTCCCAACCAATGTACGGAGCGCCTGTGTTCCAATTTCGCCCTTTAGATAGTTTCTGCAAGCTTTTTGCGAATCTGTAATGACTGTTAATGGAGCGTTTCGGGTCCATCCCTCTTTTATTGCGAGTGCTATGGCAACCTCTTCTGCTTGTGTTGTCGACACCTGATCTATTGAAGAGCAGGCTGTAGTTTTCCCTCAATGGTCGGTGACTACACACACATATCTCTTTTCATTGGTCTGATAAGGCGCAGCGTCAATGAATCTGGCCGTGTTTAAAAATCTTGTCATTTTGTCAATGTAGTCAGCCCTTGCCTTTCTTCTTCCAGCACGCAGAGTAGGATCCATGTTGCTTGGTATTGGCAAGCAACTCTAAGTTCGCTTGGTACTTCTTTAGTTTCTTGGTGTGTTTGTAATAAAGTATCGCGCCCTAGTTTTGTTAGGACTGCTCTGCCCGTTGGGGTCTGGAGAAGGCGATTTTCTTGCGCAAGTAACTGGGCCTCGGATAAAGAGGCGCAAACAACTTTACACGAGGTGCCAGCACTCCTACAAAGATTAGTTTCTTCTTGGCACTTTGATTCAGCAACAGACAATTATGATTAGTGGAGCCAGCGGATGAATAAGAAAGAAAAGCATGGATACCTTACTAGGGCAGCTGGCAGCCAAGGCGGCAACACTTGCGATGCAACGATAGTAGTAGCGATGGCAACCAGCATGGTTCCGACTCATGGACTGATCCACGACTGGAGGCAGGCTATTCCTCATGGCTTCTGAGAGCTCAAGCGCTGGTGCCTCCAGCATGCTATGCGCTGTTGGCCCGAACAGCTGGCCCTTGCGGTAAGACAGACCTGTACATATGACAGTGTGCCGAGTGTAAAGGCTGCGGCAAAAGAGTATATTCCAGATGCAAGACACAAAAATAGCAAGACATATGCACAGTATCTTTGCAATTGATAATGTTACAATCCCTTTGTTCCCCTCTGTTTTCTTCTCCATATAATGTGATAGTCGTGAGATCCTAGAAATGGTGCAGTTAGATATAAAAGCGCAGCAAGGCAGAAAATTGAGTATAGAAACTGAAACTCAGGGAGGGTAAAGCAAAAAAAGAAAGAGTTTTAAGAAAGGCAATACCATGCAAAAAAAGCAAGCAAAGCAACATCTTGGAGGATGCTGATGTATGGCTTTTGAGAATGCAACACAATAGCACTATCAGGCCCCGTTAACATCACTCACTAGCCACGCTTGGCTTTTCGGTGGACACCTCAACAGTGCTGTGAGAAAAGAAACGTTATCCACTTGCCGAGTCAGAAGAGCCAAGCTCCAACTTCTGCAGAATACACAGGTTGTTTTTTGTACTTACCCATATTGGCCAATGTCTTGAAAAGATTAGCCAGGGCCTTGCGTTTCAACTGCTGGACGAGGCGCACCTGCCTCTTGCGATCCTCACGCTTGGATTCGGGTTCAGACTGGCCACCACCCATTTTGGCCTGCACTTACAAACAAGCCCGTGTGTTTTTTATTTTCCCCAAGCATTGACACAATGACGCAGTGGTGTAACAAATTTCAATGGACAAATCAGTCATAACATTGCCTAAAAAGACAGGGTAGGCAGAGTTGAACAAAAACACAGACAAGCTTAAAACATGCATAGGCACAGTAGTTTTTGTGTATAAAAATGCACTACTCTGCATCACTGCAGTATCACTGGAACAAACGTCGTATCAGATGCATTGTTGGGGGGCGGGGGGGGTGCACATGAAGTTGAACCTCTGAACAGACTGTTAGATTGATATTTCATACCACTCTACCATTGCTTTGACAGCAGAACAGTACAATTTGAAAGCCAAGGAAAATCTGAAACCCACTCCTGATACTGTGCCTTTGTTATGTGTGGCATGTAGCTAATAAAATTACATTTAAACCTTGATATAATGTACCTCAATACATATTGTCACGACGCAGACACAGCAGGAGTTCGATATAGAAGAGCTCACTTTAATTAAAAATGAAAGGCGCTCGTAAAGAGGACCGGGCAAGAGCTTCGTCTTCTTCTCTGGCTGTGCGAGCTCTCCCCTGCAGGTTGAATGCGGCATTTGCCTCCCTCCAGGAAGAGCATCGACCCGATGCTCGGCTACAGAATACGCGGTGTATGTAGTTGACGTATTACGCAACTGGCTCACTGTAATATGGCTTCATCCGCACCACGTGTACGATTTCAGATTTTTGAGCTCGCGAGGAACTGTCAGGGATGACCTCATAATTCACGTCACTTAGGCGCCGTATAACATTGTAGGGACCAAAGTACTTCTTCAATAACTTTTCACAAAGGCCGCGTCGGCGAATAGGGCTCCAGACCCACACCTTCTCGCCCGGTTGATAATTGACGTATCGGTGTCGCAGGTTATAACGTTGTGCGTCATAACTCTGCTGTCGGGCGATTCGCACGCGTGCTAGCTGCCGTGCCTCTTCAGCTCGTTGGGTAAAGGCTTGAACATCCGTGTCTGTATCCTCGCAGTTGTGCAGCAGCATGGCATCAAGCATTGTCGTCACTCCACGGCCATAAAGAAGACTAAATGGCGTGCTCCGCGTAGTTTCCTGCAGCGCCGTATTATAAGCAAACGTCACGTATGGTAGAACGTCGTCCCAATTTTTATGATCCACGTCGATGTACATACTAAGCATATCAGCAATTGTTTTGTTGAGGCGTTCTGTTAAGCCGTTGGTTTGTGGGTGGTAGGAGGTAGTTTTTCGATGCGCTGTTCCACTCAACTCAAGCACTGACTTGAGGAGCATGGCCGTGAAAGCGGTACCTCTGTCTGTTATTATAATTCTAGGAGCACCATGCCTCAGAACGATATTTTCAATGAAAAATCGTGCCGCTTCTACTGCGGTTCCACTTGATAAAGCCTTTGTTTCTGCGTAGCGAGTAAGATAGTCCGTAGCGACAATTACCCACTTATTTCCAGTATGCGAAGTCGGAAATGGTCCAAGGAGATCCATTCCGATTTGTGCAAAAGGCATGGTGGGCACTTGGACTGGTTGCAACAATCCGGCTGGTTTTAAAGGTGGCGATTTTCGTCGTTGACAATCGAGACACGTGCGGACGTAATGCTTTACAGTTCCTGGAAGCTTCGGCCAGTAGTACTTTTGTTGGATTCTGGCCAATGTGCGCGTATATCCGAGGTGGCCGGAGGTTGGCTCATCGTGGCAAGCGCTCAGGATCTCATCGCGAATGGATGTCGGGACGACAAGTAAGTGGGCATTTCCGCTGGGGGCAAAGTTCTTCTTGTATAGCACACCACTGCGCAAGCAGAATGATGGTAGGCTCCTTGCAAATATCTTGGGAACGCTTGTAGACTGGCCGTTAAGAAAATTAATAAGAGGGAGCAACTCACTGTCTTCTTTCTGCTTAGACGAAATGGTGACCGTGTCGACCACTCCTAAAAATGCCATGTCATCATCTTCCGAGACATCATCTTGCTTTATAGGCGACCTGGATAAGCAATCAGCATCAGAGTGCTGTCGTCCCGACTTATAGACGACCGTCATATCGAATTCTTGTAGGCGTAAGCTCCAGCGCGCTAGCCGATCGGATGGGTCCTTCAAGTTGGTCAGCCAGCAAAGAGAGTGGTGGTCGCTGACTACGTGGAAGGGACGGCCGTAGAGGTATGGGCGAAACTTCAGAACTGCCCATACTACAGCAAGACATTCCTTTTCCGTTGTGGAATAATGGGACTCGGCACGGGAAAGCGTCCTACTTGCATATGCAATCACTCTCTCGGCTGAGTCTTGCCATTGGACGAGCACAGCGCCTAAACCTACGTTGCTGGCATCAGTGTGGATCATGGTTGGAGCGTCCTCGTCAAAGTGAGCAAGCACAGGGGGTGTCTGCAGGCGCTGTCGTAGACCGTCAAATGCTGCTTGTTCCTCTTCGCCCCATAAAAATGCAACATCGTCTCTCGTTAAGCGTGTTAAGGGCGACGCTATGTGCGAGAAATTGGCGATAAATCTGCGGTAGTAGGCGCAAAGGCCAAGAAAACGTCTTACGGCCTTCTTTTCTGTTGGCACCGGAAATTTTCGGACGGCGTCAATCTTGTCGGGGTCCGGACGAACACCTTCATGGCTCACCACATGTCCTAAGAATCGGAGTTCCTTGAAACCGAAATGACATTTCTCAGGTTTCAGCGATAAGCCAGCGGACCGTATTGCTCGAAATACTAATAGCAGCCGTCTTAGATGTTCCTCGAATGTTGGTGAGAAAACAATGACGTCGTCGAGGTATACCAGACACGTCTGCCACTTAAGGCCTGATAGGACGGTATCCATCAGTCTCTGAAATGTTGCTGGGGCTGAGCACAATCCGAAGGGCAAGACTTTAAATTCGTAAAGCCCGTCAGGCGTAACAAAAGCAGTCTTTTCTCTGTCCCGCTCATCGACCTCGATTTGCCAATAACCGCTTTTCAGGTCCATCGACGAGAAGAAGCGTGCATGCCTCAGCCTGTCAAGTGAATCGTCAATACGCGGTAGTGGGTATACGTCTTTCTTTGTCACGCGGTTCAGCTTGCGGTAGTCCACACAGAAGCGTAAGCTGCCGTCTTTCTTCTTAACTAGCACTACCGGTGATGCCCAAGGGCTTTTTGACGGCTGAATGATGTCATCATTGAGCATTTTCTGGACTTGTTCTTGGATTGCTTCGCGTTCTTTCGGTGCCACGCGGTATGGGTTTTGTCGAATTGGTCTTGCCGTCTCTTCCGTTATAATTCGGTGCTTTGTCAGTGGCGTTTGATTTACTCTCGAGGTCGACGAAAAACAATCTTCAAACTGGCCGAGAATATCTAGAAGACTCTGCCTCTGCGCTGGCGATAAATCTGTGCTCACGTCGACAGGCAGTGGTGTTGAAGCGGCCGGCATCTCTGCCTGTTGTACTGCGAAGCACTCGCGGAATTCTACAATTTCTTCGAAGTATGCAACTGTGGTACCCTCTGCAATGTGTCGACGCTCGTTGCTGAAGTTTGTCAACAGGACCTCTGCTTGCCCAGACACTACACTGACGAGACTTCTGGCAATAGCGATTCCTCGAGAGAGTAAAAGCGTCGATATTTGTTCCGCGACACCTTCTCCACTATGCTGCGTGTTACACGTGACAGAGACGAGGCGGCATGACAACGGTGGCATGGTTACGTCGTCAATCACGCGCATGGGCTTGCGCTGCAGCGCTGCGCTATGGTCCGCTGAGAAAGTCAGTACACCGTCCGGTATATTTATAATGGCACCGTACTCCCGCAGGAAATCCATACCCAAGATGGCCTGTTTACAACACTCAGAAAGAATAATGAAGGTTGCCACGAATGATGAATCGCCGATCTTGATTCGTGCGGTGCACTTTCCGGTAGGTGTCAGCAGCTGGCCTCCGGCTCCTCGAATTTGCGGCCCCGTCCATTCCATTTTTACCTTCTTGAGTTCGTCGGCCAGATTCGCACTCATTATTGAAAAGTCCGCACCAGTGTCGACCAGTGCAGTCACGTCGTGACCGTCAATTGAAAGTGTAATGTCGGCGGTGACAATCTCGTCTTTCGTCGGTTCATTCGAAATGTGTGGCACTTCATGCGGCGGCAATGGGGGATTTTCAAATCTTCGGCAATTCGCAACCTTCCCCCCTAAGGTCGCTGCTTTTAGTTTCCCCGGCGTGGACTGGGAGACCTTCCTCTCGCCATGTCCGTGGTGCTACCTCTATTAGATCGGGGAAAATGACCTGGGGAGGGCGAGCGTGACCGGAACCCAGGAGAAACGTCTCGCGGGATCGTCGCGCTCGTTTCAACGTTGCGTCTTCCGTCGAAATAGCGCCGAGGGGTAGTGGACGGAAATCCTTGATACCCGGCAACGCGATGAGGACAATACCGCACGATGTGGCCTGCTTCCCCACAATGGAAGCACAGGGGCCTGTAGTCAGGGGTACGCCATATGTCGGTTTTGCGGAGTGGGGGTCGCATCGGCGTCGACGTTTCCCTGTAGTACCAAGGCACTGTCGGCGGCTGTTGCTGGTGGTACTGTTGAGGTGGCGGCACGTTAGATCTAGGCTGTCGACGGAGAATGTCTGCATATGTTGGCCTAACTATTTCAGTGTTTGGCTCGGGAAGTGAAAGCGCTTGCCTTATTTCTTGGCGAACAACTTCTGTGACCGACGCAATCGCGCAGTCATTGGGTGTGGCGGCGAGCTTCTTCACCTCTTCTTGCACAATTTCGCGTATCAGGTCACGCAAAGAACGCTCGTCAGGAGTCACCGTGGTCACGGTGGTTGCGCTGATTTGTCCGCTGTTGTTTGGACGGTCGTACTGGCGGTACCGTAGCTGTAGCGCGCGTTCTATGGCGGTCGCCTCCTTCGAAAATTCGTCGACGTTTGAAGGTGGGTTCCGTACGAGACCAGCAAACAGCTGCTCTTTAACACCACGCATGAGGTGGCTGATCTTTCTGTTTTCGGACATGTCGGGATCGGCTCGATGAAAGAGACGAGCCATGTCCTCAACAAACATAGCAACAGACTCGTTGGGCTTTTGAATCCGTGATTCAAGGAGTCGTTGTGCATGCTCCCGCCTTTCGGTGTTTGCGAAGGTGTCCAGGAACTTTCGCCGGAACTCGTCCCACGTTGACCACACGCGATTCGTGAACCACGTGCGAGCCCCGTCTTGAAGAGGGAAATACACGTACCCCAACTTCTGTGCGGCGTTCCACCCGTTAACGTTGGCTGTGCGCTCGAACTCCTCAAGCCAGTCATCTGCGTCCTCATATGAGTTGCCATGGAAGTCCACAGGAGTTTTAGGGGTGAAAACAGTCACCTGTGTCGTGCTTGGGCTCGTCATGGTGGGGCAACTGCTTCCCGGCGCGGTCATGTTTTCCGTCCAAGGACCGAACTCTGGGCTCAGGCCTAACAGGCGGCGGCTGGCGCGGTGAACGGGTGTTTCGACGAGCGGAAGTCTTTGTGGACTTGATCCCGGGCTGTTGGTAGGTGTCCTGGACATGTACCCAGCTCCTCCACCAGTGTCACGACGCAGACACAGCAGGAGTTCGATATAGAAGAGCTCACTTTAATTAAAAATGAAAGGCGCTCGTAAAGAGGACCGGGCAAGAGCTTCGTCTTCTTCTCTGGCTGTGCGAGCTCTCCCCTGCAGGTTGAATGCGGCAATATAACAAAATTTTCTTTATATAAAAAGTATCAATGTTGAGCTGTTATATTTCCTTTTTCCTTTATGTATTCAGTATCTTATCTTCTATCAGTTTTCATAAGGATGAAGAGATGTCCCTGGTGACATGTGATGCATGACTCCCCAACCCCCCCCCCCCCTTTTTTTTTTGACGTATGATGGATGAATTGAAAACTTTTCTAATCAGATCAACCTGGACACCACCTTCTGGAAAAATGTGAGTCCACATAAACATCTGTTGACTTGCCCTAAATTAGCAGCAGCATTTCTGCTTCACCCTGCCACCGCAATGGCATATAAATAAAAAGGTATATTTTGACATAGCACAGTGAATGGTGCTCCACACTATATAAAAGTGGATACATAGCATAAGAAACGTGTAGCATTATTTGGCATGGAAGAAACATGATTAAGATGACCAGAAAATTTACTCCGTTGAGGCATGGTAATAGCAGAAATCTCTACAGCTGCAACACAAGGCACTTTTTGTGAACCATTTCGTTTTCTGTGTTCTTCGTCCTAAAACTTGGTTACATGACAACATTAGTTGCATGTGTGACTGTTAAGCCAGCAACTACGAAGCAGTAGGAAATGCCACCATACCAAGATGACATCCTCTTGCTCAAATGCCTCCACAGTGGCAGCTACTTCAGCAGCCAGGTCATCCAGTTCTTGCGTCAGCTCCACTGCCTCCATGTTGCGCATCACTCGATTTAGAAGCTGCCGCATTCGGAATGCATAACGGTGCTGTCCATCCTAGCAAGAGAACAGTTTCTGAAGAAATTGAATTTCCCACTTGCACTCAATACACTTATTACAGAAGAAAGCAATCAGCCCAGATGCCTTCACATGGAAAAGACATACAAGACATAAGAACACAGAAAAAAGAGAAAGCTTGCCCCTTCTGATGACAAGCACTGATCTCAACTTTGAAACCCAACACAAAACCAAAACTGCCAGGCAGCAACTTTAGGACAGCCACAGGGATGGTAACTGTATAGCTTTCTTTTCAAAAGCCTTTAAATAGCACACAAGCAGTTGACGCATGCACCAGGTGGCTTTCACAACAACATAAGTCCAAGCATGTTGCTGCTGAGATTTATTTAGTGCATCATGGGCACCACCATAACCCAGGCACCACCATAACACAGAGGCTGTGCCAATAGGCTGAGGAGCCACATGTTGTAGGTCATACACAAATGCATAGCAAAGCTTTTTGTCGGTATAAAATAAGTTATTTTTTTGAGCTTTTTGTATCACTTTATAATAATATACCACACATACAATTTTGAAGAAAGCTTTTCCATACGTTAACCGAGTCAAGCTGCACATTTTACAGTGCTGACTCCAGCTTCAGTTGGATTTCCAAGAAGATGTGATGACCTCAATATGTAGTTTTTTAACACATACACTGTCAGTGCTATCTTGTTTTTTCTTTCCTGCATATGTTTTTTTTATCTTTCTCTCCCTCTCTTTTTTTTTTTTTTTTTCATAGAAATGTTATACATTATGAATGACAAAACCTGTTTGATTTGGTGCCAACACTCGTAATCTTGGCACGAAAAATAGTTCCAGCAAACAATGCTCACACATCTATATATAAATAATCCTTTGACAGGTTGATGGACTGTACTGCAGTAACATAAGCCCACACAAATATGTGAAATAAGTAACTGCATATCGGCAATCACTGCACAAGGCTCAGAGGAGTGTCACAGTATTGTGACGGAACAAAGGCATGGCACAAAGTGTGATGCTTCAAGTCGCCCCTGCCATTACCTGTTCTCTGTATTCGTCTTCTTCAGAACACATGCTATCCAGGACCCTAAAGTGGTTCTCATTATTCTTTACAAAGTCATCAATAGCATAGATTGCATAAATAGACTACACAGTGCACAAATTGTTTAATTTATAACACATCTGCAAAGATGTGGATCACTAAAGATTGCAGCGGTGTTGCCACACCAAGTTTTCCAGCTGTCTGTTGGGGGCCACGGCATTGTTTTGCGATGCCATTTGTGCATTAGGCATGACTGGTTTCTAAGCATTTAAAAAGTATGAGAGGCTGCATTTATGGTGATATCTGGTGCACATGCACATAGATCAATAAAGCAGACAAGCACAAAGTGTGGCCTCTGTGATCAACTGTGTGCCAGCGGAGCATTGTGGAAGCACAAGTTTAGCCCAAATTATTACTCACTGAGGACAGTGAGGAGAAAAAGCACAGCTTCTGAAGGTGTTTAATTACACAGTGCTTTGCTAAGTTATAGTGCAAGTGATTAACACTAGCTGTAGCCTAACTGCATAACTCGCAAAATACTTTTTGAGGGACCCTTATTTAAAGCAGGTATGTTCTTTTATGAGACGAGCAGCTTGGCAACTTAGATGTGCTTTACACCCCAGAGGGACAAGAGCTTGGCGACGTTACTAACCGAAAAAACATGTCGAAGAAAAGCCTATTAGCTATATTCTAATAAACTTTGAAATTCTAACAGCAGTCAAGAACAAAGAAGAAACAAGAGAGGCATGACACTCCACTGAAATTGAAATCGGTAAAGAGAGGTAAGTGAAAACGGGTATTGGCCTAACCCCACGTTTTGGCACAGGACCCAGAAATTGGCAAGGCCTGAACTTCAGGCAGAGGGAACTTGGCTCTTTGAACTCCGCTTCCTTGGTCAAACCATTGAATGCACAGCGGGCATCTTGGTCAAGCACTTGCTGCAGCCACAAGAGAGAGAAAACAAATTTCTGTTCAATGTGATGATATCAGTTATTTTTTTTTCTTAATTGTTGTAAACAAGCCTTCTGTGAAATAGCTGTAACACCTTGTATTTTTATTTTGTTTTGTTTTTTTACCTCTGTTCTATGAATGCCTATATCTCAATTTACGCTACTCACAATCTGAAGCCTCGGGCACACAAAAAAGACACGACGCAGCTATATTCAGTGTGCGAAATGCCCTTAGTTTTCCGTGCGCTTCCGTAATGAAAATGGTGCATTACAATTACATTACATTACATTACATTACAAAGATTTCACTGCACACAGGCCCCATCCAAGACATGCTAGTGCTCCATATAGTGCCCCATGTTAACGTCGCATATGTGGTTTCGTTTCATGTGACTGTAATGTACAGACGATCTTTGTTCCCGTTTTTACTTTTGTATGTTTTTTTTTCCCTTCCCTTGCCTTTTCCCCTCTAGCCATGCTTTTGTGTTCTTCTGTTCTCTACTGTACCCGTGTTGGGGAAGTGAAGAACGCAAGGAGAACATGAAAGGATGAACGCTTTTTGTTGCTTTCTTTGCTTATAAAGCTGGCCCTTTCTCCATTTACAGGCTCGATACCTACACGCAGAAGATACCAGCTTCATGCGCTGACCTTTCTTTTCCACTTATCTCCCTTCCTCCCTGCACGTCGCAATTAGCTATCGATTTGCTTTGAGTCTTTGTGCCAGCAAGTGGGCTTTTTTTTTTTGCTTTCTCATGTTCGCCTGAATGCCCCCATCAAGACTACTGTAACATTTGTCGCGCAGAACCCGCGTCCTTGGTGGTTGCTGTGAGTGTTCGTCTTAAGCAAGAATTCGTCCTAACAGAGCTTGTCTTAACGGGAGTTTACTGTATACACTCTGAAAGAATTTCGTGCTAACAAAAAGAAAAGGAACCAACAGAAGCACATTGAGTACATCACCTGAAAATCTCGAACGTGTGAGACCAGCACTCTGTGGGACTTCTCCACAGCTTGCTTGATGGCCCAGAAGCTGATGTCCTTCCAGCGAACTATCTTTACGAATTCCTGCAGTATGAAGCGGAACAACCCATTCTGGCTCTGTATGTCCTCATGACGGCCCCATGTGCAAACAAGACTAAGTGTGTACACCTTTTCTGACAAGTCTAACACGGCACACAGTCCTATTGCAGCACACAAAATCCAGCTAAAAAAAAAGAAAAGAAGTGGAGAAAAGCCACTTATCTCTATGCACCTGCCATCTGGTGCTTCATAAACACATACTATCTGCCACTATTTTAATCAATATCTGCCTAAGTGTTAATGCCATAGTTAGCCATTTACATTAACAAAAGCTTTGCTACTTTGAAAACTGAGTTTTGCTAACAAGTTTAACCACGACATTGATGCAATATCTTGACACCAGGTTAAATGGCTTTCCACTTTTGCTCAATGGTCACAGAATGAACATGCAACTAAGTGCACCAGTTAAGGACAAGTATAAAATAAATAAGGACTATAACATCTTTACTTTACGCATCCTTGTAGCATGTGTACAGTTCACAATGCCTAAATTGGGCCAAATCTTAAAGAAGTAGCCTACAGCTGACCGACCTAAGACGCAGGCGAAACCCACCTTGAGCTTCTTCTCAATGGGCTCCCTATCTGCTTTAATGTGATCACGAGTAGACGGGACTGTACTGGCTGTAGAAGTGCCACAGGTTGAAGAGAAGGCCTGTCAAGAGAGAGCCCGACTGCTGCGCCTCAAGCAAGAAGGGCCACAGCAGCTGCAGTCTAAACTCAAACTCCCCGAGACGGCTTGTGTCCAGGAAACGCACCAGCTCATCCCTCACCTGTCGGAGAGTGTCTGCATCCAGCTGGCTCTTTTCCTGCATTGTGATGCCCCCACTGTTTTATCTGCTTGTATTAAACCAAAGACCAATCAATTTTCTCGCTTCAAAGAGGCAATGCGAAGACAGATATTGGTTGCTGTGGTGGGACGAGGTCAGGTTGCCTTAGAACGCGTAGTTATAAAGCAAGATTGAATAAAGAAGAACAATGCACATGCTGTGGGGGAGTTTAAGAAATGATGAACATGTTCTGATTGAATGTGGCGATATCTACCTAGGTATACGTGTGGGCACGAGCCTACATGACGCCTTGGGTTTTAGGAACAACCATTGAAAGCTGAACACGTCCACGATAGAAGCAAGTAAGAGACGGTTGGAGTATTGGTGGCAGGAAAGTAGAGATAAAGGACAGAAATAGTGGAAAAGATGAGGTCATTCTGCCTGAAAAGGCAGAGAGATGCACCATGAATTTATAATTTTCCTGGTATAATGAGATCGCTTCAATCGAATTAGATAAGGCACTAGGTCAACATAAAAAGAAAGCTTTCTCTTCAGTTTTTTTTTTTTTTTTTTTTTTTTGAGCTTGATGGAACCCATGTCATTGTCACGTTATAAAGAGGACGGTCATAGCATCCATCCGTTCATCCATCCATCCATCCTTCCAACAGATAGCATCACTATGTTCATGTATGTAAAGTCAACTTCCTAGTAAACTTTCCAGAAATTCAACCTTAGTGCCTAGAGCAGAGGCGGTAACATAGTGCTTGACACATGCATTAAAACCATATGATAAAACCTTGCTGTGATGGTTTCCATGTTCAAGATAGTTTTGTACAGCAGTATAGGCAAACAAGAGAAAAATGCCTTCCAGGATTTCTGAGCATGGCTTAAGTTCAGGACAGTATGTAGAAATTAAATTAACATTGCTGGGGTTTAACATCCCGATACCCCAATATGACTGAGAGACGCTCGTCACGAAACATGCTAGAACAGGAAGTTTCAACTGTACCTGAACAAGGTTTGCCAAAAGGTGGTACATAAAAAACCACCACCTGGCACTTCTTTCTCTTACTTTCTGGACCACTCCATTCAGGCACTGGGTCCAGTTGCTGAAACAGATGCACAAGAAAATTCAGCGAAAATCACCAGAAGATGACTGACAAGGAAAAGAGAAACCTTTTAAAAAATCCACCAAGATTCACTGGGACAACACTTATGTGGTGTTTCTGCGGCTTGCGGGTACTCTGTTGTATAGACATGTAAGAGTGCATTTGGCAAAGTAGTCCAGAGTCCTACCTATGACAAGACAAGAGAAAGAATGCTGACATATTCATTTTCCTTTGAGGGGATCAAGGCGCCTTCCCTATGCCTCATTCCACTGCAAGTGTGTTGTGCCGGCTACGAGACGGCTCATTCACCGAGAACCACTTTTGCAGCAGCAACGTGATGGAAGTGGTTAGTACAGTGGACGTACCGTATTTACTCACGTAATGAACCCACCTTTTCTTTTTTCTGAAAAGCTGATGTCAATTTGGGGGGAGGGTTCATTACGTAGAAAAAAAAAAAAAAAAACTCCTATTAAACGAAACTCGGTTAAATAAAAAGCCGCATAACCGAAACTATCTAGGCACATTTGGTTGGTCTCTTATATATTTAATGACAAAAAGTTTCAGGTAATCAGAACATTTTTATAGATTACATCGGTTAAATGATACTAAAACGAGCAAAACCCATGAACGGCGGAAGTGGCCACAGCTGTCTAGCAACCATGAAACAATAGCCAAAGCTAATTTAGTCAAGCCAATCAAACGATCGCACATGTCCGCACATGCCGAGCAGCAATTGACGTCTCGTCGTGAACTTGAGGAGACAGCCTTGAGGAACTTATAGCTGAAGTTCAAGATGAGGATCCGTGCTCGAGTGGTGATAAGATTGTGTGTGATTTCGAGCCCATTTCAGTGGCTGATAGTGCAGCAAGAAATGCTGTCATCCTGTTGCAGCGCTACTTTGAACACCTGGTGGCACAGGGTTCCTGCACAGCCTTTCAGCAATGCACTCCTACTATGTGAGAAAGTGCTTAAACAAGGCCAAGCAAATTGTTATCACCTCATTTTTTCCGAGTCAGCAATATTAGTAACATTTTTCTTTCTCATCAACTATAGTAGTATTGCTTACTTCAAAATGTTTCTGTTCAGTCAGCCACAGTTGGTGCTTTTCAAATGAAGTCATATTTAATTCATTTTGTGGGCTTTGATCAAATGAAACTTCTCATAAACGAAACAAATTTTCTTGCCCTTTCAAGTTCCGTTTAAGAGGATTCCACTGTAACAGCAAAAATTTCACACGATGATAATGAGAAACTAGCTGTTCAACCACAACCGACCTTCAATTCAGCGGCAGGACTACTGAGCCTCTGAACTTATTCGACGACTTAACTTTACACAAGGGGATATTGTCCTTGTTTTGGCCTGTGAAATGAGCGACGAAACTGGGCACCGCTTTGGCACCGTAAATGGGCCTCTAGCATTTCACGTTGGTTGAAGATAACTGAAGTGAACGAGTAGAAAAATGAATTAATGTTGATTACCGCCTGCTAAACCAGTTGGTTCATACTTGCAGATGTCATAGGATGTGAAACTTAGTGAAGGCAGCATAGGACAGGAAATAATGCTTTCGCTGTTCTATTGTTGTTAATTCTGTTGTCTTACTACACAAATAACCGATTACAAATGTAGCTCTTTAGAACTAGCCAGAATGCAGCTTTCAACACTTTCTCCTTGTCTCTTCAATCACACAGAGCTCAAACTTGAAAAAGCAGTACTGTTCAAACAGCAGCACTTACTGCAACTCCATTTTGCGCCACCGCACTACCAAGTGGGTAAGTGCATTCAGCTCAGGGGAAATGGAAATCTTCCGATGAGCCCCTTTTTCCCAGTCCTGTGAGAGGAACAAAGTGACCATCAGCTACTGAGTTGAACAGTGTAGCTGCTGATTTATTAAGGCGTAACCCAGAAGGTGCATGCAAATGTGCATGCAAGGAGAATGATGTAACGTGTCATTTGATACAATGTGCTACACAAGCTGCCAGCGTACCCTAGTATTTCACACTTATCTTCCATGGCTCCATGGGTGTTGCTAAGAGTAGCTTGCCAGAAATGAAAAGTAAGCCTTTAAGTAAATTGAAATTTTTTCAACTTTTCCACAGAGAATTATGACTTACATGTTACGTGAAGCTTCTGAAAACATTATACATTTGCACATTTGCAAAAGCAATGATATTGCTAATTAAGAGCTGTGAACCTGACCTGTCCTAGTGCAAGCAGTATTTCCAGTCCTTGAAGAACTTTCATTACTGGTGATGACACCGGCAGGTCCAGCACACGATTGCAGACCTGTTTCAACTGAAAAAGAAGAATAAAATTAAACAAGCTAGCACAGTGAGACATTACGAAATCAATGGATTGGCGATAACATGTCTGGTCTGGAAGATGCGTGATGAAGAAAATAAATGCAGAAAAATAATGAGCAAAAGTGAAAAGGCTTTATAGAAGTGGCTCAATAGTTGAGCCACTTCTATGTGACCAAGGCTTCAACATGAAAGCCAGAACTTCATGGAAGTTTTACACTTTTTCACTTATAGTCTGTATTTATCTGTATAGTCTGTATAGTCTTAATGTCTTATAGTATGTATCTGTATAGTCTGTATAGCCTGTTTTTTTTTTTTTTTTTCTTCAACAAGCCTTTATAATCTCTACAGTGAGAAGAAAGTTTCCACACTTTAGTGTATTGATGGTAATGAATAGTGAGCAACAGGAACACTTATACCGTATTTACTCACGTAATGAACGCACCTTTTCTTTTTTTCAAAAAATCGGAGCAAAGTTGGGGGTGCGTTTATTACGCGGGGTAAATATTATGAAAACGTTTTCGGGAGAAGGAAAAAAATGCAGTAATGCAAAAAATAGGTTAGGCTGCTGCGCCTTTTGCAATTTACATACGCATACACTGTTTGGAAACAGCTTCTTCGTTGCACATTCAATTTCGATGGTTGATGGCGCTATCTTCTGCAAGCTGTCCCCTGGTGGCCACCCGCGCATGCATGTTTTGCAACTATCTTTTCTCACAATCGTTTAACCGCAACAGTGGTATCTGCTTGTAATCTCGAGGGGCACCCAAAAGCGTGCACTCAAGGGGGAACGGGGAACAAAGGGACAGTTAGAGTGAAGAAAAAAGAAAGTTGGCTAAAAAAAAAAAAGGGGGAAAGGAGTTCGCAGGAAGCGACCGACTCAGTTGGCGCAGGCAGTTTGGTGATGGGCAGTTTGGTGACCTTCGCTCGTTGTGTGCGTATCAGCTGCAATGTCTCTACACTCGCACTGCTCGTAAACCCCGCTGTGGTGCACAGGTAAGACGGGGAGGTGTCGTGCACAGATAGAAAGAAAAGCAAACAGGCTTGCGGCCAACGGGCGAAGTGAGGGGGGGGCGAGCAGGAGTGGTTGAGCGAGGGGGCAAAGTAATAAAAAACAGAAGAGAGCGAACGAACGGGTGAGGAGGCGCCAGGTGTCGGTTGGCGGCAGTGCAGCGGATGAATGTAGGGGGTGCGATTATTATGTGGGGGGGGGGGGGGGGGTATCCAAATTTTGATGAGTGAAGTTGGGGGGTGCGTTTATATGCGAGTAAATACGGCACTTGTTTCCATAAGCTGCTCTTCTAGCATCATGAAATAGCGATGAAATTGATCCATTCAGGCTTGAGCTTTAGTACAGATAAGTAACTTTCGGGTATGAAATTCACACATTGATGCATTGAAGTTGAATGGAGGTACAGAGCAGAAACTTAAATTTCTGTAATACTTGCAAGATGCAAAGCTGCACACATGCAAAGCAGCAGCGCTTGTGGTGTGTCGTTCCTTGTGTACGTCTTATCATTTTTTGCGCTACATTATGAATTTGATCCCGCACAAACTGGTCCAGGAACAAGTCCTTCTGCAAAGCTGCACACCTTTACATGATTAGTACAAACCTTCTGATTGGTTTATGGGCTTAGCTTTCCTCCTTACGCAACAATGGAAATAATAGCTGAATAAAAAATAAATAAGCACGGTAGAACTAAATCTGCTGGATAATTAATTTGCTAATGTATGGTGTTGTTACTCTAATGATAGTGAAATACTATGTCAGTGAGTCCTTCCTTAACTCAATAACTCAGTAGGTTCGATTTGCTTATAAGCTGATTCCATCATACACAGTAACTACGCTCTATTTTCAGCACACACATTGCACTTTCTGAGAGCAGAAGCATACCTTGGTAAGGCCTGGGTGTCCAGGGAACTCCACAAGAAGGTCCCCAATTCTTGTCACCAGGCGACACAAGGGGCCCTCACACAGAGATGTCTCTTGCAGATCAGCGTCATGGTATAGGTCGATCTGGCGTCCAGTGTCGCGACCTTTGTTCTCTGGTTTACATTGCACTAGGCCTTGCTGCTCCAAGCTAGCTGTGCCTAGGCTCAATTCCAATGACCAGCACGAGACCAAGTGGCAGCCTTGCAAAGCTACATCAAGTGTTGCATCTGCATGCACAGAGACGTCATTGTCAGACAGATACTGCAAAAGGGCATGTCAGTCCACTGGGGCCAAAGAAGTTAAATGATAGAGAGACTAGTAAAGGTATGCTAATTTGGTCCCTACCATGTAAGAAGTTGGCATCACATTGATACAAACCTGCTCTAAATTACTACCAAAAAAAGCATGTCCAAGCCTAATGCTAAGCCACTTGCAAGACCACAGCAGATACCGTACCAATAAGTGCTGCAGCAACCAAGTGGCTAGGAACTCCACAGGATTCTCGGTTACACATTGCGTGGAAAAGTAAGAGAGCATGTGGGCACTTCAAAAACACCAGGCAGACATTTACATGGTATTTCTTGCTGGCTTATTTGTTACACAAAGGCTACATTGGCCAGCACATCTTTACATGGCGATATTCCTTCTGTTGTGTCAGAGTAACATCATGCCAGACAGACCAGCTGACAAGAAAATGTGTTTTGAGTAGGCTTGTGCGCATAGTGAATTTCAGGTTCCAAGAGAATTGGAATCGAACAGTGATTTTGCTGAAATAATTTCGAATCAAATTCGAATAGTATATATATCGCATTATTATAAAGAAAAATTGGTTTATTTGTCATGACCCAAATAACCTGCACAATATTTAACAAAAAATTGAAACGAGGCCTGTGCAAATGCAACTTTTTACATCAAGCAAAGTGGAAACAACTTTAAATAGTAGCAGGAATTAAGTGTTGGTAAAATGCACGTGATAAATTGTAAAATGTTACATGTTAAAATTTGCTGCACTTAGAGCATATAAGTCAGTATAACAAGCTTTTAAACTTAAAAAATGAATCGACGCGAGGGTAATTGCTTTATTTAACCTTGAAGTGAGGTTTCGAAGTAGTTTAAATTTTTCCTGAGTGTGTGTTTTTCACGGCATAGTACTATTACACTACAGTGAAACCATATCTACAGGAGGTTACATGCGAATTAATATATTGTTACAGTGAGATGCCTTTTACAAGAGATGATGAATGCGAGAGTCCAGGGATCTGGCTGATCACTGCTCCTGCCAACTTCGTTCTCCTCTTCTACCACGTGTCCCCTCAGTATCGTAGCAATATGTTGAAATAGATGTTTTGACGGTTTAGCACTCCTCTAATGCAGTGAAACCACCTTTACAATAGGTTACATTCAGGCTATTTTTCATTTCATTTATTTATACTGTTAGCCCAGAAGTGGGCCGTTACAGGGTGGAAGTACAAACAATTATTTGCGAAAAAGAAGTACCGTACAGGTCTCGAGATAAATTCTCGGTATTATTGTGAGCAGCAACTCGAAGTTATACATAACAAGAAATGGAACACACATGCGATGCAATACATGCGCGCAGAACAGCACATGACGCATTTGAGGCGGCACTTTTGCACCGCGCTGAAGATTTGAAAGACAACTACTGCAGTCTCATGCAACCAACAAAAAGTACACACGCACGTCACTGTTATTCAGGAAATAAACGTTTTAGATTCTGTTCAAATGATGTAAGCGAGGAACAACCAATTATAGACTCTGGCAGCATATTCCAATCTTCAATAGCACGTGGAAAGTAACTGAACTTAAAGCAATCGTTACGTGGGACTAGGGGTGGTATGTACATATTATGGCGATGTCTGGAGGGTTCTTGTGTGTTGACCTGAAAGCAATCTGAATAGTTTAGTTTAAAATGATTATGAATTAACTGGAAGAGGAATTTCAGACGCTCAATCCTCGTCCTAAGTTCAGGACTATCCAGTCCAGCTTTTTTTAGCTGGACTCCAGTCCAGCATTTTTTAGCTGGACTATCCAGTCCAGCTAATATATGTTTACTTAATCATTTCAAACATTTCTAAATTTTCAATATTTTAAATGTAATTTAAAGCCAATTCGAATAGAGTATTATTCGTTTGAATATTCAAAGCATTCAAATATTCGCACAAGCCTAGTTTTGAGTGTCAGACTTCGACCATCAGTATGTAAGGCATGCCAAGAGAGACTACGCACTAAAAAGCCACCTGTTGAATGCACCATATTTGCCAAGAGAGGTATAACCTCTCTTGGCGAATATATGGTGCATTCAACAGGTCATCTAAAGGACATCTACAGAAAAAAAAAGAAAACAAACACAGAAGCTGACAAGGAAGTATTACAGCTTTCTGAAAGCAAGACCTGCCCCCAAAATAATAATAAACAATAAATCATGCATAGTGTGACACCCTTGGCAAAAAGAAATCTTCGTCTTTGGTGAATCTTCTAAGCAAAGCATGGAAGGTAGAGTTTTTCTCGGCCCCTATTTTACTCTCGGTAACTACATTCATATCTTGATTAGAAACCTTGGAATCAAGACTACAGCCTTCTTAACGAGACTTTTCAATCTTTCAAAAGTAATGAATAAGTGCATATGGATTGCAGACCAATGAATAACTAAAACTGAAAGTTCCTTATACAAATCCCCTGCTTACCCAGGTGAGCTCCATGCTGCTGCAATGTGCTCCGCAGTGCCTCATGGCGCAGCCTCAAGGCATCCAGGCAGTCAGCTTTCTCTTCTGTTGTTTTTGGGTCAGCAAGTTGGCAGTGAGCTTGCCACACCTGCAGTGCTTCACTGCCACTGAAGGCAAATGCTTGTGCCACGGGCAAAGGCTTCTCAGGTTGAGAATGTTCATCTTCATCATCTTCAAACTCCTGTAGCCGGAAAGATTGCGTGCCACAAATGCAACACTGATTCTTCAATTTATAATTTAACGCCACACATCTGTTGTATTCAAAAGTGTCGCACTATGTGAACTTAAAACAAAACAAAAAACGCAAAATTTTGATTAATGTCATCTTGGTGAATGAAATTTATGGGCTTTATGACTGCTAATTTCCCATTGAAATGCAGCATTATATTTGTGCAACTACAGTAACTGGCACCAGATGACTGGGATTTCGGCAGCTCACCTGCGAGTAGCTGGGAAAGAGAGCGTGACACTGCTGCTCATCCAACACCTCCTGGCTCTCCTCAGCAGGGTGAGTGCGATACTGGAAGAGGCTCTGCTCTCGCTCCTTCTTTTCCCGCTCCTCTTCTTCATTGAGTTGCCATGAAATCAATAGCTGGTGGAGCACAGGACGTGCCGCCTATGCAAGACCAACCGTCAGGACACAGGTAAAGTCTTAATAAAAACTGTCACGTCATTTTCACTACACCGAGACTTAGAAAACTTGGAGGACACTTAAGCTTCACCTTCGAGGGTAGAATTCCACTGCGTAATCGGGTCCCATTCACATTGCCTTCTCGATCACTAGCCTAGCGTCGCTTCTCGGTGGACACCGTGCCACAAGAAAAAGAATGTCTGTGTGTGTAATACAGGCGATTTCAGGCTATTCTAGAATTCTTACAGTGAGTAGAGTTGTGAAGTGCCCACTTATGGCCTAATTCTTTCTTTCGTGAATTGGAGAGGTGTCTACAAGGCAACACGCCTATGTGTCTAAAGGAAACACGCACCCGCGCACACATTTTCTCGATGCCGTTGTCGTTAATCATCATTATTTATGATTATGTTCTTTCTGACTGGTAGGCTTTTAAGCCGACCAATCGTTGCCCAATGCACATGTTCTTATGCCTGGTGAGATTCTACACTTCTGCCGTGAAGTATCACATGCATTCAGGAGGAGCCTCACACAGCGTGACATTCGTAAAAGAGTTTCTCTCCTAAACGATTTCAAGCAGTGGCATGGCTCTGTGCCGGAACACCTGCCTGCCACGCAGGTCCTGGGTTCCATTGTAATTTGAACCCAACATTTTCATTACCTCTTTCAAATTTTTCACTCATGAACAACCCTGATTTTTTGCTCACAATCAAAAATGCCAACAGATACTGACACCGAGATTTCTTTGAAATGAGCTTTTGAAGGCTATCACAGCGAAATGCATGATACACATAAAGCCGGCAATTTGGTATGTAGTGTACTTACTAAACTCAGATTATCACTACATTGCGAGCATTTTATAAAAGTAAACCCTCCTAATAAAGCACACTGTATTCCATTTTGATGTTGAAATGTTCAAACACATCAAGTTATGACAGCCCACTAAAATAAGTGAGTTCTCATGAAGGAATAGAAAACCCTCTGGGCAAAGTGAAAAGGGACAGTATGCCCATTCAACAAAGCATGTTCTGTAAATGCATGAGTACGAAATGATGCTAAGAACATTTAACAGATCCAGTGCTTGGTCACTGCAGAAAGCAGAAGTTAAAAACATTTGAGGAATATTAATGACTTCTGAGTGTCTGAAAAAGCATCTCCAAGGGCCGAGGTAGTGCATGACAATTCAGAAAGAAAACACTGTTTTCAGAAATCAGCTATCCATTTCAGTATACAACAAAATAAAGGCCCAAAATGTATAGATGCCTAACCACTGCCAACAACCAATCAGCCAGCAGGAATGGAGCTGCCTCTTTTTTAAGATTGCAGTTATTCTATGTTTCAACGAAATTCAATTTTTGATGCACTTAAAATAACTGAAAGGTTCTCAAGGCCCTGAAATTAAAGAGTTTCAACAACTTCTGTGAACAGCACTAATGGGCCATAGCCATTTCAACATTTATTAAAGAAGTATACTTTCTTAGTGCACAGAGAATGTTTCAGAAAAAGCACAGATAGGACTAAGAAAGTATATTCTTTTCAAAAATGCAATACCAACCAACCCAAGTAGCCACTCTTTTGCATTTCAACATGCCCAAATCGAATCATGTCACAATGTCCGAAAGCACAACCAACCTTCCGCCAATCGACAGCCCCACTATGGTCTTGCTTCTGGCCAGTGACCAGCTCTTGCAGTGCAGATCGAAGCAGGAGGAACTGCTGGCCTTTGTTCGTAATGAGAGCCATCAGTTGTGAGCTTGACAGCAGCGTAGACAGGCAATGAGGTGGCAAGGCAGATGGAAACGTCAGTGACTGCTCCAGCACGTGCCAGACCTCCTGCAGAGTAACTCACAAGCATTACCGATGCTGCTGCTAGGCAAACAGATAAAGAGTGACGAAAAATGCCGGAGAAAGCTGAGCAGCATTAATACCCACACTTGAAACGTTGCACTTGGAGGTCGCCAGCACGGCAAGCATTCGAACGCCATGGGTCAGCTGCAATGGGGAATGGATGACTCAGAGCAGTTGCCATAATCACACGATCCAAAATCAAGATATTTGTATACTAATTTTTCATGTAATATTCAAAGAAGGGAATTTACATGCAAGAACAAAGTTAGCTGGTCAGATCAGTAAAAAAAAAGGAAAAAAAAGGGGGGGGGGGGACTTATTAACTGCAAATGCTCAAGCTCCTAAGAGACTGTCATGGATAGTCGTAGAGCTGCACTGAAAAGGACAAGATGCTACACTCTATATTTTGCTGCACTGATGATATGCATTATGAATTTTTCACTCTTTCACTTGACAGACCTAAATGAAGTGCAACTTCGCTGCTTGCAGCTCTGGTGATACAATAAGTTCTCTTCTCATATACATTTTCAGTTCCCCTGATCTTTATTGCAGTGTTTGCAAACTAATACAAAAAAATACAGAAATAATAAAAAGCTGTCAGAAACTGCCTGTGCCGAATCTCAACTGACCTGGGCCAGCCCGGACAGGAAGGGGTAGCACAGGTCTCGAAAAGACGAGTGTTCCTGACGAAGCTGCCGGCACAGTGCCTCAAGCGCAGTAAGCCATGGCCACACATCAGCAGTTGGAGCCCGTGAATCCTGCCAGGAAGCACACAGACCCTCCAGCACTGACTGTACTCGCTCAACACTTGCCAGTGTGGAGGCACAGTGGCGCATCTGCCGGGCAAGATCTTCGTACTACATTGGTAAAAGGAAACACAGGAGAATCACGTTTATCGTTGGTCGATACAGCCTTTTATGAAGCAAGCATTAGCTGATAGTGGCCCACTGCGACCACCAGCCTAAACAGCTTCCACAACAGAAATGCCACGAACATAAAGGTGAGCTTTGGCTTTGATTAGCCTGTCCAGTACTTGCCTGTGTGTTAGGTGCTCGGTGGGCTTTCTTGGAGGCCAGCTTCTTCATTTTGATCTTTAGCTGCTGCTGGCGGCACTGCTCCAGTTTCAGTGCGGGATGTGTCACCTGAGTCTCGTGCTTTCCCAAACGTGCCATGATGGACCAATCCCTAAGCTGTCGTTCTGCTTCGAGGTATGACAGCTGTGCAAAAGGGAGCACAGACCAACATAAAGAAGCTAATGGGCTTCTAAAGGGCTTGCACTGCTCCACCCAAAAACAATAAGCATGCTCATGCTATACTGCAGCACTCATTCTACACAGATCCCGATTGTTGCAGCAGTACAGTGTAAGACGAACAACAAGAAAATTATGCACAATTAAGTGCTTTTCCTAATGATGTATATATAAAAGAGGCTTGGTGCATAATTTTACAAGGCCATTTTTGAACCAACCACTCTATGTTAATGTACATGGTATGACACCTGGTGTGACTCTATGCTTATGCCACTCAATATTATATCTGTTAATGTGACTGCTTGACCAACATGATGACTGTAAGAGACTTTTTCCAATTTTTGCCACATGATGAGTGCCACTAGTACCAGCAAAGGGTGGTAAAATTACGGCTCTGTCAATGGAGCATTTCCAAACAGTAATGCAAGATGCAAAGGCTGTGGCGAGAAAAGTGCACAATTCATTCAAGTTTTCCCGATGTGTGTGCGTGTGAAACGACGTGCTATTGCGTTAAAACCTAATTGTTCATCTTATTGTTCATCTTATTGCCACCAAGAGGCGATCAATTCTCACAAATGATAACAAGCAAGCATGGCAGTGCCATTGGTACATGGTGGCATCATTCTTACATTTAAGTGGCACCTATTAACAGCTAAAATCATGGCCCTGTGGGAAATAAACCGGCTGGCATAAACCACTCACCCTATGAAAGTTTAGAAACAGTTTTTTGTGAGCGAGCAAACAGACACCTCCTACAACACGAATCAAAATTACTGCCACACGCTTTCACAGGCATGAATATGGGAGCAATACCCAACATGTTGATCGAAACAAACCATTGAACAGAAGGTGAACGTCAACAGTACAAGAAAAAAATTCTCTGCATGCATGCAGGTTGACAGCAATTGCTGGGCAGAAAAAAATGAAGTTAGAAAGTTGCCTTGTTTATCAAACATAGATACAGTGAAACAAATGTACAGAATTGTCTATTAGGCCACTTGGGACTGGTTTACAGCATCATACATCTATATCAGTGACCATAAAAAAGTCAAAAACCACTAGCCACCACCCCCAGTTTTAATCTGTCCACGACAATACTGAAAAAACTTGGATCAGCCATCAACTGACCTCTTGTTGCGTGTGTGCCAACTTGAGTGCCGCCTTGTAGAGTGGATCAACTGGGTCCCACGGAACCAACACTTGTAGGGCACAGAGGCCTACCTGGGCCAATGTCAGTCCAAACGACCACAGCCAGTCCCTGTTGCAGCAGCCTTGAAAATACCAAGGATCGCAAGAAGTAAGAAGAGTGGAATACCATACCGCTACTTGGATATTTAGGGCTTGAGTTATTCACTATTCATCTTCTCTAGATGTTAGCAGATGCAGTGAGAAGAGTGTGTGGGTCAATAGCGAGCCCGCCTGCGTTGCTTTCATTTACCACTGCTATCTAGTACATCAACAGTGCAGCTGTAGGGACATCAATGGCACCCACTGCTACAGTGACATGTAGCAGCCAATGGAGGCCTCACAAAAGTAACACTGCCAAGAGAGATCAGAAATGCCCAAACAGCCATATTCATCCATGATAAAAATGCCACTCAACTTTCACGCATCAAAGACTGACAGTAGCTTTACACTCAACACAGAATATCTCCACAACATACGTTGTGAGGTGCATGCACGCATGAACAGCTGTGCTTGAAAGACCTCAAGTGAAAAAACATTTGTCCATGGACCTTGCTGCCAAACCCAAGTGCTAACTAGGGCCAGAATATCAACCACACATCTCCTTTTAAAGAAATGCTCTATTGTACAGTACTCCCATACTGAAACAGGACTATCTAGGCTAAGTAACGCACATGCTTCCATTTTCACAGTTTTCAGTTTGGGTTGTACCAGTGTTATTTCGACTCGAACGTGTAGATCAGAGCAAATATGATCTTTAGAGACCAGATTCGTCGCAACATGACATGGCTATCCTGAGCAATCATGCATTTCAGTAGTTATGTTTAAAAACTTGATGTCACATTTGAATCCGTGAGTATTGTACATCAAAGTGTACACGAATTATTGAAGAGATTCCTAGTTTATTTATTATGTCATCATTATCATCAGCCTGACTACACCTATGGCAGTGCAAAGGCCTCTCCCGTGTTCCGCCAATCACAAGTCCTGTGCTTGCTGCTGCCACTTTATATCCGCAAACACGCAAACATCCTAATCTCATCAGCCCCCCCTAACCTTCTGTCTCCCCTTCGTGCGTTTGCCTTCTCTGGGAATCCAGCCAGTTACCCTTAATGACCAGCGGTTATCCTGCCTACGTGCCACGTGTCTGGCCCATGCCCATTTCTTCTTCCTGATTTCAACTATGATATCTTCAACCACCCTTTGTTCCCTGATCCACTCTGCTCCCCTCATCTCTCTTAAGGTTACACCTACCATTTTCTTTTCCACTGTTCGCGACGTCGTTTTTAATTTAAGCTGAACCCTCTTTGTAAGCCTTCAGGCTTCTGCTCAGTAGGTAAGTACTATAAGATGTTGTTATAACTTTCTTTTGACAGACAGGGGTAGACTACCATTCATGATTTGAGAATGCTTGCGGAACGTGATCCAACCCATCCTTTTTCTTATAGCACATTATTTTAGTTTTGTGCATATTAATTTTCAGACCTACTCTCCTGATTTTGGTATCCAGTTCTGTAATCCTGAGTTGTAATTCATCACCAGAGTTACTCATTAGGGCAATGTCATCAGCAGATTGCAGGTGACTAAGATATTCTCCATTAACCCTTATCTCTAAGTCTACCCAATTTATTGCCCTGAAAACCTCTTGTAAACACACGGTGAATAGCATGTGGTGAATTTATATGTACAGCAGTTTTAAACAGTCACTACAGAACATAAGCAATATTAAAACAAGAAGATAAAATTGGCTTTAGCTAAGAACTTGCCTTACCTTACTTATTGTGGCTTTGCAACAAAGCTAAACTACTACTGGTGTCGGTGAAAACCGATACTAGTAGCATCTATTGTTCTGAAATTTATAACTTTTTTTATATACATTGTATTTTAAATATGTATTTAAACGTTATCTACCCCCTACACTAATGCCTTACACATGCACTGTAGGTATTGTAAATAAATAAATAAATAAATAAAGCTTTTTCATAGCACCTCACCATAGCAAAAGAAATGCTGTCCCATGTTCTATCATTAACTTACCGTCATTCACACTCAGCTGTTGAACCATCGAGGCTGTGTTTTCAACAAGTGACTTTAGGAATTCAGGAAGCTTGAGGGTTTCCCACCGGTTCTGGTCACCAGAGACTGCTTTGATGCCAGGAAGTGCAGAGACCACCATAGAAAACCACTTGTTCAGAGCACCATAATGACTAAGCCTGCAGAGGAACCACTACCATGATCAATGTCCCCTGTAGATACGTAAACGCTAAACTTGTATAGCAGACAACTACAACATATGCACAACAAATGAATATCGGATTATAGCATGGTCAGAATACAGAAGCACACAAAGAGAGGATGCATAAAGCAGGTTAAAGCATCTGAGCCCTTATAAACATGAAAGGTTGAGAAAAGCTACTCATCGGAGTTTCTGCTTAGTTTGAAGTAACATCCCGCTTCCTTTCACAATAATGAATGAGGCAGCATCAGTGAGACATCGCTACGATTTACAACAATACAGGAACCTTGTCTTGAGGAGGATTTTCACAATTCCATCGTCAGTAAATGCTTCTATGAGGTGCTCAGGAGGGAAAACTGCACTGAATGTGCTTCACTTCTCATAACATCTGGAGAAATGGGATGCAACTACTCAGCCTCGATATTGTAAACAACTGGATGCCACCAGCTGTTCCGATTGACCAAGTCAAGTATGAGTTCATCAGTAAGGTGGGAGAGGGGGGATCTAATTATAGAGACGAAAAATTATAGAAAAAAATTCATACTTTTTCTTTTTTGAAAATGGTGCTTTTCTAACATGCAGGCAACGATGCAATTTCTGGCCGAGTTTTCCACGTCTTACCTCTCTCATTTACATGTGTGTTCTGCATTGTGTTTTCGTTCTTTCTGTTTTAAACACCTGCCAATGCATTTGCAAGAACAAGAACATTGTGCATGAGTTCCTGCACCATATCAAAATTAAGTAGCCCTACAGTTAACGTCACTAAGGTTGCTAGCTGCGTAAGACTAAGCTTTTTCATATTGCGATAGCAATTATACAGAGACTATCGTCTGGATTTTGCTGCCGGCGTCGATGTCGCCGTCCCTCACCGTATATGTATACGTATCTATATATATGAACTATGAAAACGCAAGAAAGAAAGATAATGCAGAAGAAGACTCCGGCGCGCGGAATCAAACGTGGGACACCTGAGACGTCAGTGCGAGGCCCCTGAGCAACCAAGCAGCTTGTCCTTCAACGTTCAAATGGCAAACTATTTATATCTGCCACTTACCGCTGGTGACGGGCACCTCGAGGGGAAACTATTTTGTTTTCAGCATTAAGAGCAAGATGGCACAATGAGCGCGCGTCGCCACATCGTCCCGACATGGCGGCGCGCGCTTTTATCTCCCACACATACTTTGCCCCGCCGAGAAGAGGTGGATTTACGCTCACTCGTGCGCCCTTATCTCGTGGTAGGGAGGATCGTAAATCTTGTCTGGCTTTAAACTTTCACCTGAACGATTCTGTTGTAGTTACCGGGCGCACAAAGATCACTGCAATCGTTGCACAGTCCCCATCTGTGAAAAGGGTGCGCTTCTCAGACACAGTGAAGTAACAACTGAGACGCTTATTCGCATTCATCTGTCCCTGTGAGTACGTTTCATGCGTCATTTATGCGTGAAAAATGCGGGGCACGTTTCAATCTGCTTGCCATTCTGCACGTGACCTTCGAATTTGTTGCTATCGCGTTCATTGTTTCGCCTTTGCGGCAAAGCTGTGACTTTTTTTTACACATAGAACATGGACATACCAGAATGACTTTGGGCCATTTAAGTGGCTCAGTAGAGTTCTAAGCAGCAGCAGCTCAGAGCATTTGTCCTTGCGAGCACCCAGAGCAAGCTGAGATGCCATGGCCGTCTCGGCTATAAGACAGTAGGAAGTTGTCACAATGGGGGTCAGGTACACATGATGATTCTGCAAAAAAAGAGAGAGAGAGATGAGGTGAGGTCAGGTAAGGTAAGGTAGATAGGTAGGTAATGTTGCAGCAAATTAACGGCAAGTACTCCACACAGTAATACATCATGCCAATGTCTGAGCCTTTTAGAAGTACGACATATCTGTAATGTAATGGCCTCGTGAATTATTCTAATTGAAATGAGGAAATTAGTGAAGGCGACATGAAAAGTCTCAACATAAATGCAATACGAAGACTTGCCCATGCAACTGTAATTTCACTATGTTTCACATCCCCTGAATTGACTTCATGCACTTACTTGCAGGAATGTTCTATTGGTGTTCGGCAAACTGTGAGCCAGTGCTGTCTCGAGTATCCGTGGTGCATCCCACAGGCCACAGAGGTGCTCAACCCACCATGTTGTCATTTCATCCTGCATAGAAAGTGAGAAGAAATTCTCGAACATTTCCAAAAAGCTAGTTAATAATAAGTACAGCCACAATGAAAAGGTATGTACCTGTGAGCGGTTCTTCGCAGCCAAAGCCACAGCCACAGCGTGTAACGGGTGCTGAAATTCCAGTAAAGGTACGGCAGTGTCGCGGCCACTCAGGCGTGCTTCAATTGCTTCACTCTCATCAACCAACTGTAGAAGACCTCTGAGTGCAGAAACAGGATCCAACGTGTTGCCTGGCTGTGCTGCTGCAGTATCTCCTTGAGCATTGTCCTCTTGACTTGGGCCACATGCAGATTCCAAATTGGCTAGAGCAATTTCTCCTGCAAATGAACCATAGCATAAAGGCACAGTGCATCATCAGCATAATTAATATAGTAATATCGGACATTTTACGAGCCAAAACCACAACATGATTATGAGGCAGGCCTTGGTGAAGGGCTCCAGAAATTTTGACCATCTGGTGTTCCTTAACAATCACTGACAGAGTACACGAGCCTTTATTATTCCACACCCACTGAAATGCAACTGCCGTGGCCGGAATTGAGCCTGCAACCTTCGGGTCAGCAGCCGAGTAACTACAACATCACACTTCCTCAGTACGCCTCAAGGACAACAGAATCAAAGCCCCTGCTTCCTGTCTTTGTCTTACATCTCAAAGTTGGGGGCTCAATGCTATTATGAACATGAAATTTAGGGAAAATAGAACGCCAAATATTTTTAGCACTTAAAATTTAAGATGTTCTTATGAAGCAAATAGATTTGAAACTGGACTCAAAGGGAGCCTAACCTTGCCTGCCGCATCAGTTGTGTTTCCACAGAAGTTGAAAGAGAAGAACAGCCTGAGGAAATAACATCTTTGCCTTTCACATGTGAAGAGCTGTTGGCAATTGCACCAAACTATGTACGTAAGTGCAATATTGGCCTCAGCATACTTTCATTGCTCTACATTAACTATATGATGCAAATAATAATAAGGAAAGTGCTTATGAGATAATATGATGGACAAAAATATTGTAATGTAAGAATTCTTAGAATCCTCAGCCCATACTAATTGCTTACTTCAGATTCGTAATATTTATACAGGCGATATCAAGCTTCAAAGGAGGTACTTGCACACTTCTCATGTTAAGGAATATGGGGGCCAAATTCCATCCCAGTCGAGCTATAAAAAGTACTAAAAACATGATGTCTAAACTTAAGAAGTTGCCCAAATGTAGGTCATGACAAAAATGCATTTTAACGGTATCAGTGAAAGCCCATCTATGCGGAAAAGATGTTTTTTAGGATGATTTATTCCATCATAAGAGCCTGGCAATCATGGTTATTTTGAAAATGTGGCTATAGTGAACTTCTCATGCGAAATGCAATGGCAAGGTGACAATTTTCAGAGAACTAGACAATGAGCTCTTTTTAGTTTTTAGTAGCCACCTTGTGTTCTTTAAAAAAGATTTAAACGAACCTAGAGTTTAATTACAATTTTCCGTTATTCTTTTTGTTGAAAGTAGAGAAACTAACCTTGTGAAAGGAAATAAAATTGAACGATATGTAGTTTTAGAAAAAAACGCGTTATTCGACTGGCATCTTTCCTTAGAGAAACTGTGAAACACCCCCCACCAGTACTTTATCAACCAAGCGAATAAAAACAATTTCATGCTGCTATCTCATAAAAGTATGCTCAGAAATCCTTCAATATTTTTTCTGTAACTTCGCTTGGAAGTATTCGAAAGATATTCTGGAAATATTTGAAAAATATTCAAAAAATATTCGAATTGATTCCCACTCACACTTTAATATCCGAATTCAAATTGCACCCAAAATATTGCTATTTGCACAGCTCTATTAAATAACTCTGAGAGCTTTGCAATGAGTGGGCCTTAAAGCACGCAATCGTTGCTCAACTGACATTTTTGATGCCTGGTCACGCTTTCGTTAGGGAATAAATAATGCTCAAAAGAGACTTGTTCGAACACACCACATGACACTGACACAGCCTTTTTTCGAAAGCTGTTTCAACAGATCTCGTGGCTCCGCAGTAGAACACCTGCTAGCCACACAGACAGCCTGGGTTTGATCTTCACTCTGACCCAGATATTGTTATTATATTAAATTGCATCTTTCAAGATTTTTCAATTACAGACAATATGATTTTTCACCCACAACCAATGACGCCGACACCGACGACGGAATTTTTGTGAAACGAGTTCTTTAATGCTATCGCATTGATATAAGTGTCTCAAATATTGATAGATAATTACAGACCTTGTTCAAAGTGCCCTTGCAGGATATCTAGCATGGAAGTCTCTAACAATGCCAGAGCAGGCAGAGCTTGGCCAAGGGGCACAGAAAGCTGTCCAATAACCTCTCGTCCACACAGTGCATCCCATGCACACTGAGAGAGTCTGAAATGAAAAACCACAACTGCTGCATTGTCTCATCTTTAAAATCCAAATGTCACTGGTTCAATCACAGGCCAGATTCTTTCTTTCTTTACATTATGAATGTACGCATGAATGAACAAGACCGGCACTTATTTTGGCTGATTTTTGCTGTTTGCTGCCAAATTAAAGGGTGGGCACTCAGCACTTACCTCGATGCCCTTTCGAAAGCACTGGCGGCTTCTTCGCTGCTCAAGGTGCAGGGCTGGCCAAGGAGCTTCACCATGTGCTTCCTGACCTTGTGCATTGGTGACAGCTCAGTGCTGAGTGTGTCGTTCATGCTGGCAATGATGGAGGATAGCTCCTGGTAGCAGGAAACTGCGACCTCTCCTGGTAGGTCCCTGCTACTTGTAGACTGCTCTCCGAAAGACAGCAAGTGCAGTAGATGCTTACATAGCCAGCTCCAGTGCTGTGCAATCCTCGCAGCTCGTGAAGCACGGGTTTTAACAGAAGCATCTGTGCTTGTGCTTGACACCAAGAAATGCTCAAGATGTTGTTGCACCAGACGTGCCTGTGAAGAAAGAATGAAAAACTTACACACATTTTTTTCTCCGGGATGTTGTCAAGACCTGTTATTACCCTGCACATATCTTCCTTACAATGTATTTCCACATTGCATTCCATGCTTGTAAGCTACGTTGTACTATCTTTAAAGGGATCGACAACCAATTTTTATTGTAGCTCCTTTCTTTAGCAGAACAAAAAGCTTACCGCTCCAAGTGTCTAGTCACAAAATAGTATCATGAAGCCCACCATGAAACATTTGTAGTCTGAACTTATTTATTTGCTGCGAATATGAAGTCTTAAACACACATGACAATACTTGTTGCAAACAGTGAGCGCAAGGGCGATTTATGTTTGAGCGCAGTAAGTTACTCCGCAGCGTGCACACCATGTGCATGCGCCGCGGCTTTACTTGGTCCAGGGGCAACCTAAAAAGCAGAGCCGCTTCTCATCGTGCAACTTCTTTTACCTCGAAAGCTACACAAAGTAGATAATAATATACTTACTTTAATATTGAGGACTTCTGAATATGGTGTGCATGATTGCGTCATACTACGCGACTATGTACAGGAAAGTGATCGACCTCATAATCCAGTTTCAAGGCTCTTCTGCTAGACTGCACGACACACCGGTTATTTTTAAACATGATTTAAAAATATAAATCCTACTCGCAATGCGCAAAAGATGCTGAAATCTGTCACTATATTTTATAATCGTTTTACTTCTACCAGAATCTAATCCCATGTTCTGGCCAGTTGTCGGTCTCTTCAGCTCTCTTACTTAAAAAAAAAAAAATTAAAGGATCATTGTTATATCCACCACATCATATAATATATATATATATATATATATATATATATATATATATATATATATATATATATATATATATATCCTGCCATTCATTTCAACTGCACCTTAAAAAATTCCTAGACCACACACTAGCTCACTCTATTAAAAAAGTTGCCTTCGAAACCTTTGTCCGGCCAAAGCTAGAATATGCTAACGCGATTTTTGACCCTCACCACATTAACCTCACTTACGCCCTCGAATCTGTCCAGAACCGTGCGGCACGGTTTATACTGTCTAACTATTCATACACATCAAGCATCTCGACACTAAAAGCAGAGATTAACTTACCCGATCTGGCTAAGCGCCGCAAAATCGCACGTCTTAACCTTTATCATAAATTCTTCCATTTTTTGCCTTTAGATAACCCATACATCAGAAGAGCCCACCGCATTTCCCGCATCAGTCACTGTAACGCAGTATATCCACCACAAGCCCATACTGTGACCTTTCAGCAATCGTTTTTCCTGCGTACAGCCCAAGACTGGAATGACCTGCCCACCGAAGTCGCCACCATCATCGACACCCAAGCATTTAAACGACCCCATCGAAACTATCCCATCATAACTGCCATTATATTGTTAGCCTTTGTAATACCCACTCCCTCATGTAATATCCCAACCGGGACCTTTGAGGTAATAAAATGAATGAAAATGAATGAATGAATGTATGTTTGATTTCACCTCATTGACAACACTGAGAAAGTTTAATAATAATAATTGTCGAGGTTTAATGTCACAAGACAACCATATGATTATGAGAGATGGTGTTGTGCAGGGTTCCGGTAAGTTCGACCACCTGGGGCACTGAGAAGGTTTGCCACCTATTCAATTTATGCAAGATCCTCCACAATAATTAGTGCCTTTTTAACAAGCATGCCACAAAATTAAATCAGACACATTTCCATATTCCCGAGGGCTTGTCTATGATGTATATGCAGAAACCAGCCGACACAACAGAAAGACAAATCTTAAACCTGCAAATAAGTGCATTTTTGGGCATGATGGCATGGCCGAGCAATGTGCTGCCCTTACCTTACTGTAGAATTCATTGCTTGTGCAGGATGAGTGAAGCAGGTAAGCCCTCAAAGAAGAAAGCACTTGCTTGAGCAATGAGTGCACATGCAAGGCCTTAAGAGGCTCACTCTCAGTGAGACAGGGAAGCCTTGCCTCCAGGCAGCCATGTCGCAGCACAAGCTGAACTCTGAGGCACAAAAGAAAAAGCAGGGAAGGCATGAAGCAGAAGTGAACAATAAATGGGACAGCAGAGGCATCGTAGGACACTGACCTCATGGCCAAGGCTTCAGTTTGTGAGGACAGTTCTGGTTGAAGTGCCAACCTTGAAAAGAGATCAGGAAAGTGGCGAATGTCCAATGGCAGATCCTCCGGCAGCACAAGTGCATCTGTTTGGAAACAAGTGCAAGAAATGCAGTTGCTCCTCGTTAAATGAGTGACCGACAAACATTATTGATAAAACTCATTTTAAATAGTGAAGTTGCATTATGAATCAATACATTGATACCGATTCAGAGGGCTCAGTGTCCCTCTCACAAGAAAAAAAAACCACAAGGACTCCAGGGTACGCACAGCACAGTCAAAGCAAAAGCTGGAAGGGCGGCCTTTCTAGAGACTTTTTTACAGCGAAGGCTGTTTGAGATCAGAACACGAGTCATGTGCAGCGCGGTAGTTGGCCGCCGCCGCCGGTGCCCGTAACCACTATCGCAAGAAATAAGGAAAGAACCCAGTAAATAAAAAACACCAAGGACACAATCTCATTCGAGCCCGGGTCCGCTGCATGCCAGCCTAGTATTCTACTACTGAGCCTAGCCAGTGTTTGGAACTTGTCGCCAAACTAGCCTTAGGCAGGCTCTATGTCGGAAAAGAATATCGCATTATTATGAGCAACAAAGCGTTTTAGAACATCAAAGGAACAACCAGGCATCACACAATGTTAACTTGCATAACAAGTGGGTCGTTCAATGCCCCAACCCACTTACCAAAGCTTGTTCTTAATCACCTATTAACTGAGGTGCATACCCACTTCAGGCACAATTATTCGTCGTTAGCCACTGCATGAAAAAATGTCCCAAAATTCCTATCAAAAGTATAGCAAATACTTCACTTACTCCGAAGAATAATGAAGGATAGCATATGAATGCTGGTCCTACTACACAAAAATTATGACTATGGCGTAGTGGATACCTAGCAAGTGAGCTAGAAGCAGTTACCCAAAAAGTGTTTAGAAAAGACTCTGAAAGGCCACTCTTCTAGCTTTCGCTGTGACTGTGCTGCGCATTCCGCGCAGGCCTGGAGGTTTTTTTTTTTTCTTGGGACAACCACTGCAAGCATGCCTACATAGTACCCACAACACCTATAAATAATCCCAATTTTTACTAGCGAGGAAGCACCCACCATGCAATTATTCTTCATTCCTTTGGAAAGTGTGATACCCACTAGATACTTGCAAGGCATTATGTGCACTTTGTTGATGCTGTAGCTGGAGGCAATGAAGAATAATGCTTGGGGCTTCTGTAATGGGTTGGTGCATTCAACGACCCACTTGTTACGCAATTCACATTGTGCGACTCGGTTGTTACTTTGCTGTTCTAAAACACCTTATTGAACCAGCGTAGCTAAGTGCTACGTTAAGTACTGAGCTGCCGCGCAGAGGCCCTGAGTTTAATGCCCAAGCTGTCTTCGATATTTTTTATTTATTTAGATTTCCCCCCTCATTTTACGCGATAGTGGTTATGAATGCCGGCGGCGGACGCGGACAACTATGGCGCCAGAATCCGCCCTTGCAGTGATCTCATAACAGCTTTTGCTGTAAAATCAGCTGATACAAAGAGGGCAATTCATATACAGTAGACTTTCAACAGAACTTAAAGGGACCAGAAAAAACAGGAGTTCTATTTAGGGAGAGATATACAGGGGTGCAGATACGAAACCAATTCTGCTGCAGGCAGTTGTTTCATTTAAGCAGCAGTTCCGTCTGACAGATTTCTGTTTACTGATAGTCTACTGTACTGTCATATCTGGCAGCCTGGCACAGTCAATGCTGTGGCCGAACACATCCCAATGAACATGCGGAATTTGTCGACTGCTCCTATACCCTATAAATGACAGCGCCGGATTCCACCTGATGATTCAAACTTCTTAAGGAGGCAGCTGCATGCAAGAGAGAATGAGCCAGCCGTGCCATGTGTGCATGCTCTATTCAGCGATGGCCACGACAGCTGTGTGCACAGGTGTGGCCAGCACAGATTCTCTTGTACGTGTTCTGTGGTGGGCACAAAGGCTAGGCTGGGCTGGTAGGTACGTGCGCACTCTTCCTACGTAAGCGGTCAAATTGTCTCCAAGTTTTGCAGGTATGTTGATGCACACTGCACTTTTTTTCCTTAATGCAGGCTGCAGGTGGGATAAATTTTGCTCACAATAGCACGATAATTGTTGAGACATTTAAAAAATGGAATTCATGAGAGTTTTTTTCCAAATTCAAGTACACAACACCTCACAAGAATTAGCCATGCTGTCCATGTTATATATAGTACATCAATTCAATTTGAGAGATTTCAAAGTATCAACCCTCTACTGTATGAACCAAGAAATCGTCCTGGCCTGACTATAAGGCAGAAACATTTACAGATATTTAGCTCAAATTCGTTCATTATTTATGTCTATAAGACAACAGAACATTGATAGACCCAAAGTCAAGTTTTAGGAAAGGGCCAACCGATATACAAATTCACAGTGGTGAAACAGTCCTTTGACCTTCTGGTGCAGGCCATGGTGCAGACAAAAGCTTATTTCGCACACCGATAGCCTCTTTTAGTACAGTGTCAAAGGAACAGAATGCAGACTCAATTTACACAGCACTGCATAGCCATTAGCAACAAGACCAAAGCCAAACGTTGGAGCTTTTACCAAGAATAACTGCAACAAAACTATGAAAACAGCAAATGGTAGATAAATAGCCATCATTATGGCTAGTAAGTTTATCTACATTATGATGATGATAGCACACAAAGTTTCGGTTATGATTCTATTAGAGAGACAGCTTTCAAACTTCTTTGGCACGAGTTTGGCACAGACTTAGTGAAGCCTTACGCTAAAATGGCATTATAGAGCAAGATGGCACAAAGGAATGCTTTCAGCGCAATTTTGCATAATGGGCGTAACTGTGCCACTATTGAATTCATCTCTAGAGCAGGTAAATTTGTGACCTGTGACAATGGATGTGGACAGGGCAGTAGGTGACTCGAGGGCAGTTAGAGTGCGCAGCATTGGCTCCACATGTTGCTCAATTATGCACAGTTGTTGCTGAGATCCGAGGGTGGCACTCAGCTGTTGCAACCATTGCAAGCGCTGGCACCAGTCGGCACGACTTGTTCGCTCTAGCAGTAGCAGGCATGCTGTGTCCACCATTTTCTCAGGTTCCATCTGCAGCTGTAGTGGCAAGGGAAGCACCTCCCTGCAATGAATACGAGCCATACTCATTCCCTGCTGACAGTTTTTTACCATTTAAAAAGCTTTCACTAGTTAAACTAGATTTACAAGTCTAGAAAAAAACTTCCATGTTTTTTTTTTTTTGTTTTTATGATTCTGCACTGTAGCCTGACCATTGGCACATCAGTTTGACATCGCAGAATTACAGGTACTTTCATGTTTGGGCTTTTGTGACGCAGTAAAAGCACCAAAAGCTCACTGGCAAAGATTTTGGCGGAGTACAGAGTAGCTCATTTTTACCAATAAATAATAAACAGTTCCCGAGATTGCCGATATAAATAACAGTCTTTCCTTCTTGCACCCTTTGCGGCTTATGAAACCTCCTTCACAGTAGAAGTAATTACATAGGTTTAATTTACTAATAGTACTGCTCCGCTTATTGTCTTCAGTGCCCCTTGTAATGTTGTTTAGACCGGCATTGAACAACAAACTATAAAAGAGCAAAATCCTCGTGAGGCTGCATCATGCCCTGTAGAGCGGATAGGTGTTGGGATGTACAGTACCTCGGAAGATCGGAGGCAGATGCCAGAACTGCACACAATGGTAAACTGTCTCTCCAAATTTCAGTGACAGTGCTGTGACGTTCTAGGCACCACAGAGGCTGTGACGCCACCAAGGAAAGGAGCAGTTGGTGCTCTGAGGGAAACCCAAGGCTGTCCCATGGTATGCTGAGGAGCGACTTGCAGGCTGCCTGCAATGAAAAGGTTTAATTAGCACTGTATAGGTTACCTCTTTTTCTGCATCCCTGGCTTTTTTTTTTTCCCCTTTTTTTTCCCCTTCATGCTACTTTAAGAATAGCATTGAAAGCATGGATGTACCAAAGCAGAGAGGTGAAATGCCTTCACAGGAATGGCAATATATTCTTATTAATGTGCATGCTGAATGAAAATATTACAATGCCAACAGCTAGAAGATGTAGGTAAAAGTCACAAAATTCACAGCGTGGCTCCCCAAACATGCATCTTCATTCACAGCTAGAAGTTAGTTCAACATTCTCCAGAGGTTCATTAAGCTTCTTGTTGTTCACTGTTGTGAGCAAGGAAGAATCCCTTGTGGTCGTGCCCCTTCTGCTCATTCCAGCCACGGCAGGCACAGCCATTATCAAGCCCACTACGGAACAACATTCCAATAAAATACTATGAGAAGTTATTATTGCGTGTTCTTTTCAGTTAAGTTGGTTGCTGGCATATGCCATGACCACATGCCACGTTGGTAGAGGAAGTATATAAGAGTATTTTTAAACTTTAACAAGACCCAAGTGTTGTCAGCACTTTGTGCATTATCTCAGTATAAAAGCCCAATAATTCTGGGCCAACTTTGTTCTCAATACATTCTTCTAAGGCAAAATATTGCATTAAGCCCTTTCAACCTTCCTTCATTTCTGCATGACACATTATGTACATGCATGTTAGCCATCCAATGCTACAGTCATGCTGCATATCTTAGCCCGTTTCAACATTGTCATAACATGGTAACTTTTGAAATTAAGAACCCAAAGTGAAATATATAGGCCCTACTCCAAAAGACAGTTCAATCGACCCAAAGGAATACGAGCTTCATTCAGTGTGTTGTTGCCTAACAATCTCATCACAGTGAAAACAGCACAAGTAATAACTGCCCATGAGATTTGATTTTGCAAACAACAGTTTCGAAACAAGTCACATGTCACACTTTAAGAAGGCTTGAAAGGAGTCCACAAGTCCTGAGTGCTAATGCCATAACAGTGCTTCTTTTTACAATCTATTCGATAGCTGAAAATATGCTCTCGGCATCAATAAAACTAAAGCACATATTGTGTTTCAATTAGGAATATGCACATATGCTATTTACGCAGCTTTTGAGCCTTTAAGTAATACTAACATATGGAAGATACATGAGTGCGCTTACGGAACTTTTCATGAAGATCACCACCAATCCCACCGTTATTCAAGCATTTCATCAGGCTCACTACACAGGTACCAACACAAGTACCAGCGGTAGTTTGTGCTGTCTTAAAGCACCAATAAGATCCACGTATTTCTACACATTATCTCAAGGTACTAGTTTCCAGTTTTTCACTAAATTAGCTGAAATGTTTTGCATACCCAATCAACATACTTTACGTATTTATAAATTTTTGAAGTTGTGAAAGAGCCACCTACAAATTGCATTCAATGTTTACATTTGCAATCCACAATAGTTCAATCAAGTGTGCTCAATGACTGCTTTGACCAAACATGACTCCTAGCATAGCATACCACTAAAAACGTACCTGAGCCTCTTCTGTGTCCCATGTTGCCTGGTAGGTCTGTGCAAAACTGGACAACACAGCATCCTTGGGAGGCAGGCCAGTCTCCAGCCGCTGGACACATAGTGCTGCCACTTTGTGCAGGGTTGCCAAAGAGGACCTTGCAACCTGTGCACTGCAAGGAGTGCCAAAGTTTACTTAGTATATACATATATATATTATAAAGGAACACCTAGCTAGCAGTAGTCATTGTCAAGAGGTGCTACGAAATTGATGCAGAAAAGACATGGCCAACTCAGTGGTACTACATGTGCAGTTCATTCACTTTCCACCTCTGCACGGCAGTGAGCTGCCAAGCAGCTTTGCAAGGAAAGAAACAAAAAGCCGGAAAGCATAATGGCAATAAGTAAACAAAATTAATGCACAATAAAGCAAAACAAATACACACTCTACTCCTTAGAGGCACAGGCTCTTTCTCTAACTACAAATTCAAAAATTACTTCCGTCTTACCAGATGTTTTTGCTAGTGCTGCATGAGATTCAAGAAACGGCCCACTGGCTTGAGGAAGTGCTAGCCGCGCTGAAGCCAAGATACTGTGGCCGTCCCACTTGTCAAAATAGCCAGCGCTATCCTGTAATCATGCAAAAAAAAAAAAAAATCTATTCATCTCACAGTGAAAAGCCTTGTGTTCTACAACGAAGCACTAGAAGTTCAAGGTTTCTGAACAAACACCTTGTCATGTTTGTCAAGCAATTGTCACGTTTCCTGGTAGGAGTGCGCAAATATTTGACACTTTGAATATTTATCGAACAGTGCTTGCTATTCAATTCAACTTGCATTAGAAGTTTTTACTATACGAACTTGCCAAAGACAAAGGCAGTTAACGTTTAATTAAAAATGACCCTTCTAATTTTTAATATGCTTCACATGGTTACATTCTTGTACTGCAGCAAAGCTACCTTCTAAACTACAATGATTTTGCTAGCGTTCTTGATAAAACTGGTCAAGTTGATGTTATTTTTCTAGACTTCCAAAAAGCCTTTGATTTAGTTTCCCATGTTCATTTAATGCACAAGTTAAAAGTGATAGGTCTTCCAGCTTTTGTAACCAATTGGATCTCTTCCTACTTGTCGAACCGCTTCCAATATGTTTGCATCGATGATCATTCCTCTACTCGGCTTCCTGTTCTTTCGGGTGTTCCACAAGGCAGCGTATTAGGCCCGTTATTATCTCTAATTTATATTAACGATTTTGTATCCCTTATTAGTGATCCCGTGAAAATTAAGTTATTTGCCGATGACTGTATTCTATACAACAAAATAACATGCCCTGAAGACCAACAAATGCTAAACACAAACCTTAATTATGTATGTTCAGGCGTGGTGCGAAAAATGGGGAATGAAGCTCAATGCCAAAAAATCCGTTTTTATGAACATAACTAACAAAAAGAATAAGCTGTCCTTCCCTTACAATCTTCCGCCACAACCGTTAGAACAAGTATCAGAATATAAATATCTTGGCGTCACTATAACAAATAACTTGAGCTGGAACAAACACGTAACAAACACATGTGCAGCTTCATTCCGAAAACTTTGCTTCCTTAGACATAAGCTTAGAAAGGCCTCAACAAACGTTAAGCTACTCGCCTATACATCCATAATTAGACCGCGACTGGAATACGCCTGCACTGTCTGGGATCCTCACACAAAAAGTAATATTAATGCTCTTGAAATGATACAGCGTAAATCCGTTCGATTCATTTTTTCAAGCTATCGTCCCAGTGACTCGCCGACAAGATTAATGGAAGAGCATGGCATTCCAACACTTCAATCACGCCGTCAAATTCAAAGGTTAAAATTTCTATTCTTGCTTGAAAATAACAAACTTTCACTTAAACCCGAGGAATTCCTTCAGCCACTCACTTCCCGACAAACACGGCATAGACACCTCGAATCTCTGACTCCGTACAGCGCTCGAACTAATATTTTTAAGTTTTCCTTTTTTCCGCGTACTATTACAGATTGGAATAAACTAACTGAATCGGCTGTGACCAATATTCACTCCTTTGAACAATTGGAATTCTGATTGCTTTGTTTTGCAACTTCGATGTACTCTTGTGTATGTGTTCAATATATTTCCAACAGTGTACCACGTGTATTGCGGATTTTTGTAACTTTGATGCATTCCTGTATTTGTTCAAACTATTTTAATCAGTGTATCATGTGTATTGTGCCTAAATTTTGTTTTTCTCGTGATGCCCCTCCTGCTTGGGCCCTTCAATGGGCTTGCAGTATGTCTTAAATAAATAAATAAATACAGTCGAATTTTTTAAAACTAGTCTAATAATAACCCCTTCAAATGTTTTTTGAATGCTTCACCTCGTCACACTCCCGTGCTGCGGCAAAGCTGTCTTTCAGGCTCCACTAAGGTCACAAATGTGTTGACTCAAGAAAACGCTGGTTCTAACCTGGAGATGATAGATAGATGTGGCAGAGGTAGGTGCTCGATTAATGCTTTTTTGGAACTGGAATTTGGGCATGTTCAAGGTCAAAAGAAGTCCGAAAAATCGGACGCCAAAGATTTTTATCATGAAAATTTCAAATGTTCATGTATATTGATGTCTACAAAGCAGATTTGGAACTACTTAACTTGAAGAGAGCACAACCTTGTCTGCCACATCAGTTGGACTTCTACAGAAGTTGGTAGAGAAGGAGAGACTGAGGAAATAGCATCTTTGCCTTTCACGTGTAAAGTCTTGTCGGCACCAAATCATGTACATAAATACAATTCGGCCGCTGTATTGCCTCATTCTTGATGAGACTATGATGTACCCCGCCGCCAGCTGCTTCATCCATTCATAGAAAAGAAACAATTTAATGTTGCTATATCTCATAAGAACCCTCTCCAACTTTCTTTGCTTCACTTTTACTTTGAACTGTTGGGAAAATATTCTAGCCATATGCAAGAAATACTCTATTTGATTTGCACTCAGACTTCAATATTCTAGTTTGCTTTGCGCCCAGGATATTGCTATTTGCACAACTCTAGTTTCCTGTCATATCGTATTACACTACATTTGAGAACAGCACACTGCACACAGCTTCCTGAGAACAAGGCAATTGAACCAGTTATCTAGATAGGAAGGCACTCATGCCGAAAATGGTAATCCTATCATGAACGTTAGATGGCCTGTGTTGCACCACTGCAGAAAAGAATCCTGAGCACTATGAACATTCATTACCTGCAACACAGTGCCAATAGCACCTGCACAAAAATTCTGTGTTCATGAGGCTTTGGTCAGTATTGAGACAGTGATTACATATAGGACTGTTATAAGTCAGTCAAAGACAGTTTCATATATTTTGTCTCTCTCAAAGCTTTTTAGTGTTTCTGGCCTCAACTGAACAATGCTTGTTCAGCACTCATACTTTTACAAACTATACAGGGTAGTCACATAAGGTAGGCATTTGAAGAATAACTCTGCTCCTTGTCATAATAATTTCTGGGGTTTTATGGGCTAAAGCTGCGATATGATTATGAAATCCACAGCAGTGAAGGGTTCTTTAACATGCACTGGCACTGCACAGTGTGCAAGCCTCAGGAATTTCGCTTTCATTGAAATGCAGCCGCCACAAGGAATCGCACCAGCATATTTTGAGTCGGCATCCCAGCACTGTAATAATTGTTGGGGTTTAACATCCCAAAAGAACTACATGATTATGAGAGGCACTGCAGTAGAGAGCTCCGGAAGTTTTGACCACCTGGGGTTGTTTAACATGCAGCTAAACCTAAGCACACAGGCCTCAAGCATTGTTGCCTCCATCAAAAATAGGGCCGTCACAACCCGCGATTCGATCCTGCGACCTGCCGGTCAGCAACCAAGGGCCTTAGCCCCTGGACCACCGTGGTGCGTATCCCAGCACTACGCCACCATGGCAGCATCCCTGTCTTTTTTTTTTTACACATTAAAAATGCTAAATCAAAACAAACAAAGAATAAATAAATGATCTGAATCAAAGCAGCACACTTGCACTTTACGATACTTTACCTCTCCTGGCACAAATATCTCCACAACTCTGTTTCTCATTGCCCTTGAAATCTCTCCGTTCTTGGGATCCATGGTCATGATAAGCCTGAAATGAAAAACACAAGAGGAATTGAAAACAGAAGAATGACTAGACCTCTCTGACAGATATTTTGAGAAGAACTGTATACAGAGAAATAAATAAGCTAGCAGAAGAATGACACTGCAATGTCACAGTCCCATATCACAAAGCAACTGAAACACTTCAACACTTTTCTGAAGATGCTGGCATCACAATAGATACTAACTTGGCCACACAGTGTGTGTGTGTGTCTCATACTTGTGCCCGCCAGGCATTTGCAGACTTCATTATGTGAACTTTTGGACGCTGACTTTGACTCACTGAACGCAACACAGTTTTTTCTTTTTAATTTATACAGTTAACCAAGTTATAAGCGGCAGCGGTCTCCAGCAAATGTTGACAACAAATTCTCTGTTTATTATTATTGAAAAAAAAGAAAACAGAAATTAAACCATGTTACCACAAGCAAATTCTGGGAATCAGGTCACATGAGACGGCAAATACAAAGCCTTATCATGACTGTGTTCACCATAATCAGTGCGTATGTCAGAGCTCTTATTAAAACAAAAGCCTTAGATGTCTAATCAAAAGGAAAGTTGGACCCCCGGCAATGGCCATCCCGTGGTGTCGGGGACCAGTGATGAAAAAAATCATTGCGTGGTGATGTCACAGATATCAAAAAGTTGCGACTTCATGATGACATCAAAAATTGTGCGTGACGTCATCATGTGATGCAATCTCTTAAAGCCAGCCAACTTCTTTCTCCTCCTCCTGCACCAGCATTCGCTGTCTCTTTAAGCATGACTACCCCTACACAGTACACAGCTAACAGACGTTCTCCGCATCAAACGCTGTTACCACGAATCGCTCATTCTCGTCAGCTGATTTTTTTATCAGATGTTTTCATGTTGTGTTATTACTGGCTGCTAAAACACAACGAGAGGACATCGAAACGTTGTTGCATTTGAGTGGCTTTTGTTAATGGTGGCAAGAAGGTGAAATGCGCCGCACTTGACATGTGATGCAATCTCTTAAAGCCCCTGAATAAAACAAAAGTAAAGCCAACTTCTTTCTCCTCCTCCTGCACCAGCATTCGCTGTCTCTTTAAGCATGACTACCCCTACACAGTACACAGCTAACAGACGTTCTCCGCATCAAACGCTGTTACCACGAATCGCTTATTCTCGTCAGCTGATTTTTCCATCAGATGTTTTCATGTTGTGTTATTACTGGCTGCTAAAACACAACGAGAGGACATCGAAACGTTGTTGCATTTGAGTGGCTTTTGTTAATGGTGGCAAGAAGGTGAAATGCGCCGCACTTGACATCAATATTTATATGACCACTAAGAGCGTATACCTGTCAACAGAATGACGCGAAGACAAAAACATGTTCCCATAGGAACTGGTGCATTTCTTAGTTAGCAAACACGGCTTGGCACATCAAAAACTAAAGGTAGAAACGCATGCCACATTTTTTTGTGAGCCAAATATGCAAGGCATGTTTATTGGTCGGCGTTGTGGGTGAACGCACCTTGCATACAAGCCGAGAAGTGGCCCCTCCCTGCCTCAGTGGGAAACGCGTTTTCAGGTGTGTTCAAGGAAGTCGGCTATGAAGTTAACAAATGAACGTAAATTGAATACGCGGCACTGAGAAGGATGAGAACGTAACGAAGTTACCAAAAAGCAAAGAGACGTTCGCTTGATTCACAGAAGCGAGACCATTGTGTTGGTTTGAAGTCATTTAGGCTGTTTCTATGAAGCCAAGTCTTCCTTCGTAACGCATCTCGAATGTCGGGTGCAATGCAAAAAAAATCAGCATCAGTTTCGCGTGTACTGCACCCAAAAGCACAGCAAAGGGAATCACAAACGTTAAACTAATTAAAACAAGACGTAAAAGTCAAAAAAAAGAGAAGAGAGGTGCAAAATGTCCTACACACGTGCATGTCTTTGTGTTGAGTACCGCTATGGTATGGTGGTTAGCTATGAAGCCTAGCCATAGAGAAACGAAAAACAAGCAAAATAAAATGCATGCGAGGGGCATGCGACAGCATTCGCAAATGGGAGGGAGCACTGTGTGTTGAAGGAAAGTGCAGGAGAGGAGGAGCAAATAGCAATAGATGCTGTTACTTTTGTTTTATTCACAGGCTTCACACACGTTGCCATTGTAGTGCTCTCCTTTAGGTAGCGAACAAAACCAGAGAGCGCACAACCTCAAGAGAAGAAAATGAGGATGGCACATGGCAGTGGCACGTGAAGCGGCAGATCGTGTTTCCTGCTCCTAGTGAGAAGAAAAAAGAAACATCTAGTCAAAAGAAAAAAAAAAAGATGGCCTTTGCCTTTGCATCTTCTCAAATGAATGCACAGAGGACCTTGTGAGTTTTTTTTTTTTTCTACCCATCGTCCACGCTGTGCAAAACTGAAAATTAGTAATAATAGGTGCCCCCATGGCACAAAATGAAGGAGAGATATTAACTCCTTTGAAGGGAACCCAGAGCTGAAATTAAGAGAGTCGGAATAGTTTTTTACTTGTTTTGTGCCCTAGTCTGCATGTTTTGTTACTTATTTCAAAAATCCTTCCTCATCAGACTAGCCTCGGTCAAAATATCAACTTCACTATGCACTAGAGTGTTTGAGCTTTAAGTACTTATGCCATAAGTTTGCAGCAGAAGTTTCTTTCAAGCGTAAAGAAAAGGATGTCAAAAATACAACCTGAAGTCTGGGTGTGGTTTGATGACACGAAGTGCTTCGCCAACAACACCCTGCTCTGTGAGAGGAAGCACACCATCTGGTTCCAGCAGGCCATTTAGCCGATCAAGCACAGAAGCCCTGCATTTCAGTCGCGATTAAAAATGCAAAGGACACAAATGAGCTTCTTAAACACCATTATCACAAATTAAAATTATAGCATAAAATTCAAAAAATAAATTAGCATGCATTTAAATTGCTACTGCCTTCCAGCAGCTCGCACAATTGAAAATATAACAAATAAATCAGGCTACTGAATACCAGTGTTGAAAAGATAACAAAAAAAAAAGAGCTATAACACCCATCTGCAAGCTGTGTGTGCCATGCATTCATAGAGAATGGCCAGTTGTCCAGCCTCCTCCAAACCATCAGCCTTGTACGCCTTTTCTGTATCCCTTCCAAACCACTCAGCATGACACCACGCAGAATTGCAATATCAATGTAAGTTCTTTCTTTGGATGCTGATTTCAGCTGAGGATTTTCCTTCAGTATCCTCGTGAGCACCATTGAGGAAGCAACATCTACAACATGGCTGGTGTGCTCCTCATCATACACACCTTCAAATTTGACCAGAGTTGCCAATGGGTAGATTGGCAAATGAACCGAGATTCAAGCTAAAGGTAGCCAGAGTAGCCATGTCACTTAAGTTGATCGCCATATTGGTAGCCAAAGAGAACGAAAGTGGTATTATGACTGGAGTTTTTACTATTATACAATAAATATGATTTCAAATATGTAAAAACGAATTCGACGCACAATTTTTAGCCCTTGCTTTGTCTTTCAGCCACATGATAGTTGCAAAAAATGATTTATTTTTATTTATTTACTTATTTATTTATTCATTCATTCATTATCATGGCCAATGTCATTAGATGGGATAGTGGATAGAACACGAACAAAGATGTGACAGAGTACAGTGATTAAAAAAGAACAATCTACAGACTTACTGCTTCACAAAAATGATGATTATTATCTCCTGATCACTCCCTCGCCCAAGGCATGGGAAAGACTACTCAGAGATACGAGCCTAGAAGTACAGCTGCAAGCTATACAGCAAGCTGAGGAGGTGGCGGCCAGGCACGGCATGATCGCCATTCTTCTATGATTTTTTTTTTTTTCACTTAAAGTTGTTTCTTTCTCTCTTTCTGTTATCACTTCCCCAGTAAGGATGATGATTCCAATCGTTTGGTGTGCGCAATAGAAACGAAGCTTCAGGTTTTACAAAATGGAATATCTACCTCATAGTAATAGTCAAACAATTGAAACATATAGTGTGGTGATAAAATAAATGTGTCAAGAAGAAAGCTTTAATAAGTTCAAGTTGCTTAATTTTTTATCTGCTTGTTAAAAACTGAGTAGAAAGGCTGAATGTTATGGCTGTAATGCTAAAGGTGATTGCAGTTAAAAGAACATATGATTCTGCCCGGTCATATTACATTATATTTGACCAAATAAATATTCACAACAAGTGATGAGGTTCTAACTGCAATGCTATGCAAGATGTAAATAAGCAGACTGTTTCTATTTAGAGCAGCACCAACAGAGCTGCATTTTCTGACATTAAGTTGAATAAACTGGATTTTCTACCAGGTAGCGCAGCAACTACATTGGAATGGTTAGTATAAATTTATTGCTCCTGTAGAGAGATGCAGGACAGAATTTTTGCCAGAGACAAAGCTGTTTTTAGACATTCAAGCCAATAAGCTGCAGGGAACATCAAACATTGAGACAGCTTTTTCATGAAGTCAGAGAACCAAAAGCAATTGATTAGTAGATTTACCATCTTTCAGATTAGCATCATTTGGTGCAGTTTTTTGTTTTTGTCAAGCTCATGTGAGACACACGCTGTGCTATCAGCATTGAAGATCAACATTTGAATATATAGTAGGCAGTGTGAGCAGCACGCTAGCCATGCCGAAATGTGTGGTGAACTTGGTCACTCCATCTTTGCAGGCACGCCGTGCCATGTGCATCAGCCTGCTGCTAGGGTGAGGACACGCATGTGCATTGGGTGACGCGCTAGAAAATGTTTGAAAACAGTGGGTGGTCTTTTGGCTTGCTTAATCTTTTAAATCCATACAATAAGAAAAACGGATACTAAGTTTGCCAAAGACAATGTTAAATATAACCGAAAAGTTGCTATGGTGCCAACTTGGCATTTTTGTTGCCAGACAGAATCCTAAAGAAGCCAATGTGGTGCAAAGTGGCCAAAAACGGCAACCCTGGATTTGACCACACCGCAATTCTACAGCTTGACTCCGTGTTTCACATTTGTACAAAACTGACGATTCTTTTAGATGCCAAGCAGCTTTTTGACTAGCCTGTATAACGCTGTCCTTCCGTACATTCCACTGCGCATGCTTGCATCTCATGCCGGGCCAGGAAGACACCCGCAAAATCATCGCTCCTCTCCCCCTCTCGTCTCGCCAACAAGGCAGGCAGCGTCTGCTAGTAAAAAACTGGCTGCTCGCACTGCACAACCATTCACTAGCCACTCCGTATATGTAGGCACTGGATCGCGCGTTTAAAATTCAGTCAAGGGCGTCCTTACTTCACTTTCGCTTGACTTGGGTAGACGCGATATAATCATCAGTACCTTCAACCAGCAGTGGGGCACAACCCAACATCAGTGTCCCACCACTCGTTGAAGGCAATGCTTCTCCTCCACTCAATAAATAACAATTAAGCATTCCAAAACCATACCCAATTATGCAACAATCATGCAATACCCCCACCCCTTTGCAAAGCGTTTACTTGAGTTCCTCCGTAGAAAGTAAAGGCGGCTTTTCTCTCCTGCGCAACACCATGATGAGCGCCAGCGTCAACGCCGCCGCCGGTGTAAGCGTTAGCGCCCACTGCTTCGCATCTACACATGGGACAGATACCTCCATGTCATGTCCCTAACTATTGCTCTGTTAACCATCGAGGTAATGTGGATTATGCCAGGTATAACATTTAACGCCATCTTTAGCACGTAATTAGGATATGAGAAACAAACGCTAAACTTTCATAGCGTTGCCACTTTATCCCCCCTTCCCACCAAAAAAATTACGGCATATTCACGGGGTGAATGATGATGAATGGGCGAAGCTCCGGAGGGATTCATCGGTAAACTGTGAATCTTCCGTGTAATTCGCCCAGTCGATCATCATGTAGCGCCATATGTGACATCATTCCTATTTTATAAGATCTCGCGTCTTTCATCAACTACAAGTACCGCTTTCTAGTTTATAACATCTTGCATCTTTTCATCATCAGCTACAAGTACCACCATCTAGTAAACACTACAAGAACTAAACGAGAGGTGGCTACATACAGGAAACGGTACCGCCATCTAGTGAACACTGCAAGAACTAAACTAGAGGTGGCTACATACAGGGGACGGTACCGCCATCTAGTGAACACTGCAAGAACTAAACTAGTGGTGGCTACATACAGGCTACAGGGGACGCACAGCCCACGCCCTAAGGAGCTTCGCCCCTAAAAAATAAACACAGCTCTTGCAAAGGATTAGGGGAGAGGGTTTATATGCCATGCTGCCTTTGGCATGCAGAGCCACTTATTGTAACAGTACTTTCTTTGAGCAAAATAACCTCAATCTACATGTACTCAAGAAAACGACACTCGGCTAATCAACTAGTCTTATTGCTGGCATAAAGTTATTTGAGCTAAATGTAAATGACGGTTTTGGTTTGTGGGGGATCTGAGGCGTGCCTGCAACCATTTCTCGGGCATTTTCACTGTCATGCCGCGCCCTTTCCTTCTCCCATGCTCTTGTGACAGTGCGTGTAGATGGCACCACACTGCAGGTGCGGCGCGTGTTCTCTGGGCTGCAACTGCCGGCGAGACCGAGTCACACGCACACAGGGAAGGTTCTTTTTCTCCTTGGCTGGCGCATGGTAAGCATCTCTTTCCCTTCGTCCAAGTCCCCTTTGGAAATTGTAGGTCTACAGTGGTGCAAGCTATAGCGGCTAGAACGGTGCCTAATGCTTGACGTGGTCATACTTTGCCAAGCCGCACTTGGTGGAGGCCTACGTGTATGAGGTTTGCCCTAACTCTCGCGACCAGGCCCAGTGGCAATTGCGAGAGTGTGCAGCATAGCCGCGAGGGACCTTTTCCCGACCGGCATGTCAAACCAGCTGCGACGTGCTGACGGTCCCCCCTTTTTGGTGAACATCCACGTGCTGGAGCCTATGCGCCCCGCGTTCCGGGAGCAAGCATTGCACTGTGTTTAGGGGGCCGCTAAAGGCAATAATGTGTTTTTGTATTTTTCATAAGATCGAACACTGTCTCTTTTGCCGCGCTGCGCTAAACGCCTTGCTAGTTAAGCACGTACGGAGCGATGCGCTGCACGTGAGCAGGCGCCAATAGACACGACACTGTGGCTCACCGAACCTGAACCCGCGGTGATTTTTCGTTACAATGAGTAGCGAGGTTACTAAAGGGTATCGCTCTAAATGTGCTGCACTGAAAAGGTACCACACATACTTTGTCCAGAAAAAGCTCTTCTTTGCATCTAAACCTACCAAGCCAGTGACACTGGAAAAACAAACAAATGTTAGAATGTACATGGTGCATAAACCACAACAAAATGGGGGACCCTTAAGCTTCGCCTTGAGTGCGATAGCAATATTCTGTTGGTAGTGCGTACTTCCCACACTTAGTGTATAAAATCTTTTCGAATTTGCTGTGCGGTCACTATGTGGCCTTAAGGGTGCAGTAGCATGTGTGCCTTTTGTAGTGGGTGGCTGGCTTAAGCTATGAAGTCATTATGATTATCTCATGTTCTGACGTCCGATGGCAATGTACACTTGTACACGCATTATTATGGTAATATTTCATGTTGTATTGTAAAGCATTTATACAGAATGCGTGTGTTTGGGTAAAGCACGAAAGTTACTTCCCCTGCATTTCCAAGGAGACTGCTAGCAATACTGTTATTCTTCCATTGAAGCAATACATAACATATTCCAACAAAGCTTTTGCCACCTAATCTGCTGAGCACTTTTGCAATGTCTGCAAAACTGTCCAACTGTTTTTTCTCCTACTAATTTATTATCACCCAAAATCGTCATTAATTGTACGTCAAGAGTCAGTAGGTCCAAGCAGTAGGTCAGTAGGTTTATAGTGAGTCAGCATGTCAGTAGGTCTAATCAAGTGTCAGACCTTAACTCTTTCACTACCGCGGGAAAAGGGGCCGTTTTTACTAGTTATGAAAATCTTTTTTTTTTTTGTGGCTAGATATTATTGCCTTATTTACATTCTTTGGTACCAAACTGTAGCTAAATGAATGTTCTGTTGCATGAAAGTTACTTTCCCTGCATTTCCAAGCAGAGGAAGTTATTTTCACCGTATTTACAAGCAGAGGTGTGTGTGGTATAATTACCGCTTGGCACGCAAAGAACCGAGGTTCGACCCTGCTCAGACCCGAAATTTCTTATTTGCATTTTTGTCGATGTTTCGACCATGCAAAGACGGCTCAATTTTTCGTTCACACAAAGATAATGATTTTTCGCTCTCAACCAACGATAATTACGATATCATGAGAAAAAGAAAAAAAAGGGGGCTAATAGAGGCAAGTCTCAGATGCAGACCGGCAACTAGCTGGGCCAGTCTAAAACTAGACAGGTGGCAATTACATACTTTTACAAAACTTCATAAGCATGCCTAAGTGCTCTTTATTAAGCAATGGGTGACAGTCATATCACAGAAGCTTTCCCATGAATGTAGGAATAAAGATTTACAGATGAGAACATATTCAAGATCTTTTGTAGCCTTTTCAGCAACACACATGCTCCTTGCAAGATGTGCACTGATCTCCATCAGCTCAAGTGCGTGACAGTGAACCGACATAGACTGGGATACTCACGCACATAGGTTCACATTCTTGAGCATGAGCCAGTGACCCTTGTTGCAGGCTGTTTACCAACACACTATCTTGCCACTCAAAGCACCCATTGACAGCACCAGGCAGGCTGACAGCTTTTTCAAGTAGCTCAAGCTCTCTCAATGTAGATTTCCAGCCTGCAATAAAATGAAGATGCTTCATGTATGTTGCAGCGTGCCTTACCCCCTTTCAGCGCCAGAGGCAGAAGAAATGCCTGTTACATGCAACCAGTGAAATGTCTGAGCAGCTCTAAATTATAGCTGGTGATTCCGTTTAAGTACACCTTCAGAGAAACACTAAATAACAATTTTAACCACTCAATTTACATGCTCAAACTATAGATATCTCTAATGCCTTTAGAAGCATAGCCAATGGTTATAGATTCACCACTGGCTGTCTTTGATCAATCAAAAGGCCCATAGGCCAGCAGCACGGCAAGCAGCACGGATCCTACTCCACACATAGCTTAGCCAAGCACGGTCACACATGCTTGCATCTTCACATAACTTCTTATTTAAATGTCCAACTTTACTACATCTAGCTCAATATCATAAATCACGATACTGCACTCACCCCTACGTTCCAGTACAGTGCCAAGAACCTGGCGAAGGTGCTTGAGGCACATCAGTACATCATCAGGCTGTGCCACATCAGTTGGCATAATCTGATGCAGCCGATGCCGCAGCTTCAACAGTTTGTCTATGTCCCCATCTATCAGTCCTTTCAGATGCCCGTTTGAGAAGCTCATCCAACTGCCTGTCCACAGATGAAAGTAAGTGTTTGAGCTTCTTCAGCAGGTCCACCTGCATGGAAAATAAGAGGTCTGAAATTAGCACAGCTAGAGACACAGATGACTTCAAGAGTGCACATACTTTTTATTGCCAACAGAAATACATAGAAGCATAGAAAAGAATTGCCCAACAACCTCAATGTGTAATTGCGAAGGATTTAGCTAGTAATAGCACGGCACATATAAGAAAGAAACACAGCACACACATAAATAGATAGGTGCTCAACTTCCGTCTGTTTATTCTATGTTCTTCACACCCATCTTTTACATGCGCAAAAAAAGGGTGTGAAGGGTGTGGAATAAGCAGTTGAAAGTTTAGCACCTGTCACGGGTCCCGTTAATTAGGGAGGCAATCACCGGGCTAATTCCAAGGGCCAAAGTATCGGCCCCTTGAACCGCACCACGAAAGCGAAAGCGTGGACAATTTAGAAGTGGTCCAATTCGGCGCGCCAGCGGACGCCAGCTGTGGCCCAAAGAACAAGTCAGAGCCGAGAGTTGATAAACAAAACAAAATTATATTCTCAATTATGGCAGATCAAAACAATACACAAGTATGCACACTCGACAACAGTGGAATACAACATGTCACCAATCAAACAACGTACTACACAGTACAATCAGCCACACTCGAAACAACGGACACAGACAACAATACGCACTACAATGCAGTCGCATGCATCGAACAACCAAGACACTTGAAGACTAAAGAGTTAGAAAACTTATTCAGTCCAAAGTTCTTGGAACAAAAGTCTGAAGATACTCTTCCGAGAATCACTCACTCAAGGTCCAGCGTTGTTGTCGTTCCGCTGACCCCGAAGTTTCTCTTCCAGGAAACCTTGCGTCTTCAATTGGCCGCTCTCACAACACCAAACTTCTTCGCCGGTAACACGTCGGCTTCCCACGTGCAGCTGTTGCCACGCGTCTTCACTCGCTAGCGGTAGACACACACTCTTGCCTGTAGCTCGAGTCTTCACCCCTCAGATGGAAATCCTCTTCTTCTCCTCCTTTGTCACTGAGGACAAAAGGCTTCGCCGACAAGGCGGAACACCCTACGCACTCAGGCGCAATATTACTTCGTCTCCTGCTTTGTCACTGAGGACAAAACCTTCGCCGACGACACGGCGGAACACCCTACGCACTCTGGCGCATACTTTCTTCTTCTCTTCATCTCCCATCTCTGCTGCTCGGTTAAATACCTTCCACGCGAGATTCCAGAAAATTCTCATCATTTCGTCGACGCGATACGCAGCGAAGGCTGGGGAAAGCGCCAGACGGTTCGAGGCCCGTCCGCGACAGATGACGCAACCCTGCATCACCACGCCCCTTTCCATCGAGAACTTTCCAGGGCTTGCTCAGCCGCCGATGTGAGGAAGTTCGTCGGCGAACCTACGCTTCCGAGGGAAGAGAGACGCGCGCCCGGGGAGTCTTTGGATCCTTGTTTTCTTTTTTTTTATCGTTGACCTCGAGGCGTCTCTCCAGCGCTTTGTCGCGAGAATTTGGCAGCGCGCCCTTTTTGAGCGCTCGTTTTGTGACAGCACCGACCTTTCTCTTTACGTGAGTGCCGTGTTTCTCCATTATATGTGCCACGCTACTACAATAGATGACCAACTTGCCGGAGCTCCAACACTTTTTGTCATTGCAAACTTGTGAAAATCACGAGAAAAGCTTTTTCATCCTCAATATTCGCACCCGCCTTATCAGTAACCAAGTTCCATTCATTACCCGCAGAACATGCTACCCTCTATCCTCACTCAGTCCAGGTACACACGTATTGACCTTTGCAGTTCATTTCTCATACTTATTGGTACTACATTAAATGTTCCTAGTACTGGTGCCAATAGTTTTGGGCTGGCTAAGAGGCCAGACATCCACCATTTGTTACTATAACCTTGTTTGTCAAGAAGACGACCAATGTTTTCCTGCAGAGGTTCACTTTAAAGAAAAGCAACAAAGCACAATGATGTTGATAAGCAGAAAAAACAAACAAAGCAAGCTTTGAAAACAGAATAAAAAAAAGAGCTTTGCATTAAAGGTGTATCTGCACCAAAATTTATCAAACCAAGCTCTAGGACAAATACATTCAAAGGGCCCACAAGCCACCTCCAATATTTTTTAAGCATTTCAAGTAAACGCACGGATCGAGTGCGGAATGCCATAGCGATCAACGATTCTCCACGTGGCAGTGCTACGAGCCTACGGCGCGCCACAAAGAGATGTGGCACGCGCCGTGCCACATCTCTGGTGCTCCGAGCCTTATATGTCAGATATGTTGTCGAGCAAGAGCCTACGACTTTCCGTCAATCTGCAAACAGCTGTCCGCGCTACTTGTTGTTGTTCGTTGTGTTGCCTGCGTGCATGTAACAGGTGAGGGGCACAGCGAGTTCCCGTATGAGTCTATTGCGTTGGCAATCCTTTGAAGGTATGCGTGCAACACAGGTTCCATACCAGCACGATTACGGCAGCCACGGTTTGCCGACAAGCATGCAACTGACAGAGTCGACGGTTGAGTCGCGGCAACCGGATGTAAATGGTATTTCAAGCAGCGCGTCAGTAATGACATATGCCACACGAGATTGGGAGGGGCGCTCGGCAAGAGGGCAAAGGGGCATGGGAAAGGATACCAGCAGAGGGAAGCGCAGGAGGGAGCGAATGGTGTGGTCGTCACGGTTTTGATAATCAAACGTGTCTAACTCCGCTATTACTGCACAGTTTCGAAAAATTCTCACGGCTTTGTGTTCATCCAACATTCGTGCACAATTTCCCCACAACAACTGACTTTCAACCTCTGGGTGGTTTACGGTCCCTTTAAAATAGAGTTTGTATTCCTAATCAGCTTTGAGAAGTGGAACAATTATGCTTGGATGACTAAAGTCATCAAAATTAAGAAGTCTAGATGCTTTTCACCACGTGAGTTTCACTATCACCCCTGCTATTGAGAGCTGGATTGTTTGCTTACCCCACCCCATTCAGCCAGATGGGAGTAGCAAAACACTACAGAGATGGGAGACAGTGGTGATGTGTTGAGGAGATATTTGCTAGCACAACAGCCCTGGGGAGATGGGAAGCTATTTGAATGGTGCAAGATGCTCAGCAAAAATGCTCCCAAAATTGTCTTCAGTTGCCCAAGGTACAGTAGCCAGAATACGAACGAATAAAGGAAGTTTCAGCCCAACTGGTTAAATTTTTCCAATAACAGATTTACCTAAAAGTAGAGGCACCAACTATTTTTTGTAAGAAGATAAAAAGTCAAAAATAAAAATAAAGGAAATTCTACTTTTCGACTGAATTATGCTCAGTGAACCTCGTAGCCAGTAGTTGGTGTGATGACATGTAATTCAACGCATTTTTTCATATGTGGGCCATTTTGCAGCATAACTTTTGATAATATTAATTTTTGGGCTTTTAAGCCCTAAAATTAGAATTTGATTAAGAGATACAAAATAGCAGAGGGCTCCAGAACCTGAGCTTAATCTAATCTAAGCACACAGGCCTCTAGCATTTTACTGCCATCGAAATGAGGCCACTGCAGACAGGATTTGATTCAGCAACCTTTGGGTAAGTAGTCAAGCAGTCAAACTTATTGGATAGTAACCTAAGTGTGTATATCAGCGAAAGTCTACCGAAAATAAAAGTAGTACAATTAATGTCCACGTGACTAATGAAATGGCACATACATTGTTAAAAATAGGCAATCAGAAATGGTGACTTATTTCGCCATTTAACCTGTATGGCTGTTTTGAGGTACAGCTGAACTCAACCTACATAAGAAGTAAAAAAAAAAGACTGATGGCAAACGAAAAATATTTAAATAAAGTAACAATACTTTTGTTTTACATATTGCCATAAGATATCATAACCCAAAAGGATTTTCAACTTTATACAAGCATGTGAGCATCTCTATCTCTGATAAAAAGTGCGCGGCCAACTTTACAATGGCAGCGGAAAATAAAAACGAGCAGAACTTTTTCAAATGAAAGACACAAAATACTATTATTCAAGAAGAAAAATATCACAAACAAAAAAAGAGGGGGAGGGACTATTAGACCGCTCATGTATGACCTATAAGTAAGCTTTGCCAAAAAACTTTTGTGACGAACAGGAATGCACGCTTTACAGGAGCAAACCCAAGCAGCGTTTATATTGCCGACGGGGATTTTGTAGAATGATGGCAGAGGCAAAAGGTGCAGCGCTCCCGTAATACTCGGCTTAGCGCTAAATTTCGGATCATTTACAAACTCGGCCGCAAGTTCGCGCGTTCCTATTGAGCGGCGGCCACATTCATGCGGTCCGGAGCGCGTAATCACGCGTAGCGACGCACCGACAACACGCGCGGCCTCAAACGGCAGAAAAATGAAGCTGCAACGGTGCATGGGAGCGCGTGAGAAAGACGGGAGCTGCGGTATAAAGACATCACTTTCGATACATTCCTCGATAACGCTTGCCACAACCGCCACCAGGGGCCCTCCATCCCCTCGCTTCCCCAGCGACCCTCGCAGGGAGATGGCTGCCGCGAGGAACGCGTGACCAGCGTGGCGTCGGGCAACGGCAGCTCGGCGTGCTCGGGCCCGTGGGCCGGGCCCTGGGCGGGCGGCGCGGCGGCCGAAGCGGCGCTGCTGCTGGCGCTCGCCGCCCTCGGCATGGGCACCAACTGCCTGCTCATGGGACAGGTGGCCGCCCGTAGACGCGGGTGGGCGCAAGGCCTTCTCTTCCACCAGGGCCTCGTCGACTGCACGCGCGCCGGTCTACTGCTTCCGCTAGGCCTAGCCCTTCTGCTGTGCCAGCGGGCGCCGCCGCGGTGTCCCGTGCTCGAGTCGGCCTTCCTGCTGCTCGTCACCGTCTCCACGGTGAACCTGCTCACGTGGGTGCTCAGTGACGGCGGCCCGGACTCGCCGCAGTGCCTCGCGCTCGCGCTCTTCCTCGTGTGGTTCGCGTCGGTCACCGTCCAGCTGGGACCGACCTTTCTGGCGGGCGCCCGCGCCGCGCACCTCTGCCCCGTGCAGCCGGGACCGCACT